TATATGCATTAACACAGTGATAATACACTGAATAAATCAGTGAATTTCTCCACGTATTGCTATTTTCTAGTATTGCTAGCGTTGTCTGGTGTCTGTGTGTCCGAAGTAGGGTGTAAGGGTACTGCATTGTAATCTTAACACCTTTGAGAAGAGAGCATTTTCCCTTCCAGCAGGGGCAATCCAGTGTCGCTCTTTTTTTATCCTATTTCTGTGCTTTCTGTGTAAATCATGGACATGACGTGAGCTGGGAAGATTTAGAAAGGAAAATGGTTGCAGACCTTTTTGGTTGCAAGTCGTAATTCCCAGTAGCCTTATTACCTTGTATTATTGTTGTTCGAAACTGTTAATCTGAAAACAAGTCTGGAACAGATGGTGAACTGTTAGAGCCAGGCTGCTAATAGGATTTGCAAAGCCTGATCACATGACCCCAATAAAAGAGCCACTTGAGGGATCCAGTATAGGTACATAGAGAGCTAGCTTTAGTGAGGAGTTGGTATCCCTGGAAGTAACAAATACTGCTTGTAGATTTGCAGCAAGGTGTAGAATATGGAATTTCTGCTGTTTAAATCAGGAGGGATCTTACTTTGGAGAGATTTTAATTTGCCCTTAAATGAAAGGTGACATTTCAGGGGCTTTGCTAAATACAGACCGTTTTGAATTCAAATGGGTGTGTTGTAAAACCGACAGAGAAAAGAGCCTTTCAAGCGCACTTCATTACCATATTTCCGACACTTGCTATGCTGTTTTGTAAATGAAGCCGGAGGCGGATAGTTGTTTGTTGTCGGTCTGCACCTGGCTCTTCACTGCCACCTGCACTCTGAAAGTGCACTGTGCAGCAGACAGGCCCTCTGTGGTCAGAAAACGATGGTAATCCTCTTACAGGAGAAGTGCTTTGAATAGATTGCCTTTAAAGCCACGATATGAGGTAGCATTAAAAACCTATGATTTAATTACCTTAATGTAGTCCTTCTTGGATGGAGTTATAATTACAGTCTGCATTAAAGGAGCTGTTGAAACAAAACAAAGACCCAGAGAGCTCTAGCCCAACAACTCCAAATACTCTTAAAACATGCCAGGGTATGTGTGGTTGGAAATGTGCCTCTGAGTTGCAGCGTTTGAAAAAGTGTATGTATGACATCACTTTCAAAAGTGCTGCAGAATTCCTGTACCATGATAGACTATCGCAAAAGTGTTCTCTTTGTTTGATTTTTGGACCACAAAACGATATAAGAAAGATTGCAAAGAGGAGGAGTTTGTGCTTCCGGTGATGAAGGTGTTGAAGGCTTTGATTTTCCTTTTTCTTTTCCCCCACATCTGTGAATTAACCTGTAACCACACTGTTATGGTCTGTCCTCTGCGGCTTCGCACAGTGGGTGCAATCTCAGAGCTTTTATTTCGCAAACAGCTGGAGATAAAGCTCACTGTCCCCCGATAACTGCACTGTCCGCTGCCTGCATGAGGCAGTGTTCATTTCAACCGGGCCGAGGTTGTGCAGCAGTCAGCGGAGATGCAGACTGTGCCATCAGGCCTTAAGTGCAGATTGAAAGGACATCACCCCCATGCTAAATACTAAGGGGGGTTTTGTTGAAGCAACATTTGGAGATTGTTCATTCTAAAAGCTGCAGTAGGATTGAGTGGGCTTGCCAGTTGTTCTTTGACTCTTGCACGCGTGTTAGAAGCAAAGCCACAGACGTGTAAGAGAACAGCGAGACTCGACTGCCCTGTGCATGTATTCTGCACAGCCTGCATTCTGAACCACAGAGTAGCAGTTTTCAATGCGCGGATTCTGCTTGCCTGGGGAGGCCAGCCTGTTTGTAAAATTGACCTTGGCTCCCGTTAGTGGTTTAAGAAAGCAGTGTTTTACATGTAACGAAACATCGCAGTGGATTTGTGTGGAGCGGAATCTGTGGAATTAGGAGTAGAATCTTGTGAGTCTTTCTCGAGGTGCATCATGTGCAACAAGGCATGAGCTTCTGCATTTGCATGAGGTGCTTCATTTGTCAAGAGATTATTGTTTCTCTTTTTTTTGTTCACAGGAGGACACGATCTCTGCATGGACCAAGTCCGGTGACCAAATTTGGACCAAAAGCCTGCATGCTGCAAAACCCTAAAACGGTGATGTGAGTAAGCAGTTTCCACCAATGCAGTTTCCTTTCAGCAGTTTTAGCTGGTCTCTGTCCTTCCCAGACAAGTGCATTTGCTTTTTTTTATACCGTACTTCAGAACTGTAAAGGATTGGGTGGGATCAGTCACCCAGGAGCTCTTGAGCGCTGAACTGGTGAGGGGCGTGTCTCCGGTCGGTGTGTTAAAGGTCGAAAGGCTTGTAGATGGGCGGTTTGGAGGAGTCTGTATGTGCTTCCTCATTCTCCCCTGTGTGAGGCACTGTGGGTGAGGGGCATGGAGCGTGGGCATCTGAAAAACGCACAGCTGGCGGTTCCAAAATGGGCGGACATCGCAGAAACAAAATTGCCGGTTCTAAATTTAAAAGGAAAGAAAAGTTACACATGAATGCATAGTGTCTTGCATAGCTGAGAGGGCTTTCAGAATTACTCAGACGAGGTTTGTGAGGTGTTTTTCAAGGCTGTCAGTGGAAGCTTCAGTCGCAGCCTGTGGATCCTGTTTGAGGCATGTTTTTCCATCTTCATCTCGCACGGCTCTTCTAACCTGAGGCCAGAGAAAATCTGCTTAGACATTAAGCTAAGACATAAGACATTAGCAGTAGTGCTACATGGCTCCTGAGCAGTTCTTGCTGCACTCTGTCACGTTGCCGTTTTTAACCTTAGAACACTAATGAGAGTATTTCATCTTGCATAGCTTTCAAATTCGTATCCACTCCTACAGTGGAAGACGAAGGTCTGGAATAAAGCTGCATAAGCCCAGCTCGTGAAGATGCTTTGCTGTTTTGTCAGGGAATTTTTCCTTTTATGAAATAGAATTCCAAAAACAATGCGCAGCGTTTGGAATTTATGACTGGCTAGAGTTGGTGTTTCGACCTAAAACGGGACTTAATCTGGAAACCACAGTTTAATACCTGTCGAATGAAAATTTAGCAAGCTTAAGTGTCAGTTTGTTTTGGCCAAATCTAGTTGAGTACAAAAGAAACGCAGAGCTTTCTTTCTCAAGAGCTGTCAACTTTTCATTTGCTGAAACCATTATAGAAACATGATGATAACAGATTGCTCTTCAGTGCTCGGCTCACATTTCACTCCTTTGCTTGTCATACCCATGTGTCACAGACACAAGCCCGTGTGAAGGGCTGAAAACAGGTTGTGTTAGTAACCACGCTGGGAGAGGTCAATGCTAAGACAGGAGACCAGGGCAACATGCAGTGTAAGACAGGGCTTGCTGGAGGGGTGGAGGTTCACACGAGCTTGTATGTTTGTGTGCGGGGAAAAAACTCTAGCTCTGCGACTTCTTCTTGCTAATTGTGATCATTTCCCTTCATTCAGAGGTGCGTGTCACTTTTAGCTTGGATAATCACTGGAAACATCAGACAGCTACAAAACAAAAATAAATAACTGTTACCCCTGGTGTGTGTGTTTCGGTTGAATTTCTGACAAGGTGTGTTCTTAAATAATAATTTTATTGGATGTGCGCTTGAACAAATGACCTTTTCCATTTATTGAAGCTGAAGATCACTGTCAGGGGTGCGTGTGTTGCCGATAGGTCGTGCTGAAGATATGTGGACCCTAATTTAATGATGGAACTTCTGGCCGACAGAATGGGACGTCTGCTTGTCGTCTGTGGTCCAGAGTCTTTTATCACAAAGAAAATTTGAGAATCATGCAATCATCTATATCTATAGGCACAGAGGATTCGGGGTAGCCTTATCAGATAAATTGCTATCTTTGGTTAGAAAGAATATTCAACTAATGTATATATTTATTTACCAATAAAAATAAATAAAGACTTTCGTTGTTTTATGGGACTTCAGTATAATTCATGTTTCAGTATAATTAATTGAAGTTAACTGACTTATGAACTACCCAGAAAACCCGTCTTACACTTCGTCTTTGGGCTTGCTGCTATTTCACCAGCTGTGTTTTTGCTTTATCTATCTTATGGCTCAACATCTACAACAGGCCAGACTTTCTTGATCTCTGTGATTTATGGGTTCCACCAAATGCCTTTTCAAATGATGGTACTTGTTTTCTGTCATTGAACAGTTATGAAACTCTGCCGGGATGAGAAGTCCATTTTTTATTATGTCCTTTTGATTGCAACCCCACCCTCAGAAACCTCTGAGATATCATTCCTGAAAACCAGGGTGTAAAAACAGAAAGATAGCCGTGTTGTCAGCAAGCTTGGTTTTATGGAATCTGTCAAAGACACTGTTTAACCCGCCTGCCTCTGCTTTTGAAATGCAAAAGAGCACAGCCTTTATAAACTTATTTAAATATTCACTTTTCTTTGGATAGGAGTGGAAGATTTGATTTGTTTATTATTGTCAAGGTCTTGTCAAAGGGTGACTGAAAATATTCCTGGAAATAACATGATTGAACTCTTCAGAAAGAAAACTTCTGTATTTTAAGAAACGAACGCTTGGGCGTTCAGAGCCATGCAGAAAAAAAGCAGTGGTGAAAGACGGAAAAAAAACAACAGCAGAGGTTTCTTCACCGTGATGTTTCAAAGCTCTAAGGAAGCAAAAGCAGAATAAGCAGGCTTGTGGGAAAGGCCCTTCCTTTCCTAATTTGTGTTTGAATTGCTGCAATATAGGTGAGTAAGCAGAAGGGCTTGCTTTCTTACCTCTTTTAAGCAACAATAAAAGATGTGTGCTCTTATCTCTAATAATCAGCTGATATCCAAAAAGCCCGTCACAAGCCATCATGTATCCTAACTCCACACTGTAATTATGTTACCCCCCCCACTTATGAAAAAACTGGGGGGTGAATTTCTTTTGTTCACAAAGTGAAGGGCTGGGAAAATCCATTTTCACTTCCTTGAAGCTCTGACGTAATCAGGCAAGCAGCCAGTAGGGTGAATAGCCAGGCGGAGCTGTGATATAATCATGGGTGGAAGTTTGACTTGAGAGCTGGTTCGTGACAGAATGAGCTGTAGGGATTTAGAGAGAGATCTGCCGGGTCAAAACAGAGATCAGAGAAAGGCAGGGAGCAGGTCACAACAGCTAGCCACAAAGTAGTCTGGAGCAGCAGTGACATGAGAGTTACGAGTTTTCCAAAATTATATATTTAGGGACTATAGATGTAAATTTTCTTCTTTTGGGGGCAATGAAGGTTTTTTGTTTTATGTCATTTTTCCAAGGAAATAAAGGAACGGCTTAAGATATATTTTTGTCTCTTTTGCAAAGTGACAAAAATTGGTAATATGGGAAGCAAATACTTCGGTAACTCAGTGAGTGAAGAGGGCTGCCGTCGTCTTTGACATTTCCTTCGGGGCGTGAGGTTGAGAGCAAACCAGCGAGGTGATCGTAAGGCTTTTTGCCAGCAGAAAAATTAATGACGTGGGTGCTGAAGTTCGAGAAAAGTGCCTCTGCGGTCTTGCTTTCTGCTGGAAGACGCTCCTCACATGCAGAAGACCATGAAGATCACAGAGTTTGTCCAGCTGGATGTTGCAGGAGCCAAAAATGGCAACACGGTGCAGAAATGGTGAGCTGGGGTTTTCACGTGCCCACTGGAGTGAACCACAGGTGGCACTTTCACTGTGCAGAAACAGTATGGTGCATGTTTTCTGAGTAAAAAAACCAACAACTAAGATAGAATTGCTCCAGATTTGTTTCTGTACTGTATGGGTGTAGGCAGCTCTTCCATGCCTGATGGTCCACAATCATATCAGTCTTTACAGTTCTACTTGACATTGTGGTCTGTTAACCGCGGTAGCTCTGGGCAGCTCCTAAGACATTCGCAAAAATGAGCAGATACGTGAAGCAATTTGGGGGGCACTTGCACAGACGTAGCAGGCTGGAAGTAAGGAGCTGTGTGCGTATTTCTTTGGCCTTTAGGCAGATCAAGAAAATGATGCTGTTTAATTTTGTCTTTCAGCTCCTAGAGTGGAATACTTTGTCAGAGCAGTTTCAACAGAAGTATGAAAAGTGTACATTAACAGTTAAAGTGCTTTGCATGTCAGACTGATTACCGCTGGAAGATCTGAAATTAGCTGCAGTAATCCATGCATGTCAAGATTGAAAAATAGGAAGTGTAGGTAGTCACGTACAGTAGGTTAAAGCATGCCTAAGGTACTTCGCTAGATTCTGCAGTCAGTCACATTGAGATATGTTGTTTTAATGTATTGTACATCAGATTTACCTTTTTCTCTAGGGGGTTATCGGAAAAAGGAAGCAACCTTGTTTTCATAACTTTCTGCTTCAGAGGAAGTATGTGAAACTTGAAGCTGCAACTGCACAGGCAGATTAGAAGAAGACCCAATGCTACAGACTGTAGTCTTCCAAATTGACTAGGTTTTGTCTTTTAATGCCTCTGGCTTTACAAGTGAGTTTGAAAGTCATAGCAACAGGAATGTCACTTATTGATTTAGACAGACCTTTGGACAGACTTCACAGGTACTATTATCAGTTTTGATTGTATGCAGATGATTGTCTTAATCTTATCTGTGCCTTTTAATATTCAGGATTAAATACAGATGATTTCTACTACTGTGTCCGATCAGCACTAAGCAGTGCATTGCAAATGGATTAGAAATCGGCATGCATGTTGAGAACGTATTGAAGACTAGCATCATCTGGGAACTCTCCAAGGCGTACTCAACAGTGAAATTCAAACTAACATTTGCTGAAATGTAAGAACGGTCTCAATAGGCTCACGTACACCCGTTTATGTGCTGGAGATTGAAAACAAAGCTAAATAAATGATTTGTAATAAATTTCACTAAAAGAAAGGGTCTTTGCCATGTTGTGAGGGAGTTAAATTTATATGAATTACAGCATTTGAGTGCTTGAGAGTGAAGGTGGAAAGAAATCCCCCAAAATGACTTTTTCTGGTTTGTATTCAAAAAGTGGTCACATTTTAATAGCGTATAATTTTGAATCTCTATGCTTCAGTTTGATGCATTTTGCTTTATAACTCGCGGACAAAGAGTTTTTTGTAAACCTATATTGGTATGATATCTTATTTTTGTGACCATCTTTCACATACAATAAACCCCATTATTAACCTTGTTAATTATTAAGTCTGGGACAAATAGTACTGTCTATGTAAGACATTCCTCCTGATCTGTTACAAACCTCAGTAATAAACTCTTAATTTGATGCTTCAGAATGCCAAGATTAAAGGGAGACAAAAATATTATCCTTATATAATCCTGACTTTTTTCATACTGTAAACCACGGCAGATTCTTATCATGTCTAACTTGGAAGGTCTTGGTTTAATGTAATGTGTCTATAAATCTAATGTCACTCCTTGGCATTGCAAATTAGAAAATCAGAATGTGCACCATAAAAAATTACAAAGGTTTAGCTCATATGACAGAGTACTACTTTTGTGAAATGGGAATGCTGTGTTGTGGCATCTCTGTCTGAAAGTACAATGCTGATCGTAGGTAAATTCACCATGCTAAGAAACCCTTTCCATTCAAGCAGGCTACAAAGATGTCATAGTTAACTGAGGCACAGTATGAAACGTCTAGAGCAGGTGGCATATTCTATATCTTCACACGATAAATGCTTAACTGTAGATGACTGTGGTGTATTCTACCTAAGTCTGAAGTCGCAGAATAATTTCAGTGATGTCATTTGTAAATACAGTAGTTATAGTTTCCTTTTTTCCATTCTGTGTTGCAGATCGTTATCGTCTCATTTTATTGAAGACGATAAAATATTTGCAAATGCAAAAATTAAGTTTTTGATGGCTGTGCATCGATCACGTAAGGCGTGATTTGAATAAAGGGAGTGAGTGTTATGCGATTCAGATTTCCTAGAGTTCCCTGTCCTCTTTTTTTTTTGGCCGTTGCTAAAACCTGCCTTGGTAATGCAGACTCTTAATTTCAGATCTCGTAAGCAGTGCCAGCTCAGCAGCCTGATCTGTGCAAATTCCCTCCCCGGCAGGCTGATCGGTGCAGGGCTGAGACACTCTTCTGGAGTGTCGGGATAGTTGCTGTGAGAAGCTTCAACACTCCGGACTGCCGTTTTTTTTAATTGGAGTGGTTCATGCACTTATTGTACGTACGCACAACTGTCCTGAAGTGCAGTAGACCGTACCGTTTCAGTCTCGCTGGTTTGGAAAGCGTGCTTCAGTTCCTGTAGTAGGACATAGCGGTGCTTCTTGTCTGATCTACATCAGAAACCGCCACTAATTTATTTTCTGAATCTGTATTATTTGAACAGAATGTTCTTCATTGGTTTTGTGTGCTTTGATTTCAGGCACATTCAGGACCCAGCAAGCCAGCGGTTAACGTGGAACAAGCCTCCTAAAAGTGTCCTTGTCATTAAGAAGATTCGAGATGCCAGTTTGCTGCAGCCTTTCAAGGAGCTCTGCATATTTCTGACAGAGGTAAGAAAAGAGTCCCTTTTCCTCTTTCCTAAGAGATGGCATTAACTGGCCTGACATTGCGTACAGTCTTTTTTATAAACTGAATGAAACCTCAACTGTGAAGTCATCATCTCAATTGGTGACTTTGCTCTTTGTTGCTGCCTCAGCTGCATGATTCCCCTGGTCTCCTTTAGGTGAAAGGCATGATTGTTTACGTGGAGAGGAAGGTACTAGAAGACCCGGCCATTGCAGGCGATGACAGTTTTGTTGCGGTGAAAAAGAAGTTCTGCACTTTCAGAGAAGGTGGGCAAGATACGAAGAATGAAGAAATATCCCCGCTGTGTATGCAGCCTGGCGACCTGGCCAAGACGCGCCTTATAATTTCCCCTCAGGGGGAGTTCAGAATGTAGTTACAGACATAGGACAGAGATAAGCATCTAGATTCAAACAAGGAAACATTCAAATTAAGAATACTGTATTTTTCACTTCCATCATTGAGGTCATAAACAACTTCTATAAGTGTTGCATGGAAATCTATAGAGCTATCAAGAAATTTCAAAACCCAATAGGATAACCATGCTGTTCTCCACCATCTCAGAAACTGTCTCCACTAAACCTTTTTTTAATTTATCTATTACAGCAAATCCACATCCACCTCGCTAAACACACTTGCACTTGTTAAGTGATGTGTTGTGATAACCAGCTGGGTTTCAATGTTGCGAGTTTGGCTTAGAAAATTCTTCACCTGTTTCAGACTACGATGATATTTCGGATCGGGTGGATTTTATCATTTGTCTGGGAGGAGATGGGACCTTGCTGTATGCTTCCTCGTTGTTCCAGGTAAATATTTCCTCATTTACATTTGTTTGGATTGTTTTGTGTCACTACAGATCTGTCTGCCGATGTACTTTCCAAGTTATTTGGTGTATAATTTTGGTAACCTTTTGGACGAAGTATCATTAACAGAAGGAATCAGCCTTCCTTTTACTCCCATTAATGATTCCATAGTTACTGGGTAACCCATAATGCATGACTCGAATATTAGCACCACTCATCTGCACAGCATGGGTATTCAGAAACAGGACAGGGGCGTTTGACGTTTTGAATTGTCTGGAGCCAGTCTGATCCCATTCTTCCAACAGGACGTCTTCAGGTCAGGTTGTGATGTCAGGCCAGGGGCTCAGGGATTGAACTGCACTGTCCCTTGGCTCCAGGCTCCAGACTGGGATGGGGGAACTCCTTTGGCTAGAGAAGGCTTTGGAAGCCTGGTTCTTGCTCCTTAAGACAGCCATGCACTGATTGCCACAGAGGTTGTCTTTTTGCTTTGGAATGGAGCTCCTTTTATTGTGTTGGCAGTACTCCTAATAAGCATGATCCTTGTGGAGGAAGACCAGTGCACAGTTTCATGTGCGGAGCGTCTCTGTGGGCTCCAGGCGTGTGATCCTAGCAGCTGCACTGATGCCGGTGTCTGTGTGCTTGTGTTGCAGGAGAGCGTCCCCCCCGTGATGGCCTTCCACCTGGGTTCCCTGGGCTTCCTGACGCCCTTCAACTTCGATTCTTACCAATCTCAGGTCACGCAGATCATTGAAGGTGAGGTGGTGGAAGAAACCTTAAGGCTTAAAAAAGTGGGATTTCGGAACGTTCTAACGGCAGTGATACCAAATTCAGTTCCCTTCTTCATGTTTAGAATGTAGATGTAGAAGATCGGTCTTCTTCTTTACAATCTGAGCACGTCCGATCATCCTAGTGAAACATGAATGGTTTGGACTCATGCTTGGTCGCATTTTAATGGCTTTTCTATTTACAATTCATTTAACTTAAAATAACGAAGTATAGTTACTGGGGCTTGATTGCTGAACACCATGATTGTTTCCCAGGAACTGCACATTGCAGCAAGCAATTGCATGTTCCAGTAGTTTCACCAAAAGGGGTGCAGGTCGGCAGATTCTAAAGCCGTGTTTTGTCTGCTTAGGCAATGCTGCTATTGTTCTGCGCAGCAGGCTGAAGGTCTGGGTTGTCAAGGAGCATGGGGAGAAGAGGACCTCGGTTCAGGCTGGGGTGGACACGAAAGGCCTCATCCTGACCAATGGAGACGTGGAGGCCACCAGGAGAGCCGTGCAATATCAGGTCAGTCGCAGCCCAAAGCGCTTCCTCTGCGGCACAGAAAAACAGTTCACACCTTCAGAAAGAGGCAGACGTCAAGCAAAAAGGTGACTTAGACGTGTGGGGGAACGAACAGAAATATATATGTTTACCGTTCTGGCTGGAGGCAAATTAACATTCTCAATAGGAAGGCTCAGGTCAGTGTGTTTGAGAGCTGATTCCCGATTTTGTCGGGTATACAGATACAAGAAATCTTCAGAAATTAAAAAAGTGACTTATGTTTTGAAGCATACAGCAGTGTGATGAAAGCCAGCTGTTTGATTTGCATTCCTATAGTGCATTTTCCCCATTTCAGAGTCAATAGTGAGCGCAGATTCAGTTGACAGAAGAGCATGGTGTAATTTCACTGTTGATCACAGTGTTCAAGGACCTTAGACAGCCGATGACGGGACAAGAAAGACGGAAGCACAAAGAAAGTACATAAGCCACATTTATGAATAAGTGTTGAATTTCTAAATAAAAGATCAAATCAGAATTTGCTTTAAGGATAACAATCATCAACGATTCTGTTTTAAAGGCGTGCTTTGTTTTTTTTAATGCTTGCTTTTATACTACAGCGATTACTAGAGCAAACATACAGTAATTCCACTCCTGGATGTACATTTCTACTTGGGTGTGCTGCCATCCTTATTAATCGCTATTGTCCTCACTGGCCTCACTGCTAACATGATTCTGGCGCTGCAAAGTGCAGTGTCACTGTGAGTAAGGAGATCAGTGTCGTGTCCTGGCCTCAGCGCTGCATGATCTGGGGGATGTGTCTTGTGTGAGCAGTGCTGCGCTGGGCCTGTTTCCCTCCCAGCTGGGACATGACACACAGAGAGAGATTTCATTTGTTAAGGCAGGGAATAACAACATAGCTAAGAAACCTCTGTGATTGTGAAAGCTTGTGTTTTGTTGCATGGCCACATGCCTTTTCTTCTCTTCAAAACCTGTTCCATGAGCCACCTGTTGTTTTTTTTGTTCTGTTTTAAACTAAAATCCGAGCTGTACTAAATCACACATTTAACACTGTAACACTTTTTTTTTACAGTATCCTTACAGCATGTAAGATAATATATTGTTTGGGACTTAGCTTCCATAAACTTGAGTTGGTTCCTGTTGTGCTTTTTTTCTTTTGCTCCGAGTTGTTAAGATGTGTTGAAAAAAAGTGTGGATTGACAAGGAGTTTGTGTGTAGTGGGTAAGCCTTGTGTAGCCTGAAGTTGGAGAACCTGCCAGTCGGTGACTGAATTCCCTGCCGCCTCACACGGTTCCCCCAGGCTAAGTGTTGTCTCAACACCTCCTGTCTGGCCTTGTCCCGCCCAGGTACTGAATGAAGTGGTGGTGGACCGAGGACCCTCCTCCTACCTCTCCAACGTTGACCTGTTCCTGGACGGACACCTCATCACCACAGTGCAGGGAGATGGTGGGTTGTCCTCCGCGTTTCCAAAGCACAGACTTATTTTCCCCTGCGGTCTGCATGAGGGCCTCTCTGAGTCCTTGTTGTTGTCCTGCTCGCCTCATTTGAAACCTCCTGTCTCATCAAGATCATTCCTGACTGCTTCTTTTGCTCAGAATCTCTGAACAGGCTTGGTTCCGAGGTACTGAGCTCTTGTTTAACACTACCAGCTTTCAGTGCAGGTTGTGACCTCTAGCAAAATTAAAGAAATGGAAAAGAAACCAGATTTACAGTGTTCCTTAATAAAAATATGTCAACCATTCCCAAAAAGCAAATTGAAGCCTAATGATTTACCTATTTTTAGTTCCTGGAGTTTTACTGTAAATGTAATAAAATCATTTCCTTAAAAAGCAAACAGTGGTTTTTAGAAAAGCCAAGACAATGCATTAAGGGATTTATGAATTGATACACAATCCCTAATCAAGAGAATGTCTATTTGAATGGTATTAGTAAAATTATTTTGCAACTCTGGAATGTTTAAATTTCTTGTTCTGTATTGTTATCAGTTTTATTCAATGCAGTTTGAAATCACATTTTTTAAGAAGTACCAACCTTAAACTGTCCTACATCCAGTACCAGAGTATGAATTACCTGGTGTCACAGATTAATTTGCTTGTTAAAACAAAGACATGCCCACTGGCACAGTATCACTGGAATGCAGTTAGACATAAGAGACTATTAGAATTTTAGGGTGTGTTTATAAAAAGAGTCGTAGTTATGTTTTTCACTTTTAAGCAGAATAAACATTGTTACAGAACATGCAGAAAAGGAGTGCTCTGCAATCCAGAGTAAGCTTTGTAGTGTAACATTTTGACAAGGTGTCTTCTGATTGCCTCCTTGATTAAATGTCTTAATAACTGATTAAATGTGCTTTTATTTCATGTATGTCTAGTGTACACATAGGTAGGTTACTACCTACAGAGACAAAGAGACAGGAATAAAAAACGAACCCTGCAGTGAATTTGCACTTTATATAAAAGCCTGTTGTTATCAAGTAGAAAGATCTGAATAGTCATCTTGAACTCTGATCACTGGCAGGGCTGTTGATATGCAGTACAGTTCTCATTGTGTTGGGAAAAGTACAGCATGGCAGGTGTATGATACAGGACAGACAATCCATCGAATACGTGCAGCAGTGTAACTCACCCCACCAGCTCCTCCCAGCGTTTCCCAGTATTGATAGCATTACACAATTCTGTGTGGGTTAACCACTTCTGTAATTTTAGAGTGTGACTTCCTGGCTGTTGTTTGGCTATCTGCATGCTACATGGTGTTCTCAAGTTTCATTTGGTTATAATGTAACAAGTTCCTGTTAAGATAATCTTTCTATTAGACCACGGTTTTCTTTACTTAGAATCTGTGTGTATGGTAAAAAAAGAGGGTGATCAATACCCTTGGTGGAAAATGCCCTGAAAGGAAAGGGTATCTGATTAAGTCTTTAAGTAAACCTGACCTTTGAAAAGGAGAAACCTTGATGCTGAGATAACAAGGCTGTGAAACGAACCCCGCAACAGAGCTGCAGACACGGACGGCTTCGTATCTGCTAGCCTGACCTCGCGTGCGACCAGAAGTGTGATGGGGCGTGCCGTCCGTCCCACGCGGTTTGGAAATCCGTCCTGCGGCGGTGCGTTTGATTGTTTCAGCCCTGCGCTGTCCTCTCCCCCGCCAGGCGTGATCGTCTCCACCCCCACCGGAAGCACGGCCTACGCCGTGGCGGCAGGAGCCTCCATGATCCACCCCAACGTGCCGGCCATCATGATCACGCCCATCTGCCCTCACTCCCTTTCCTTCCGGCCCATCGTGGTTCCGGCGGGAGTGGAGCTCAAGGTACGAGGCTACCAGCCGGTCCCGTGCCCGTGGAAACGGTGGCCGTCTCCACCGGCCGCTGATGCACGAGGTGTCGATTCTCCGCGAGTTGCCAAGATTTGAGCGGTTTTTCTGTTTTTCGGTGCTCAGATCATGCTCTCCCCGGAGGCTCGAAACACCGCCTGGGTTTCCTTTGACGGGAGGAAGCGTCAGGAAATCTGCCACGGAGACAGGTGGGTCCCCGGCCTTTCCCGTCAAGATGGCTTCAAAACTTGTTTTTGCTTCCGAAAGAGTGCCTGTGAAGGGACATTGGCTTGAGTAGCACTGCTGACATGAGGGACTTCACAGCTTCCCTTAAAGCAGAACTGCCCAAGCTGCTTCCCCTGCACTCCACCGCATTGCTCAGATTTGATCTCAGACAATTGAAGGAGCTAATGCATAGAATTTACTTACCGTCTCGAAGCACTTTAACAAAGCATATTTAAAGGGCCACAAGTTGAACCTGAACTGGCTGAAACCGAAAAACCTGAAGGAGACTGAGACTAGGAGTTGCTTGAACACTGTCGATGGTTACGTGCTGAATCGCTAGGGTTATCGAGGAACCTTCTTGGGCTTCAGATCACCACATTATGAGTCAAAGTTTTAAAAAATGAATCTATAGAGGCACATTTGGGGAAAGCAGTTCAGTTCTGAGGTGTATTTTGTGGTAAAAGACACTTTTGGATCAGTGATGACTTGATCCAAACTATCAATGGAACAGACAAAAGGTGACACGGTGTCATCCCTGGAGATCCTGGGGAAACTGTGTCCCGTCTTCAGTGACACTGCAAAACTGGGAATGTGAGCAGAGATGCCAGGCAGTGCCAAGCAAAGCAATATCTGGCTTATTTTAAACCAGAAGAAGGGTTTCTCAGTCCTCTGGGGTTCAGCAGCAGACCAGAACAAGAGATATGTGGGTCTCATGCACGTCACTCTCCAAAACTGGGTTTGGAAAAATGGGCATTGGAAAAATGGATTTTCTATTTGAACAATTCCACTTGTTAGTACAGTAGCAAAGCAGTCTGGAGGCATGCTTCTCCCTTCTTTAGGTGACAAAAACACACCTTTTAAAAGAAAATAACCTGTGTAACAACTTGATGGTACGGGTCACAAACTGTAATGTTTGACTGGCTTGTATTTTATTTGCATACCTATTAAATCCATTTTTTTTCCTGTCTTTTGCGGTTTAGTATCACCATCACTACCTCCTGTTTCCCAGTTCCTTCCATCTGCTTCAGGGATCCTGTGAATGACTGGTTTGAGAGCCTTGCACAATGTTTACACTGGAATGTCAGGAAGAAACAGAACCATTTAATTTCAGAGGAGGAGGAGTTTTGAAGCGAGCACTTGTTAAACAAGGAGGACTGTCTTGTACCAGAACCAGCAGAAAGTCACAGTAGAAAGGATCTTGGTTTTTTTTTAAGATCCTTTCGGATCACTTTTGCTGCTTGTGCACGGACTATAAATACATGGTCACATAATCTTGAAGTACTTTTAAAGTACAGATGAAGGAATAATTACTGCATTTGTTTCTAAAAGAATTGTTTGAGGGTGACACATCTTAAAGACTGCTTAATTTTTACTGTATTTGTTGTCTGAGAACGGAATACTACATATTTAAGAAAAGCTTTAGAATGAGAGAGACTTCCGGCAATAAAATAAAATATAGTGCCTTAAAAATATTTTTAATATACTGTACTTCCATCTGAAAATGTCACCATCACATTTGTATCTGTTTATATGGTGTTATTTTGCACATTCTGAAAAAAACTTCGCCTAATTAGTTATTTTTAAAGAAATTCCTTGTAAACAGGACCCTTGGTCCAAGGTGAAAGTATTTTAAAAAAGCCATGTATCAAGTTAGCACATGATGCATAGATTTTTGCAGCAGGTCGTTTAATTTTAAGACATTTGATATGTCAAACCAAATGACAATATCTGGCGAAACAACCCAGTCACACACAAGGCAAACCTGAAAGTTAGAAACGCGATGAGGCAGCGGTTTAAATCTTTCCACATCTTACTGCAGAAATCAAAATGTTTATCCGCCACTCTGTATTTCTTAAACAAGGTTTACTGTACAATTCTAAATGACTAGAGGTCTGTTCCACACTTTGGGAGAACCCTGAGGCCTGAGGTTGGACTTTGTTAGCCTTTTACAGTAGTAAAATCTTGTATGTACCATTAAACTTTCTGGTACATGATTATTTCAGTTCTGTAGAAGATGTATGCACTTTAAGGGCATACAGCCTAAGTGGTAGTATTCTTGTAATAAAAGTATTCTTCACATTTTGTTTGTATACTTGTAGCTCATAATACACATATCTCTGACATAGTAAGGCAAAGAAAGCATTTTAGAATGACTATTTGTGATGGGAGAGTTTCATATCTTAAGGTTTATTAATGTTGCAATAGAATGCTTTTTGTGATTTAGAAACACCTGCTGCAGACCTGTCTTGCCATAACCATAGCTAAACAATACTGTCCTCATAGGTTTGCGTAGTCTTTTGTTCAATTCGTCATTGGACAATGCAGATATCATTTAAGGACCATACAGACCTGCTTAATATTACCTTACTTTACTAATATATTTATTTAAATGAATACAATTAATGTTTCTTAGATAAACTTAATTGTAGTGCAGTGTAGTGTTGTAGTGCATATATTTTAAACAGAGTGGGGTGCAAGTTATTTAAGTAACTGTATGCAGATGCTGTTGACCATAAAATATTTTACAATTTGTATATATTGTATCATTAATGATTGGTAGATCTTATAGAAAATAGTTGAGTACCATATCTTTCATTTTTTATCTAAAATAATAAAATGAAAGATCTCTTTCAGCCATATTTTCTCACAAATGGCGACTAACTGGAGCTGGAGAAAGTATGAGTTACACCAGCACAGCAGTCTGTCACAACCACAGCAGATGTCTTCTGACCTGCCGAATCTGAAAAGTCATTCTTTTTTGGTTTATCTGAAGTAGTCTCGGTTAAAGAGGATGTAATTGTAAGTGCTACAACTGTAAATTGTATTTTTTGTAACAAATTGAACTCCTTTTTTTCTGTGAAACATTCTTTTATATTAAAAAATCCAGATGCGCTTTAGTTAATTTAGTTGAAGTTGCCCAGTTTTCAGTTCCCTCCTCCACAGGTTACTTTGCTTTTCGCATTTTGTCTTTACTCTCAAATTTTGGTATTATTTTTGTTGTTAAGAGGTGCCTGATCCATGTGTCCGTTAACTTTCTGAGGTGTGAGGAAAAAAAGAGAGGAGTTAAAACTGCCATAAATGGGTAGCGGAGGAGTCTTGATTGTCTCCAGTCTAGTTTTCGTCTCAATATCATGGGTAAGTTATTCCAAATGGGATAACCAACTTCAGCCTGGCACTTGAAAGCCAGTAATAGTGTCAGAAGAAATGGAATGAATTGTCAAGATCATTTGATCATTTATCCTCAGGTCTTGGATTTTTTAACACTGTATTTAAGACTTCTGTACTCTTTTCTCAATCTCAAGCTGAAATTTTAACTTCAGTGAAGACGGTGAAGGCGGCATTTTTCTTCCAGCCTGTTTCTGGACAACACAACACATCTTGCTGCAGTGCTTGTTTTTCTTCAGACTTCCAGGATAAATACTAGGGCTGCTGGGCTTCTCAGATAACACCCTGAAATGTAAAAAACAAAACTGCCCCAAAACTGACAGACCTCTTTAAAAGAGATGAAAAATGTACCTCTTTACACCTGTTGTCATGTGAATCTTGTTCTTTCATACTTCCACTACGAATTGACTGCCTGTTTTTTAATAGAAGACACTGGACACTGCAGAGCAGAACTGTGTATTACTCATGGAGTCTGATTCAGTGTTTGTACTCCGGTGTGTTGTGGTTTGAATATTTAGGACACTTGTCCGAGAAATTTGTCCCCCAAAAATGAGCCAAGAGAGTCAACCGGATTTCTTTTGTGTGTGTTGGGGGAGTTTTAGGATCTTGTCACAGAATGGAGCCTCTTAAATTCATTTGACTTTTCTAATTGTCATATCCTAGTAGATATTAGTACTGAAAATAGAATCTAATTTCTTTCAGAGCATTTTATTAAAAGAATGAGCAGAATTTGTATTTCTTGTTTTTCTTTAAAATGTCAATTTCTGGAGGGGTGAAAACTAAGGTTTTTGCTATGTGTTAGTAAATTGCACAATGGGCAAGTATTCATTCATGCCAGGCTCACAGAAGACAGTAGCAAGTACAGTATTTTAAAACTTCAAAACGCCTCTTCAAAACTAACCCCTAAATAACCTTGGTATGTGTAGTACTAGTGATATTATACCGCAGCCTGGTTGCATCAATTGTCAGTGAAATTTAGATGTACTTTTCTTACATTTTCTCACTTAAAATGTTTGTCTTGCTATGCAATCTTTGTTTTGGTGTCTGTCAACGTGACAAAAACATGAATTGGAAGTTCTCTACATTAGTCTTCAGAAATTGAAGATTGGGGTGTGGCTGCCCTTCCGTGTCTCTGTCTTCTGACGGAAGATTCTGACAGAACGTCACTTGGCAGATTTCAAACACCCCCACTTTATTCTGTGAAATTAGATTAGAGTTCTCAGACTCGAATGTCCTTCCATTATTATTTTTGGAAAGGCAATTGCGAATGATGCACGAAACAACAATGAGAGTACTCAAGTTACACTGTCTTAAACCTGGGGTTCCTCATATCTGTTTTAGTTCCATCTGAGCTCTGTTACATAATTTAGCCCTTAATTGACATAATATCCATTTGAACTTTTCACTGTTTTTTTGCCCCACTTCTTAAATGTTTGAGACTGCATGGAACTGTTGTCTTATAAGCAGTTTAAGAGTGCGATATTTCCAATCAATTTATCTCAATCAAAGACTCAGTTCCATAAAGAGCTCTGCTTTAATGAAGACCAGCAGATATGTTAAACCTGCCTTTAACTTTGCCGTTAGCAGCATGAACCACTGGATTACAGTATGTAAAAGCATTTTTGTGCTATTAACATGCTTAACTTTTTTCATTAGTTTGTCAACACAAATTAATGAATTTAATATATTTTCATTATTTTAAACTATGTTCCTCAGAGAAGAGTCTTCTTGCATGTAATGTAATTAGTGGTAGTAATTCATCCTTGGAAGACGCCAAGGATACACAACAACATGTCTGAATAGCTTGTTCCATACTCCCCCAACTCTTTGTTAAAATAATTCCACCCAGTCTCCACACCCCAAGTTAAGAGAGCAAAAAAGGTAGCATGTTTAGTGTTTTTAATATTTTATAAAGCCTATTATGTTACGTGTTATAGATACTGTATTACACAACTTTATCAGGAAGTGCACAAGGTTATTATTGACTGAGGGATTTCAGTCTTATCTTGTCTGAACAGTGTTTTTTTCCCACGTTAGTTCTTTCACATGTAGATGCATATCAGTTTACAGGATTCTCCTTCTTTGAAGTGTTTCACACTGACAAAGAACACATTATGAATTGCAGCTCAGCCGCAATCTGTGGAATGAGAACTATAATTTGTGAATTTACAAAAAACAGAGATCAATGATAAAGGCATTACCTGTTAAAAGTAAATAAAAAAAGATGAACTTTATTTTGCATTACATTTTCTTTAAACATCTTCAGAGTATTAGGAGCTTCACCGCTGTTAAGTCTTAAGTGTGCACAACAGTCATGCTTTTGTCGGACATTTCTGTTGGAAAAGCAACAGTATTTAATTTTTAAAAGTTTTATTTAAAATCTTGACCAAGTTAAGAAAAAAACCTACCAGGGTTACAGAAAAATAACAGGAAGTGATCATGAAGACGTGAAAGGACTGATGCTACGCTCTACTGCCTAACAGGTTGCAGACAGCACTTGAACAAGCCCCCAATGTTCAAGACTAGCTCCTTCCTCCACTGCTGTGCCAAATAAGATTTTAAATCCCAAGCCAACTTTCTGATATTTAGATATTTATCCTAATGGGAATCTGAGACACAGGCGTGCACATCTACAGCTGAAACCTTCAATTGTGTTGAGTGATAAAGTGCCAGGAGAGAAAGAAGCCCTGCTCCGTATTCTAACATGACAATGTATACAACAAGGAAGTGCTGGTGCAGGCACAGCCTGGGGGAGATCTCTGACCTCTGATAAATGCCAATGAGTGACAGGAAGAGAGGAGGCCAGTGTGGTGTTCCCTCCTCTACACAAAGGTTCTCTTGTTTGTGCCCTACTGCTCCTTTTCATCTAATGAAGAAAATAAGAAAGATTTTACAATAAATGCGATGTTAGTCTTTTTGGAGAGGGAAGAAGGGCAAAGCGTGACTGGTATCCAACTGCCGAAGGAATGACAGGCACAGGACAGTTTTAGTGCATTCCAACTTTAAATGACTAAAAATTAAAATGTATACAAATTGAGATGCTTTAAATATGGAGATTGCGGCAGATTAAAACAAACAATATAAAAATTAAAAGACTATACCATAGAATACTGCACTAACGTTCACTATCCAAAGTACATCACTATATCCTCGGTAGTCTTTGGTTTCCATGGTTTGTAGACCTACAGCCATAAAATGTGACCAGTTGTCCCTTCCTCTGATCCAGATGTGCAAGTAGCAAATATAATTAGAAACATAAAAATGAATACTCTGACAAGAAAACCACAGCAAAAGGAGAATGGAATGGTAGAAATACTGTACCACAAGACTCACTCAGCACACTTGATTTTAGCACAGCTGAAGATTACTGAAGGCTACCTGGAAAATGCCTGTGCTATTCCTTTGACCAGTGTGAATCATTTCTTTTACAGGTAACTATATATAACAGCAACACACATGGCAGGGACCCTCAGGAGAACCCTCTCGACATGCTGCAAAAGGTAACAGTGCTCAATTTGGTACCGAACACTCAGTGATATCGTACGCCTTCGAAGGCGACTCTGCCTCGATTAAGACCCCAGCAGCAGCTTGCTCCATCTCCTGTTCTCTCTGTAGTTATTGGCTTTGCAAGAAACAAAAGATGTCAGTGTTGCACGCAGGAATGATGCACCGGAGACACCTGAGCTTGAACAGGGGGGGAACCAGAGAGGGACAGAAGTCACTCCCTTGTGTTTCCGGTGCAGAACCACACTTCAACCAGGTGGACGCAATGTGTAAACAAGTAAGTCTACACGCTGTGCAACCTGACATGTTTATGGAAAATTTCATACAAAACTAGTTCATGTTTTTGTGCTTGCTAAAATGGCAGCGAGAGGCATACGCAAATCGATCGGTTATCACAGTAGAGAGACAGGCACACTGCACAAGTGCAGGTATAAAAGACAATAAGGTGCAACAGCATACATAAATTAAAAGAAAATAAACCAAGCGTTCACAATTTGAGGCACTTTTGTGGGAGTACTTTTTGGCCAAAGGGTGATGTTAGCTTCCTGATTTCAAAGAGCTGTTCACAAAACGGGTAGAATAAGAGATTCAATCCAAGTTTCTGAAGCAGTCTGGACCAGCAGGAACAGAACTCTTACATAAAATCTATCTAAAAACATTCCATATGTCCACAAAAAGTCTTAATTCATGAACTCCCCACACCCCCTCCCAGTATTCTGTACACATTTCACAGTCACACAGCAGAATTACTCAGACAGGGCTGCACCTAACAAACCTGTACAGGTAGGCCAATATAAAAAATAATTTCTTTACAAAGTTTTAGGGCATATGCAATTTAAATCAACAAATCACCACTTTTATCCAGTCCCGTTTGTGTGTAGTGGTGCTCATCGTCATAAAAGCGACTGTGCATTTATGCGCCCCCTTGTGGTCAGAGTTTGGATCCACATGTTTCCTGCAGCTTCTGGCAGTGAATTCCTTAGTGTTACTGATGGGAGGCAAACACTGGGAAGGGAAGAAAAAAAAAGATGTGTTTGAATCTTTCTTTGTGATCTTTAACTCTGCACATGTGGGGGAAAGAAATCACAGGGTGCAAATTTAAAGGTTGTAGCTCCTTCCTTCTATCAGTTACAAACGTCATTTAATGACGTCTTAAAGGCATACCAGTGGACATAACCACTATTCTCATGCTGATGAGGGCTGTCGTATTCATTTCATGTTGTTTAAGCTAAGTGAACAAGCCCCCAGAAGGTCACTCACTCCTCTCTCGCAGTCCTTGCCCGAAGCTCCGATACAGTCGGATCAGGGACCAGAACAGGACAGCCTTAATCAGGACCGATATCCACGAGCCGGTGATAGCGGCTGCTTCCAGGGCGAAGGAGTGCCCGCTGCCCCACTCCGCTATGACCTGCAGACACGGGGGCAGAGAGACCCGGTGAGTCTCCGAACGCAGAGGCCGCCACTGCTGGTCTCGCCATCGTCTCCGCTGTCAAGCATTTCACCGAGCTCACGTGCTTAACTGGTTCAGATGAGCCTTCAGCCACAGGCCGGTCCCAGACTCCTGTAGAGCCAACAGGGGCAGCAGTGTGGAGTTAGGCTTGCAATTGTGGGTTCGAATCCCAGGCTGGGACAACGGGACTGTCACACCGAGACCGCTACCTTACCCAGAATGCTCCAGCACCGGGGCTGTCCAGTCCTGGTGTGTCTGCAGGGTTCCCAGCAGCTGTGGAGAAGCTGTTAAACTGGTCCAGTTAATCCAGTAACCAGCTGGTTTAGCTCATTAAGTTGGAACTTAATGAAAACCCACAGACACACCAGTCCTCCAGGACCAGGACTGGACACCCTTTTCCGAACATAATGGGTTTATTAGTATTAAGAAAGAATAATAAACAAGAGTATTGACCTGTAATGTGGGAGCAGCTGTCTAGTGAGGTTTTTTGTCTACCATGGGAAAACTACTTTCATCAGGCTTGAATCCACACTTGATTTGATAATCACAGCACCGTGACTAAAGGCCAAGAGGCAATCAATATACATGCTTTTAAATTAGAATACTATGAGAAAGAGGAACCGCATACAACTTCTGTTCAATTTTTATACAGATTCCTTGTTCGTGTGAACTTCCACATCAGCATTAGTTTTTTTTTTTAATATAAGTCTCAATTATTAAACAAAACTGCTCAAAGCTGTTGGTTTTGAAAGGAAAACTTACCATATAAAGCACATAAATGAGGTAAGCCAGCTCGGGCAAGTTCTGCAGGGCAAAGACCCACACAAGTGCCTTCCTCTCTTTTAAGACCTGAAAGAGGAAGTGAAAACAAATTGCTTCATTATGTTCAGTAAATGGAGGCTAAATTGAGACAAACTGTGGTTAAGCGGTCCGACAAAAACAAAAAGAAAAAATAGTTTATCTGCAATATAGGATGGTCTAGTTTGAATAAAATGAAATTCAGGATAGCTGGAATGGGGCCGCGGTAGGACCCCAGGCTCCTAGGGGATTGTGGGTTCCATTCCCAGATGGGACACTGCTGTTAAACCCTCCAGAGAGACCTCACTCTCACTACTCCAAGAAACAGTTACTCTCCAGGCCAGCGTTGCGCATGAGAAATTATCAACTCACTTATCTGTTTGAATAAACATAAAGAATTAGATTTATTTATTTTTTAATTGATGAACTTGTGAGTGGTATTTCAGTGAATTAAATAAACACAGTTCATGAGGAGTACAGTACAGCTCTTCCTATCGCACAATGTGTAGATTAGGCTGACAGCGTCTTTCATTGCTGCAACACAGCGAAATCTCCACGGAGAGATTCCAGCTCCCTCCGTCACCGTCCGAGTGTCTGCTCCAGGTCTAACTGGACTTACTGCTATGATTCCAGTGGCTGCGGTCAAGCAAGCCCAGAAGACGCCGAAGCCCAGGATGATGCTGTGAGAGTACGACGTGGAGAAGCCAGATGTCAGAATCAGGATACAGAGGCAGAGCTGGGAGGGACACAAACATGGCGTGAGCAGGCGGGGCTGCGGACACACAGTCAGACATCAACAGTGACGTCCTGTACGCTACCGAAAGCAGAAGCTCGCATTTACTGGGGCTCCCCCAAGGAGAAATCGTAAACTAAATCCAATTAGGAAAAGCACAACAGCAAAGAGCTGCTGCCTGCCAGTTATAAATAATTAAACCCAGGAGCACTGTGAAGAATTAAGAAAAACACACTCATCAGAGTGTAAAAGAAATCTGAAGCCAGAGACAGGTAAAGTAATGAATTAGAACCGGCTTTGCCTACACACTTCTCAAGTACGACACTAAGGCTAAAATATCTGCTGTTCAGTGTCGTGCAGCATCATTTGTAAAATGCTGACCTGCATCTGCAAGCTGTATTACGGATGTTGATTATCTTTTTGGCTGACAGACTACCCCAGGGTAGGTATGACAGTGGGAACAAGTCTGTTAATGTCTTAAACTAAATACGATCCCTAGCTGAAAGTACCCTACCTGGGCCTGGAGGTCAAAGGTCACCATCGAGAAGCAGAGATTGAGCAGAAAGTACTGCTCCTGCAGGCTCTCCAGAGCCCCACCCACACGGAAGGCCATCATGTTGGGTGTCCTGATGAGCAGAGTGGCGCACACCACATGGAAGAAGCCCAGACACAGGATACACACAAATCGCGCCTGCAGGTAACAAACAGTAACACAGGCTGCAATCGCACAAGAGCATCGCTTTAGGCTGTCACAGTGTATTTGCACAGTTATCTGAAATATTTAGTATTACTTGTACTTAATTCTATATTCATTGATAGTGATTTTGTTTGCAGTACAGGATAAACCTCTGCTTGCCTGTAGAACATATTTGAGCACCGAGCACTCATTTATAAACTTTCGGAATATTTCCTTAGGAGGAGGTCAAGAACACATGAAAATCTGAGCCTGAAAAATCCCTAAGTTGGGGAGATAAAATGAAACAGCAGGGTCTCTTCCACCCTGCCTGAAGTGGGCGACGGATGTCCTTGTCTGGGGACTTCATTGACACACACTGCACAGGGTACTCACCAGAATGAGGCTCTTCCTCTCCTGCACGGGGAGGACAGCGAAGTTGACCACCGATCTCATCATGAGTGCCAGCACGCTGAGCACGAACACGATCAGCTCCTGACGGTTCTCCTGCAGGATGCCCCGGGTGATGTAGTAACAGCAGAACACTGCCGCCAAAAGGCAAAAGACTCAGCGCACAAATGCACACAGTTCAGAGACACTGCTAACAAGTATGACTTGAGCTGGGGTTTTACAGAACAGACAACTGAAAGACCCCATGGCACTGCTGTCAGTTGAACTTGAAGAGCGGGCAGGAGTTTTGAGCGCGCATGCACAAGGAGCTATGGCATGTGTAGCTCTTTTTGAAGCTAATTACCTTTAAACGATTGCAAAACAAGACAATGGGACTAGCTAACGACTGGGCAACCTTTGGGATACAGCTGACTCCCACTCACAAGCACACGTTCTCCAGGAATCCGGGGGGAATATGAAACCCAGGAAATAAAGACTCACATGACCCCCCCCCTCCCCGTACCTGCTCTGAAACCCTTATTCGTCATGTAAGCCCCTCTTGCTGACAGGAAATGGTCATTGGCGTGCAGAGTGACTGTCGAGATTTATATTTAAGTGGCCTACTTAGTTTGTACTTCTTGGTGCTTCTGAATTGTGAATTACAATTCTGAGAATACAGAATTGTCATTACTTTGAGTAGCTCAAGTCTTCCTCACCCAGGTCTCTGAGGAAAGACTGATAATTAAAAGTGCTTTACACACAGAGGAGGAAAACATCTAGAAAATAAGATTTTGTCAAGACAGAGGTTTTCAATTTTCTGATGGTAATCTGATTCACTGTCTACATCATTTTGAGGTCTTCATGTGTTAGACATGTATTATTTGGGGACACAGAAAAAGTATGGATATAAAGATGAGGTTAGTATCCTCAAAAGAGTTTTTAAAATGGAAGTATTCTTTAACAAAAGCTCAAGCTAGGGATGAATAAGCAAAATACACAAAAACATGAATGGAATTTGCTTGTTCTATGCGGATGTCTGGAACACGATGAAATATGTCAACACGCCAGAGAATTCTGTGCTTGAAAATGGAGGGCAGGTTTCACAACACATTCCGTAATTCATTTTCCACACTCAAAACCAAAAGTAAGCTGAGGATAAAACAGCTGCCCTGATCATCACCCCACACAGACTGATAGTTATGAAATGAGCGGGTCAGAAGAAGAAAGAAGTCTTGCTTCTGCTTCTGCTCTGATGTCTTGTGACACAAGCAACTGCACAAACGACATCATCACATGACTCAAGTGATGAATTTCAATTTTCCTGCATTTATTCCTGCTTTTTTTAGCTTTCTTCAGCACAGGTGTCAGTAATTAAGCACATAGCTCCACTGGTGTGAGATCATAGTCAAGGCATTTGTTATTTAAAAAAAAATATTTACTGCCATGCTGTGTAATTTCAGAAAATGTCCTTTAATAACAAACTGCAGAAACTGTAATCTGTCCCACAGATCCATCAACAATGCAATTTAATCTCCCAAAATTACAGAGAACTAAAACTTTTGCGTAATGCTGGGCTCTTCCACCTCGTTTAAGATCCTGAACCTTTTCACAACAGCCATTCGTGTTGTGAAATTTCAGGCTTCTTCATCGCTTACCATAAATGAGGTAAGAACCAAACACCACGTGCTGAAACAAGAGCACTGCACTGTTAAAGTGGATTTTCTCATTGGGACTTGAATATGGAAAGGACACTACTGTCACATTTGGTACTGTTCAGCTTTCGATTTGCTATTCCTTACTCTCCTATATCCTCTGCAGGACTTCACTCTTGATGATTCTGTTCTGTTTTTAACAACAAAAATCAATTCATCTCTAATTCAGAACTTCTCAGAGCCCATGAGATGGTGATGTTTTAAAGAATCCCAACACTACCATGATCAGAATTCCAGTATAACCTATACTTACAGATTCCCACAAGCTGTATGAGGGATACAGTTAAATCCTCTTCATAGGGATACTTGTCCTGACTTTGTCTGTAGATGTTCACAATGGTGAGAGCAAACAGAGCCACCAGTGAAGTAATGGTCACACAGTAGTACAGTTTTACGTGGCATGACAGCTCTGACCAGGGCTTTATCTAAAGTGCAGCAAAGACAAGCATCAGAAATATATTAGTCTCCAACTAATAATGCTACAAATCAGACTAATCCACATGTCTGCAGTCGGCTAGTTGGTCTGAAAACTACAGTGAACTGCTTTGAAACCTACAGTGTTTTACTGTGCAGGTGTAATTAAGCATATCTTCAGAAAGAATACCCTTTAAAAAGAACCATATACATCTGCAAAATCAATTATCTGTTGTGCTGCACTAGGTCTTTTGGCCCAAAAAATAAAACTATTACATACACTTAAATTTCTCATTCAGAAATTTTCCCAGAAAATATTCTTATTCTATCATGTACAGTAGCTACGTGGTCATTCCAGGTGACAACAGAAAATACTTTTGGCGAGAAGATATGCCAAACACAGTACTTTGAATTACTTCCTTGTCACAACATGAACTGATTACAAGGTCCTGAACATGGAAATATAAGCTAATTCAGGTTGCTTTCACAGAAAGAGAGCAGGGCAGTTATATCCTAATGCTACTCACTGGTCCACATGGTGTTGGAATGAGTTCTTGATGTCTTGGTCTCAGGTTGGGCGAAGGGAGATCAGTACTCTCATTACGTGGGTTCAACAGAGGACTGTAACACAAATAACATTTAGAATTCCCAATGACTACATCGGGTCATTGACAAACTCTTGATCACTTAACGTGGCCAATTATTGGTCAATTAGTCAGGCTTAAGATTATCATGAGCCAGTAATGGAAGGTACCAATGCAATTGTTAAGAACTGGGTCTTTCCAGGACCCCAACAAAAACTCATTCAACAGTATTAGGCAGAGCTCCCCAAATGTGATCCTTGAGGGTGAAATTCCAGCACATTTCGGCACCAGACCTCAGAAAAAGGGGTACATTATGTAATTAAGGCTGAATTAGACCTAATTGAATTATGCTGCACAGGTCTGAAGCAGCTCATGATTTGAGCAGTGGATAGTCACACTCTGGCAAGTGTTACAGATTGCCCTTAAATCATCAACCTGTAAAATTTAGGAACACATATGAGTTTTGCTTAATTCAGAACATAAATCGCTTCAGTGGAGTCAGGAATGACCAGGTGCTGTCCTTGAGAGTTACTGAGTGTGGGGATATGCCTTTCAAATGATCTCTTAATTACCTCATTCAATAAGCAGTCAAAACTAAGTTGATCCAAACTGTTCATTTAAGAACGACCCACAAAAGCTGCTGTTCCTGACTCTCTAGGATGTGGCTTGATCATTCCTGAGGTATAGAGACCTGCAAACCTGTTTGATTGCTGTCCTTGATGACTGGATACTGGGGAATACTGTAGCTTTAGGATAGGAGAGAATTCCCTGTTTTCGGCAGCCGGAGAACTCAGATACTCTGTTACCCTTTGCTGTACTTGGGGGCAGAATTGAAAAGTGAATTTCAGTAACATCGAGTTCGGGAAGATAAGCTTCTCTTCATTAAATTAGAAGAATGTTGAATTCATGTCCTGATCATCACACGTTTCTCAATAATTTAAAAAGAGGCCTGAATTAAGGAGGTGTGAGTAAATGATGATTTACAATGGTCTAAGTACAGCCTAGAGCACAACGCAAAAAGTGCAGGAAGTGCACCAAGCAGGTCAACGCGTCTTGGGGCTCGGCAAACACACGGTCAGGGGGAAAGATACTTATTTCAAAGATCTATCGCTTAAAACCAAATAAAAACGAAAGGTTGACTAGTATTTTTCCTAAGAAGCTGGGCCAGTCCAGGTGACGACAACATCAAGCAGAATTGTGTTCATGTTAATGGTAAACTAAGCCTGACGGTCAGTTGCGCCATATCCATTGTGTGGCCAAGGATGATCTTTTCTCTATTTGCGATTATTTGCAAAAATATATATTGCAAACCTCTTATTTATTGCATTCGTTTTTGCCCCGTACCAGAGAAGACAACGTTGCTGACGGGACACCGTTACATATAAAAATGCTACCGTTTTCATCACGGTCTTTTTCATAATTGGACCGCACGTCTTTTAAAATGATACACGGTACATACGCCTGATAGTTTTATTGCAACCAGCTGAGACGATAAACGGGAAAAAAAACAGCTACCTAGTTTCATTTTCGGTTGAAAGTACAGGAAGGAAAAGGCGTTGTGAGCGGACTAAAAAGTTCGGTTCCGAAGTGGTATCTGTCCGGTTGTTGGAAAGGTAGAATACGATAAAAATAGCTACGCAAACACCCCTTACCTGATTTCGTCCATTCTCAATTTTTAATTGAACAGGCAAACCATGGTAACCACTTTTAAGCACAGACACACACAGCAGCGCATTACTACGCCGCCTGTAAAATTTAAAGTATGAGAAATTCGTCTTTGACCAACACTTCCGGAACGAAACGTCACTTCCAGACTCGGGAAACCAAATTATCCTACAGCTTTTTTTTCTGGGATTGGTAAAAAAAAAAATTAAAAAAAATAAACATCTCGGTAAATCACAAATGATATGGGATTTCGTCTGGTGTGTCTGAGTTCTTGTTTTTTAATGTTACAACCCGTGGTATTACGGAGTTGCTCTTGAAAACTACAGTTAGGTTTAACGCTATCTCAAAGCCTTCTTCTATATGCTTCTCTGCCAGTAATACAAATAATTAATTTTACATGCAGGTTTACAATATCTGCGCTGCAATTGTACGTTTAGAGGCTAACGGAAACTGGGCTTATTATACTCAGATTTTCAATTAATATTTACAGGATAGCGGAAACAAAATCCATGAAACAAGATGAATACACACAAAGGTGTATGAAAATTCAAAGTCAAACGATGTTTCAGCTGTGCAGTAAATCGGAAAACGTTTCAGTGGCACCGCACCCTATTGGGTGTGACGCTCTCTACAAAGGTTTGTTTTGAAACTCCGGGTAAGCATCTGGATGCCCAGCTTTTTTCTTCAAACTCCGCGTAACCCTTATTTTCCGTACGATGGAAAAGACCGAAGTATTAGTCTGGAGAAAGTAGATTGACTGGCTCGTTACTGTAGCTCGGAGGTGCGAGGTAAGAAAACAATATGTGCACAACGTTGTTTAAACTTCGCAAACGCCATAAGAAGGTTAGAAACACAAAGGGCTTCCACACACAAAGCATCTCTGGTTGCAAAGGTACTGGAGGGGAAAGGTAAAATGAAAAGTCGGTGGCGTCTGGCTAGATCAGATGTCACCGACAAGCAGTCGTTGACGGTATAGGAAGACCCGAGGGATATGTTTTTAAAAAAAAACTACCTAGTTGAAAAATTCAACGTGTGATCCATTTTGACCGTGTTTGAGCAAGTTCGTTACTCGTGAAGTACTGAAGTACAGCAACGGTGTTGAGACCATTTGAATATGTTGTGGAGAGTGTGCAAGACCTATAAGTTATAAAAACAACGCACGAATACCAGTTATGTGATACAAATGAATCTTGTGTTTCTTTTGTTGAGTAATCGTCGCTGAGATCGAATTCATTTTTACCTATCAGACTTGCTTCGGAATTTAAATAATTTTTAGTGAGAATCATCTCTACTTAAAGCCAGGAACACAAAATAAGCTAAAGTATTTTACTGTCGTATATACTGTAACTTTGATAGTAAGTCCTGAATTACACAAATCTTAAACAGATTAAAATACAATGCTATATGTGAAGATTCTGTGTCAGAAATGCTAAGGAAGAAATGTCTTTTAATAATTATATAATGACAGGTTTCCATTAATTATTTATCACTAGAGGACAACAAAGACTCGTCAAATAGTGGGATGTTGATTTCTATAAGCACAGATTTATCACTATGAATGTTAAAATGAGGAAGGTTTGCTCAGCCTTTTGATCAGTGTAAGGCCAGTCCTTCGTAATGTAGGAATACAAGTTATGAAATTGTGACTACAGATGTGTGTGAATGATACCCGGTTAATTTTAGGTTTCAGCCCTTGGCTTGAGGTTTTAACAAAGCAAGCTTGGAATTTCAGAATAAGGCAACTTGGTCAAGAGGCTCCCTAATTGTTCACGGAGCGGCACTGTTTTACTTTAATACTTCTTATTATAATTGCATTTACCCATGGTGATAGATACCGAGTTTGACTAAGAGAGTTTAGGAATACATTTTTTAAATTTGCAGCTGCATTATGACATCTCAGTGCCACCATTTCGATATCAAAATCAATCACGGTACCTCATTCTGAGCCATGTTGTTCTCTGGTAGCTTTTGACCTCTGGTGACTGTTAAGCTTCATATCAGTCATCTTGCAGGGTATGAACAAGACTGGCTCAGTCCACCACTGTGGTTGACACAGCCCTCATGTGTCATTTAGTGAGTGATATCTGACTAGCCTGATGTTGATGTGCTGCACAATGTTACAATAAAGTGGCTCAGAAGATGATTGACAACCAACTTTACTTACATGTAACATGTAACTGTTTGGCCCTATCGTAATTGTATTAACTGTGGATTTTAATTTAAAAGTAGCTGTTTGATATGCTTAACACATGAGGTTTGATTCTGTCATCTTGTTAAATAGGGTTTAACCCGAGTCCGTTAGTGCCTGGAATGATTCCTACACAATCTGAAATTAAATATATTACCTGTTTTCAAACAGGTTCAGTTTACAATTCGAGGAAAAGATGGAGAAAGAATAATGCTGTTTTGACCTGCTTTAATTCTGTTGTCACTGGAATGATTTGGTAGAAGCATCGTGTGATATTATATAACAAATCATGCTGCTGTTCCTAAGGGTAGGTAAACCGATTGAGGTTTTGTCATACAAATTTGGGATGAAAATAAAAATCCAGAGCATTTTATTATTCGTTAGTCAGGCACAACTCTTGTATTTTTAGAATTCCTGTCACAATGAACACAATTCTTCAAAGCGCTAAATCTTCAGGTCTAGTCTGTGTGCACTTTTCATGCAGTTTGTGAAAGTGAGTTTAACTTTCTTTCCTTCTTCAAGTTGGGGGAAAAAAATCAAGTCACTAATGAGCAAGACAAAAAAAAGCACAATCAGTTTAGGCTTTGCTCTTGAAATTATTTTTTGTTCACTTTTTTTTTTGTTTGTGGTCATGCGTACTTTCATGTTTCCAAATTTTGTGGCTGTCATGGGGAGAAGAAAAAGTAATTTGATTTGTGGTTTTTGCATTGGCTGCTTCTTCTCTGCCACGTTGACTGTGTTTAAATAGAGTAAGAAAAGAAGGCAAACACAAGAACTGTAATATGGAATGTATCCCAGATGTCCGACATTACAAGCAGATGGCTGTCTCTCTGTGTTTCAGGAAGAAAGCTCAGCAGACTTGATTTCTTTTCACTTCAGTGCCGTGTTGACTGAGCTGTTGTTAATTAGTCGTGGAAGTGCAATGCAAATGATTATTACTGTAAACAAACTCCTTTAAGTGTTGATCAGTTGAATCACATTTAATAATAAAGACCATATATAAAATTACACAAATTACACCCTTAACGTGCTGTCTTTTTACGTAAACTTCATAATGACAGAATTATTTGAAGGCTGAAAAGAAACGTCTCTAGTTGTGTAGCTAGCAAAACTACACAAGACTGTCACTGCCAAGGAGGTGGAATAAGACTTGTAAACATTATATACAGTACAAAATAGTTTCCTTGTTCGCCACAGAAAAAATCCAGCCAACATTCTGATATTGTCTAAAATAAAAGATTAATTTCAGTTGTCCTTTATCAGTATACTGTATGTGCTTGTGATCTATAAGCAAATATGGAACACATTTCTCTCTCTGGAGCTGTTTTGAAAACCATCTTGTAAGTTACCAAATGGTAAAATCAGTTTAAGTGTGGAAATGCTTTTCCTACATTTGAGCTCATTAGAGGATTACCTTCTGTTCTTCCTGCAATCACAACCCTACAGGGGACACAACTGCCTTATGAGTTCTCAGATGTGTCAGTTCAGAGCTAGCTGCTTAAGACTGCTGTTTTGCCCTGATTATAACTTGTCAGCATGACAAAGCTTACTTGACAAGTGATAATGGATATATTCATGTGCAAGGGTAAAAGATCTGTCCAAAGCTTCTAACTGTGTCTTTTTGCACAGTCCATATACAAATTCATGAGACAGTGCTGTCTCCCATAGAGTTGTGACTAGATGAAGAGCTCATTCATATTCATACCCTCATGCTTTAGTCATGTCCTTTCTGAACTTTTGCTTTACGTAAGCAATGGAAGAAAAAGCTTTAAAACCTTAATTTTTATGTATTCTGAAATCTACTGAGCAAATGGCTCCCCAAAAGAGGGCATTTCATGTTCCTTATACACCAAAGTAAGAATTAAAAAACGGATAGAAAAATGTTAAAAATAGGCCCGTTTAAAAAAAAAAAACAGCTGTCACAAAAATTTCATTTCAGATGTTCTCAGCACAGTGTACTGAGATTAAACAATAAGTAGGTAATGTAGACAGGCTGTCTGAAACAACTGATTGAGACAAGACAGCTATTTTTCCGTTTGTTTTTTTACACCATAAACAATGTTAACCATAATAAAAAATATATTTGAAAAGATTATAAAGGAAAACATTTGCTCAGCAATATCAACAAATCTGCATGGTTATGGCTTCTTGAGAAATGACGGTTAACACACCCAGTTCTCAGGATATCTGCAAGGGAAACTGCCGCCACTTTTTCCTTACCTAAAATCCTAGAGAATGCATTACCATTCCTTTGATACAATCTTGCATTATAAAGTATTCTGGAGTTCATTTATTGGAAGCAAAGACAACACTTTTTTCTCTCGCGAACTATGATCTCTTATTTATCTTATATTATATTATTTATCACTCTGATACTGGAATATGGCCTTGCAGTTTGCCAAGACAGAGGTCAGAAGAATGAAGTAGCTGCTCTATATAGTATTGGACTGTGACTTGCCATGTGCAGGTGCGTTTCAACGTCTGCTAGCAAGAGTATTTATGACTTGTGTACCTCTTGGTAATAGAGAATATCGCTTACTTATTAAATTAAGGTCATTCTGTTTTCGGTATTTTCTGCTTATAATGTTTACATTTTCTTAGATCATGTTTTTGGTTTCAACTAAGAACGTCAGAAGAGTAACAAATTAAACAAGAAACGTTGCAAGAAGAAAAAGATTCACCCTCCAGACCCCACAAGAGTTAGACCATAACCAGTCTTTCATTTATTCTAGTCCAGCTTCCCTCCAGATCTCCAGAGTGGCAGTGCTAGCCTAATTTATTCTAAAGGTATAAAGTCCTAGTGTCACTATATCCCCGAAGTACGGCAACTTTTGTCTTGTCAGTAGGATATGAGGACGGAGCCACAGTCCTAACCTTGAAATATTTATCTCGACTCACAATTTCTAGTTCATGAAAACTCCTGTTGAGGTCTGCTGAGCCTGTTTGAATTCTTTTCTCCCTGTTCGTCTCCTGCTTAAATAGAACACACCACAGGGTATGGACTCTTTAGTTTTTCATTCTTCTGAACTGAAGTGCATTAGCCAGTCCTTTAAACCCCAGTGTGAAAGTTAACGCTCCTCTGGGGTATTACAGTCAGGTAGATTTTTAACCTCATTGCTGTATGCTTGCAGGGGTGTACTCATCTTGTGTCTGCAGCTGACATCTCAGTAAAGCAGAAAACCGGACCGCCAGCTGTGTGTTAAATGGATGAGCCCTGTGATTAGCTGATTGCCGTAAAGGTGGGTTTGATCATTTTGCAAGGCTCTGTAAATACTGTATACTGCATTCATTCACCAGATGTTGTTGTACAATTCCTAAAATTATTTAAATCATTTTTTTAAACTAAGATGTGATTTTTTTGGCATATAACATGTTCATGTTTACAATGAGGAAACCGTCTTGCCCATCTAGCTTGTTTGGTTTTTGAAAGTTTTCTTTGTATGTTTGATTATGTATTACAGCGGAAACTGAGAATTTGATCCTTCATGCTGTGAGAATTTGAGCCTTTAAACCTTTTCTGTTGTTGCATCAGCATTATAGTGTTGATTCAACCTTTTGAGCCCATGGAAAGTAATACAGTGGAAATTAGTAATGATCTGAATTTAATGAGGCATTGCTTCTGATTTCCTGCGTTTTTCTTTAAGACAATTAACCCATTTGGCTGATTTTGTTTTCTGTGTCTAGACGACGTCGAAAGTGAAATGCTGGGGTAATGATAGTGAAGCAAGTGGAGCCACTTTGGAGTTTTGCCTGGACAAGCAGGATGGGCTTTCACAACACTCTCCCATCCTGAATCCCCTTCGCCGTTTGCTTTCTGGATGCTGAGGGGCTGTTGAGGCGAGCCTGAGGCGTAGCCATGGCGACTGACAGCCAGGCCAGGAAGCCGTCGCCGTGGCGCTTCCTCCCGCTGTTCCGCAGCCGGCCGGAGCGTGTGGTGCTGGCGCGCAGCGAGAGCTACCCGGGGGAGGGCGTGCTGAAGATCACCTTCACCGAGACCACCGTCATCGAGGCCGATTCGGGGGTCTGGAACTCCAGGGCTCTCGCGTTCCTCGCTCTGTGGTATTTCTTTAGCTTCTGCACACTCTTCCTCAACAAGTACATCCTTTCCCTACTGGAGGGAGAGCCGGGCATGCTGGGTAAGCTGCTTTTAGGTCTGCTGATCGCCACAGCAGTCGTTTTTTATTCAGTCAGATACGTTGGAGGTGTGAAAGGGCAGTGAAAATACTGATTCCCCTTTGCTCTACATTGCAAATGCAAATGCAGATTTCAGTGTAGAGCTTTAGGGCCAGAAACTGCTGGACTTTTTACGTTACCTTTCAAATCAGCCTTTGAATACTTACAGTTGTGAAGTTATGATGCTAAAACTACTAACTCAATGCAACAAATGCAAACGAAGAGAGAAAGAAAGACACCGGAAAGCAGAGGGACCTGCAAGAGATCACTGTAGTAATTGTAGTAATTTATAATGATTTTCCTTGTAAGATCTTGATATTCAAACAGTGAAAGCAGGAATCTGATTTAGGCCAGCGCTCTTAAGTGACTCCCAAATAACAGGTGTTTGCAGTTTTTACTTTGCTGTCATTAAGATGAGATACAAAAGATTATTGTCATATTGTTTTGATGTAGCTGGACTATAAATAGGAATATGTTTTACTCATTGGAAAATGTAAGTCTTCGTGACTCTGATCAGTAGTTTGGGGGTTTTGTCTCTCACAGGTGCTGTTCAGATGCTGTCCACCACTGTGATTGGCTGTGTGAAGACATATGTCCCCTGCTGCCTGTACCATCACAAGACACGGACGGAGTACCCTCCCAACTTCATCATGATCATGCTGTTTGTTGGATTAATGAGGTCACTGCTTTTCCTTAATAGGATGTTTATAAAGCAGACTCTTGCACTCCTATTCTCAGAACTCCTGTTCTCGGTATGTTGCCCGATTTGTGGCAACTGGTTGGTGTTGCTGTAGATGGGGAAACTGTGGAGTCTCACAGCTCAGTTCCTCTCTACAGGTGGAAGCTGTTTTGTATAAGAAGCAGTTAAAAAGAGACCCAGGTTGACTTCTCAGAGGTCATTATGCTACTATGACCTCTGCTCAGCTGTCTAGTCTTCTATGTTATCTGAGGACAGAGACAAGCTGACAGGCTCTGTGTCAGGCAGGTTATTAAAAAAGCATTTTCTTAACATAACTCATAAGTACAGTATATTTAGAGACGAATTCTACAAACATGATATTTGACGTGGCCTCTCATAATTTTTTAATTTGCTGAATAAAAAGCACTTTTTCTGTCTCTGCATGTTCAGATATTGTCACAACCTTTGATTGAATTTCGTAATACTACCTGTTAGAGAGTGACCATGCTTCAGATGTGCCAGCTCATGGGGTGCAGTCTGTAGCCATCGAGCTCATGAGAAACTTCTGTCCTGAGGTGTGGCTCTATTTGTTCATATCCCTTGTGTTTGCGTTTCCTGGTCTCCCAGGTTTGCCACAGTGGTGCTGGGGCTGGTGAGTCTGAAGAACATTGCAGTTTCTTTTGCCGAGACAGTGAAGAGCTCAGCTCCACTCTTCACTGTCATTATGTCCAGGTTAATTCTGGGCGAATATACAGGTAACCATGTGCTGTTCATTTCTGTATAAATACTGGTTCACTGGACCACTTTTGACATATGCTGTACATGTTGGAGAGTGGATAACTGCTTAACACCTCTCAGTGCACATTTTCCTGACACTTGTGCAGCTGTGTGTTTAAGGTTTAACAGCCAGTTTCTCGAAGGTTCCAGCTTCAGTTCTTGGAACGTACTAACAATACAAATAATATTTTTAATCTGTGTATTATAACACAAACTATGTAACAAAATTTAACATGTAATGTTTCTGTGCTGTCTTCTCATCAAATGATTCCAGGTTACTTTCAGCAAATAGAGATAAAGAAATTGTAATGCTGCATTAATTATGTGATCATTTGCTATACAGTATGTACTTGACCTAGAACATTCAGGATCCCATCCTGTATGAGCACGTTAACTTGGATGTGAGCTAATGAGCATGTTGAGACGTTGCTTAACATGACCAAAATGGTATGGCCTGTCAACATTGCTGTGCCTGTGAAATATTTTCATTTTGCGCTCACTTATTGCACTTTATTGGTGGCAATTTTTGAATTATGTAAAATATTTCATAGAACTTCACTTAATAGTAAATTGATAATAGTATATCTATTAAACCTTAATTAATACAACTAAATATTAATCTGAAGTCTTAATTGAACTAGTTCATCATTTTTATAGTTCAGATCTAAAAATATCACACTGCAAATTTAAAACCTGCTTTAAACATCCTGTTGGGATTCTTAAATGTTTGTCCTAAATGGATTCCATCATAATTAGCAACTTCATTGTGTTGTTATTTTTTTTATTAGGGCAAAAACAGGAGCATACTTGACATGGCAGCAAATGTTTTACACTTCCCATGTGTCTGTGCGCCCCCTTGGTTGTTCTGATGGTGCCTGTGCTGTTTGTAGGCTTGTGGGTGAATCTGTCTCTGTTTCCTGTCATGGCGGGACTAGCGCTCTGCACGGCCACTGAGATCAGCTTCAACATGCTTGGCTTCTCTGCAGCGCTGTCCACCAACATCATGGACTGGTAAAGCACTCCTATCAGGCAGATATTCAGTGTGTTCATTTTCTAGTTGATCGGAATGCATAATCTCTGGGTAACTCTTCTTTCTAATTTTCTTCTTTCCTTTTGTAGTTTGCAGAACGTCTTTTCGAAAAAGCTTTTAAGTGGAGACAAGTACAAGTTCAGGTTGGTCTGTAACTTTTATTATTTGTGAACCAGATATACTTTTACCTTTGGTTTATTGAGAAATGAGGATTTCTGGTGATGCAAATATGTATTTTAGTTAGTGTTATTTTGAAAAATATATTAATGTCTTTGAACAAATATGTTTTTGTTGCTTTCCAACAATTTAATATGAATGTTGATGCACTGGAATCTGTTAAATATTAATTCACACTGTGTAATATTGTCATGTACTGTGAAACGCTGTGTGAAATTTTGTTTTTCTTTTGTCTTGTTTCCATCCTGTTCTATTGAAATTAGCATTCCTGTTTTGCTCCTCAAATATTAATAAAGAAACCTAAATGTGTCCCAGACTCCTTAGAGTAAACCTTGAAAAAGGTCTCCCTGTTTTTTTAGTTAAATACTTCAGAAAGTAAAACTCACAACATTTGAACAGTGTTGGGCCTCAGAGGTTCTTTCCTCAGAGTTAGAAACTGGTCAAGGCGTGTAAAGACAGGTGCTCTAACACTTTACCCAAATATTGTAGGCAGTGAGATTGAGAAATTTTGATCACAGTTCAGGCGAGAAACTGAGTATCCTGCTGCCCTCAAATGGAGTTAATCTGCGCCTGATCTGGCAAAACGTGTGGAAATAGCTTGTTCAGAGCGAGAAACGTCAAGTGCTCTTCTGCTTTGTCTTCAGCCCACCAGAGCTTCAGTTTTATACCAGTGCTGCAGCAGTCATAATGCTAATACCTGCCTGGATCTTCCTCATGGTGAGTTATGTCCGAAACCTGATCTGCATTAAATGTAGTAATTCAAGCAAAACACTTCCATTTTCTCATCCATGACTTAAGCCATTCTCCTGTGTGACAAGCTCTCTCGTCTGACTCAGTCTGTCAGCCATACTGTTTCTTCTTAACTGTATTGCACTATGCTAAAGAAGAAGATAACAAAACTGCCGTGCATATTTTCCTGTTGCCTTCACTGAGGTTGTGTGAAAAAAGACCCCCCTTTTAAAAAGTTTGTTAAAATGAGTGTCATGGCTCGTGTTTGCAGAACAGCAGGTTTGCAAAATAAATCAGTCTTCATTTTCAATGATACTTAGAAATGGGACTCCTACCCGATTCGAGATCGAGTTAATAGCTTTTACTTTGTTCCAGCGAAACGGCTGGTCTCTTTTGTGTTTAAGGGCCAAGCTGCCATTATCAGAAATTTAAACATTATTCACATTGTTTATTTGAAAAGCAAGCAAATTTGCAAATGGCTAATATTTTAAATGCGCAGCCTGAACTGCTTTCCCTAGGACAAACTCTGTGGGTTATCCTCAGTTCTTATTTGTTTCTGTGTTCCATTTATTTCATTACCACTTCTCCTGCAGTTTGCATAGGATGCATCTCTTGCCAGTTTATGAATCATCAACGAAATCTCATTGGATTGCTGCTGTGCCGAAGTGCTGGGTCTACTGGGCGTTCGGGGGCCTGTTGCGATTGATGGATTTCACTTTGTTTGAACATGCAGGATGTTCCAGTGATCGGAAAGAGTGGGCGAAGCTTCAACTTCAGTCAGGACATCATCCTCCTGCTTCTGTTTGACGGGGTTCTCTTTCACCTGCAGAGCATCACAGCTTATGCACTGATGGGCAGGATTTCCCCAGTAACCTTCAGGTGAGGGCCTGCAGACTGACAAGACTTGCTTGGCTGTGTGTTTGTCCCCTGCAGAAATTAGCTTGTTAAGAAGCTTGTGACAGGCTGGTGAAATGACAACCGCAAAACAGCATCCCAGCTGGTCTGTAAGGCTGCCCTGTGGCTCATCGGTCTTCCCTTAGTCTTCTACTTGAGTTGCAGCCACCAGCATCTCAGCTGCTCTGAAGGCTTTTAGATTGGATCTCCTGCAGATCCCTGGAGGGTGGCTTCTCTCCTGCACAGCAGCCACACCTCTACTGAAGAGAACAGTCATGGCTATATAGGCACAATCACAGCTGCTGTTGTATTACAGCTTGTGGCAGCTGTGGTCTCCCGGACGAGCAATAGCTGACACCCTGTCACAAAGGCGTTTGAGCTGCGGTACATTAACTCACACATTTGGTAATTAGGATCTGCTGCATCCGAGAATAACCTTAAATGCCTTAAATGAATAACCTCTTTGGTGTGCAGAAGGAGAAACGAAAACAAACTGTGAGGGTTTAGTTATGCTGAAAGGTCAATAGAGACCAGAAGTAGTCAGGTTTGCAGCTATGGTTTCTGAGAAACAGTTAAGCAAATGACTCAGGACTCTGTTAGTGCCCTGCATTCTAATGTGAAAATCAGCTTGCAGAAACAGCTGAATTTGTGCTGTAGTTCCCCTCTGTTACAGGCAGCTCTACCACATATTGATAGAACATACTGCACAAGTTTTTGGCACACAAAAGGGGACAGACTAGATTTAGTCTCACCACGGCATATTCAGACTCCTGGGCTGTGTTGAAGTCAGGGCTGGGGATTTCTATATAAGTCTAACTTTGCTCCTTTTTTTGTGGAGCTAGCACTGATCTAGGACCAGAGATGGGAGCTGTTGTTGATAGCTTGCTCCCAATATATGTGATATACTTGAGTCCTCAAAGACCACATTTCTATCAATTGGACAAATTGTTTGCTTATTTGAGTAATCATTTATAAGTGTTCCCAAACTTTAGAATTAGGTGACTGATAAGACTAAATGGATTGGAGCACTCCAGGAACAGATTTGGAGACCCCTGGCACATGATAACAGCTTGAATCTGTCTTATCAAACCTTATGTCATACTGCAAGCACATTCCTGAGGATTTCCAGCCACCCTAACAAAATCAGGAATGCTGTACAGCAGGAAGGGTTGATAGTGAAATGTGGAATGTTATCTTTTACTGGATGAAGTTGATCGATCTAATACCCCTCTCTCTGTCTTTTTTTTATTTTCTCTTTTCTGTTTCCAGTGTGGCCAGCACAGTGAAGCACGCCCTGTCCATCTGGCTGAGTGTCATCATCTTCAGTAATAACATCACAGTCCTGTCAGGAGTGGGGACAGTGCTGGTCATCATCGGGGTCATGCTGTACAACAAGGCCAAGCAGGCGCAGAGGCACAGCTTGCAGGCATTGGCCCATGCGGCTCACCCACAGAATGAGAAGCCCCCGCTGCAGGAGAGCGATGTCAGGCCCATGCAGGAGTAGCAGCCCACACTGACGACGATGAGGTGATAACTGACAGAGGCCTGTGCAGTGGGAGTCCAAAGGCCAAGGTCCAAGGCCAGTGAAAGCTTGTGACTCCATGATTTGCACTTTCTCCTCTTTTCACCTTTAAATCATTCATGAGGAGAACCTTAGTGCTCCTTTACTGACTTTATTTTATGCCTGAAGCCCTTCTAATCGAGCATTTTAAGTGCTGCTACTGGGAAAGACCAATAAAATGGCCACATTCCACTTTAAAAGAATGAGCTGCCTCACTGTGGCCAGTTCTTTGTTGCTTGTTCTTCTGCATCACCTTTTAGATGTGGAATTCCTCATTGTGTGCAGCTCAGGGGAAAGTAGTGACTGAAAGTTGATGGACTTCCAAAGCCACATGGTTCCATTATCTCTCCTTCTGTGCCTGTGTGGGTGGTGACCACCCCACTGCACCCACGCGATAGCCTCGGCTATCTTGCCTGCACATGTGTTCTCAGAACATGGGAGAGCGGTTGTGGAAAAAACAGCCCTGAGATTCCCTTGGGAATTCAGCATGTGCAGATGGTGGCATCTTTTGGTCATTTCGCCTAATTTCACTCTGTTGCAAAGGGACTCCAAACCCGCATATTAACGGTACAGGCCAGCAAAACAGATGCTCAGCAGCATGGGGCCTTAAACCACTGCTGAACGTCTATGGAAAGAAATTGCCTACCTTTTCATACCTTAATATGGGAGTGTTTCTCCACATGAATCAATCGTCTGCCTGTCTCTCAGACACTGTTTAAAGTTGGAGATTTAAATATTTGAAATACAAGAGGAAAAGTGTTATGATTTAAAGAAAACAGATCACTATATAGAACTGACCACATGGTAAAAAAAAAAAATAATTTCTTGTTAAAGTAACATATTAAATCTTATTAATTTTCTGTTTGAAAGTCTTAGAGCGAGCACCACATTTCAGATATACTGGGAAACATGGATGATGTTCTCAGCTGAAAACCCCCACATGAATATGCCTTTTAAAAATGTATTCACATGATTCAAATTTGTTTTTTAACGAGTATCTTTAATAGAGGGTTTCCTTTTTTAGAGACAAAGCTCACAACGGATTGGTAGTTCTGCAGAGCGCTTTTTAAAAGTTGTATTTTTTTATACTGACAGGTGTGTGTTCATGTGTAGTCTGGCTATTTTTTTTTACTTGTAGGTTACCATAGTGCTAAACACTAGGAATAGAAACTGTTCATAATGTAATACTGGGTAGAATATTGTGTAATCCACTAATGTTCTATATAAGGTTATGAGGTGTACTGTACATCTCCATAAAAACGGAGCCTTAATTTGTTTTCCACAAGCTTAATAGTGTAGCAGAGAAAAGACCTTGTGTAAATAAGTGTACAGGGTCTTTTGTTGCAAGCAAGAGGAGGATGCTGAGAAAGAGATGTGACAGAAGTAGTTGTAAGTAAAATGGGAACGGTATTCTGTTGCTCATTTCGGTACTTCACAATGAATAATGAATAAACAATAGCAGTATTTTGATTAAAATTAGGTTAATCTTTGCTTGTCAGTGTTTGGAATGCTAAGGAGCCTTGTTTTTTTATGGAAGGGACTTATACAATGACTTGGGAGCAGAAAATCTGTGCAGATATCGGTTCATGGTTAATGCAAACAGATTTGTAGCACGAAAATGTTGATCACGCGACTGAGATCCACTTTAACATCAACTAGCAGAAGAGTTTACTTTAACTTTTCTTTATTTTAGTTGTGAACCCAGCTATGGTTTTCCAGGATTTAACTCGTTTTAAATATTGACGGAATATGTTTCAGGAAATTTGATCTCTGCGGGACTTTTGTCCTACAGTCTCCCACTGACTTCAATACTGGGAATACCAGCCACAGAGATCAAGAACCCGGTTTTGGTTCCTCTTTGAAATGGAAGTGATGGTTTCTGTCTTTCTAGAAACCCCATTCAGGGTCCTTTGTGCAATCTGTAATGGCAAAAGGTTATTAATTTTGTGTTTTGATTGTCATACAGGGTATGTGATTTTTCCATAGCCTTTGAACCACTTAAACTATTTAAATAGTGCTCTTTCAATAATTTCTTTTAAAACTATTTTTTTTTCTCATGGCCATGAAGCATGGCTGGGTTGCTTTAAAGAATCATCTCATTGCACCCTTGTACACAGTTCACTGAAAGTGGCTAAATTTAAAACTAGGGAAATCTAAAGATTTTTTTGGAGAGGATAGGTTTTAAAATGAAAAAAAAGAAATGTCCAGTAAATTGTATACCACATCTGAAGTGTTGATATCAAGCCTGTGTGAATCTGTAAGGTTGAGAAATGTGGCCATTAGGGGAGGAGGCTGTATGGGTTTGGAGAGGCTTTGACCTAAGGTTGCCTCTTCCAGGTGAGACCTGATGCCATTGCTTACTGTCTCACTGTTTCATGTCCACACCTGAGTGTCTAAGCCAAACAGGAAACAGGAAGGAATCTGTGTGGGTATTCTTCATCGTTAAGCTACTGACTGTCAGCAGAGGGGTAGACATTCCAAGAGCTCTGGAGGTGATGAGCAGCATCTTTTGTGACAAACTGGACATAAAAAAAGGAAGTCGAAGGGTGTTCATATGAACTGTGAGAGTGGTGTGTCTTTTACAACAGAAGAGGTCATAGAGCATCCTTTTGTTTGAAGAGGAACTTCCATGAAATGGAGTTGAACCACTTTTTCCTACCTACGGAAATCCAGATGTTATACATTTGTCATAGCCCTCATTGCTCACATTACATCTTGCATTCTGGGGAACTGATTCTGGCAAGTGACTGTGTATTAATAGACTTGAACCAAGTCCTGGTTTGTTAATTTTATTTTATTCCATAGCCTAAATACAACTGCCACGTCAACAACTCCGCACTGAATTGTTTTCCCAGATATTGACAAGAGCAGTGTTTTGCCTCTGTTTTTGGCCCACCTCCAATCCCATGCCAGCCTTCCTCCAGCGCTGGCTGGCACTTTCACACTTGCAGACGTTTTGTCCTGGGTGAAGTGAAAGTAGCTTTGCGTATGACCCCTCTTTTTCAGATTTGTATTTTCAAGAATGTAACGTACTGCGCTTCAACACGTTTAAAGATGTCAGCAGAAGGGTTACCGTTAACTTGACAATGCGCCGTGCTGCTGGAGTTCCCAGACTTCCCTTACCTCCTTGGCATCCTGATCCGTTTTTGTAAACTTGTTAACTCGAGGTGCGAGTCATGTTCGAGAATTTTATCTGGGATGCCAGATCAGCTGCAGTCACTGTTTTTTGGCGAGAATGTACAAATGCGTACACAATTAAGGATTAGCTTTCATTTACAAATGCAGTGTTGTTAAGAAATGAAATCTGCACCAAAGCTTTGACCATTGTAAGCTAGCGTGTGGTGCAAAATGTAAGAAGTATTTTTTACATAGTTATTTAAAAAAACTGTTAATGGCATGTAAGATGGACAGTAAGACTACTTGTTAAATCCTGTGGATGTTACTAGTGTTTGATTTCAGGGTGCCGAATATGTTCAGTGTTTGCTTTGTCTTCCTTGCATCAGCACTTGTAGTATTGTAATTCTCCTTCTTTCTATTTTCTAAAGACAGATCAGTCTGTCAGATATGATGCCCATTTTGACTTGGGGCATCCCTAAGATTTAACAGATATGGAAAATGATTTGCCCGAGACCACTCTGATATTCGCAGTGTTTTTAACCGCAGCCTGAATATTTTCACAAACGTAGTCAATGGCCTTTGGCTCTCAGTGAAATAATTTTGAGACAAATACCTTGCAATACATTTCACAGAGCAGTACTGAATTTGTTTGGTGTAATTAATTTCTAACTAGAGTAATAAAAGAGCAGCAGGGGTTGATCTGTAATAATGTTGCACCTTCTAGGATGACTGTTGTGTTTTATGCATGCGTTAACTGTCCCAAGTACTACCTACAATATCGGTCTGTAATATCTTGAATGGACAAGAACCTTACTGTGCTGCCTTTGCTTATTTTAGAGTCCTGTTTGTCCTGTTAGAATGGTGATGATCATAATCTGCTGCCTACGATTATAAGTGATTACTCAGTGACTTGTTCCCCCAGAGACTCTGGTGGCTGTGCCTAAATAAGAGGACCATCCTTAGAATCTTTGATGTACTCTGTTTGCGTTATATTGTGAGTGTATAAAGGAAATTGTCTAATTGTAATTAAATACTGTCTTAATGAGAACTGTATGTTTGTGTATTGCTTAACACAATCCAATAGAGAATGATTCTAAATGTGTTTACTATATTTTGCTATGGTGTGCTCAGCAAACCAGTACGTAACAACGTTACATTGATGGTTAAAACCATATCCATATAATTACCACTATGCTGAAGATCTCAATGAGGGTGTAACATTAATCCAGTTTAACCACCATTCACTTTCACATGCTGTAGATCTGATCATAATGCCAGTCCACTGGTAACATGTTGGAACATCTTTAATAAGTAATTTCCTTATAACTTTCTTCCTATGCTTTAGAGGACTTCCCAGTATATACAGTAGTGTCTTCCATTTCCATTAACTCAAAAGGGGCAATAAAAGAATTTGAGTAGTACATTTCGCTATTATTTGAGAGCTAAATGTGTACAGTACCTTTCCAGGAATGCTGTATCATCAGATACAAATACTGTCAGTGTCAGTGAGTCAAATCATCTTCTCCACATGTCCATCATTATGAAGTGCTTCCTTTTTCTTTTACTTGTATTCTAGGACTTATAGAAAAGACAAGTATGCATTGAATTGTCAAATCTGTCCGTGTTTTTGAAGACTTGATTAAATTTGCATACTGTATATTCCAATGATCTACATATTTTCATCACTTTTTAATTTTAATAGATTGTTCTGGTTTCATATATTCAGTATTATAGCTTTGGTATTATTCTGTTTACTTCTGATTATAAGCAGCAATGCAAATCTCAATTTTGTTATTATTGCATTTCTATGTTTTATACATCCAATACCATAATCTTGAATTTGGGCCATCTAAAAAGAATCTGTCTTTACTCAGTTATCGATCTGATAACTTCAGAATTCGACCATGCTTCGTCATGTGTAGTGCCTATGATCCATTTCACTGTCTCTGGCTTGAATTGAGACTAAGAATTTTTAGGAAAAAGAAGTGAAAGAGGAAGAGTATGTACAGAGAAAAAGAAAAATATCTAAATGTAACCTGAAAGTATTGATATTACATTAAAGGTCTTAAAATTAAAACACTATAAAGAACATAAAGTTTGCAAACAATGAATCCATTCAACCCATCAATCTTTTTATGGAACTGCAGAAGACTATGAAGTTTAAGATTCACTTCAGACGTATCTTAAAAAGGCCCAGAGATAAGTCTTCAGTCTCCTGACGGGGAAGCATTCTGCAGATGCCCAGGACTCTCTGTAGAGAAGTGCTTTGTGCTTTTTTATTCTTCATCCTAAATTATTTACAATTACAATTGTGACCCTGTTTCCCTCTTTCACTACTGATTGTGAAATAGTCGAACAGTATTAATCCTATTTTATATGAAGGAACTAAATCTCCTTTATTCTAGACTGCAGGAATTTAACCTGTTTGTACATATGACAATACCCAGAGACCAGGAATCCTTCCTGTTGTTCCTCTTTAAAATCTTTCCAAGGCTATAATATACTTTTTGTGGGATGTTGACCAAACCTACTGAATTTAAACAGAAGTTGTGGATATTACTTTTTTATGCAATTCAGTTGTTTTGAACTTTTTTACTTTTCAGTTCATTTAGTATTTCCCTACCTCCAAGCTGTCTTGATTTGTAAAGTGTATTTGAAATCAATGTAAATTCTTTATTTTTCTTATCCCACTGTTCAGAAGTGCTGTACAGTTTGTGTGTTAAATAAAAAATAATTTGTGTCTATCTCGGTCTTCGTCTTGTGAGGATTATTTCAGGTAACCAGCCATGTTGTTGAAGCTGATTCCGTGGCTTCTCTGAAACTTAAATTCTCGATTCAATCGTCTCACAACTGAGTGACAAGATGGGCTGAATGTCCTCCCATTGGTTAACTTCTCATGTTTTGCCTAATGCAGATTTCTTACCTGTAGGTGGGTAGCTGCGTCAACATGTGTAGGCTGCAAAGGAACAAGTAATAGGTTTATTCCTGCTGAAAAGAGAAGAAAGAAAACACGATGTTTCGGCAGTGGAGCCTTCTTCAGGTGTGAGAAAGACATGGCAGTAAGCAAAGGTAATGTAGCATAGGAGAACAAAAGCTGGGAGAGAGGAGGAGCGAGAGATTGGAGCAGGGGACAGACAGAGTGGCCAATCAGGTAGTGTGAAGTCAGGATAGGTGAGAGGTGTGAAATGAAACCTACAATGAATAGAGAGAATTTAGAAGAAAATGAGTCTGTTGTTGAGAGAAGGGGAAAAGTGTGATCCTAGGTGTGATTCTTACATGAAAATCGATACATGGAGCTACTCCATCTTTTTATCCAAATGGTCAGTCAAAATCATTGATCCAGAGGAAATGCTTACAAATAAAATAATTATTCCAACATCATTTTAAGAAATATAGAATCTACAGGTAGCTTAGTGTAAGCTTTGAACACATCAACTTCCTTGATGAGGATGGATTTATCCTTCTAAATGTATTGCTTCACTTTAAAGAAATGTAAAAATAATTACTGATGCTAACTCATTCCTGGTTTCTTCATCAGCATCTGCTTTGACCATAGTAAGATGGCAGCCCTACTTAATATACATTGTCAGGATAGGCAACTAGTTTACAAACTTATATTTAAAAAGGGGATAATATTAATTTTATTTTAAAAGAACTACACGTTATGGTAAACTTCAATCCCATTGGAAACAATACAAAAATCGTTTGTAATTGACTTATTATACTGGCACGTATATACGTAAGTGAAATGGTCTGGGAAGAGTCCTATGTTTGAACATTTTAAAATAGATGTAAAGGCGTCATAACATTAAACATTAAAGCTGTGGGAACCTTATCTTTATTTACGGTTTACATTTTATTCCTAATATGTATTTGTATTGTAATATTTACCCCTGACGTTGTTATTGATATGTTATATGTACCCTTGTTTGTATTGTATTTTCTTTTGTATTTCAAATAAAAAGTTTGGAAAAATATAAGCAACTAGTGCTGTATTATGGTACATATAATGTGTTCATGCCTGTACCGGCTGAGAAGAACAGGAAGTAGCGTCATATCGGAGCGTCCGTTTGGAGGAAGTGGTTTTTTTTTTACTTTCCGGCAAGAGGTTGTTCGTTCCAGGTGCGTGGAGCATAAGACAGGTTTGTAGATGTTTTTTGTATGTAAGAACAGCGGAGATTTGTTGTTTAATTATAGTGAAATGATCTATTGCAAAAGGCGACGACCGATTCAGGATTTGAATGGTCTAGCAAATTGAACTAAACAAAGTAACTTGCGGCCCCTTAGTTAAGTGTTGGGATGGAAGCTACTGTAGTAGTTTTTGCGCACGACCGCTTGTAGATATTTCGAATAATTGCTAAAAAAGGAGTATGTAGGAACTAGTAACACGGTATGATTGTGATGAACATTTGAGGAATATTAACGTGTCTTCTCATTGATATTTAGTGAGAGGAGAGTGTGGTATCTTAAAAGACAGCAACATGGCCTTTCGTTTCCATCCATACGACGTCATAGCAATATAGTTCGCAGTATTGTTGACACTAGTAGCAAGCGGTTGTTTTCTAGCACGATCGTTATCGTACACGTTGTATGAATTGAAATGGCATGATTAAAATTGTACGGATATTTATTAAGAGTTAGGCGGCGTGTTTTTACGTTTTATTAGTGTAGTAACGGAAAAATAAGTTGGTGGTTATAAAACCACCTGTTTAACAGGTCAGACAGCATGACAGTATAGACATTCCCATTAAGTGTGGAAAGTTAGAATTTAAATCTGTTATTACCCACGTGAATCAGTTTTGAACCCGTTTTTCCTCCTTTATTATAGAAATGTTAATGCTTATGGATCAGGTACAAATTAGCGATCTGCTGTATTGCTGAAACATGGAGACGTGGTTTCGCCTATTAAGACCTTATTCAGATGTTGGATTCTTTGATATTTAGTTGGATATAATTGTTTTTTCTGGGAATAATGACGATACTTAGCATTGGCTCTTAGCTGTTGGTGCGAAATGAAAATGTACTCGCCACTATTCATGTATGAGAGTGGGGAGCCTCTTTTTAAGAAATCGCTTACAAGAAGAATCCCTAGTTCAAACAGAAGCTCACGCCTGAGCTGACAGTTATTTTAAACAATGCTATTAAAGTATAATATATTTCACACAGACGTGTAGGAAGATGAATCTCCTGTAAGCAAGGTGATGGATTTTAAACCCTACTAGACGGCTAACAGCTGACAAAGTGTTCTTGGGGCACCTCCTGAATAGACTCCTAGGTCTTCCCAAATATAGCTGAATATGTCTGATGGAAAACATTGAGAAAAAAGATGTAAAATATGTTTTGATTAAAGAAGTTTAATCTACTTCTTTTCCAAACAGTGTTATTTGTACCAATGCATAAAGTCCTTGTCATATGTCTGTGCAGTATCCAGTCATGTTCCCTTTTTGTTAAAGTCAAATGATGAATGTTAGAAAACACTGCAACTCCTTTTTTATAGTTGTTGCGGTTTTGCATTTCATTTGCAACCCGGGACTAATTTGTGCAACAGACCGCTGCTGAATTTCATGTAGAAACGCCGGCGTGTTTACGGTTCAGGTTCTGTGTCTCGTGTAGCAGAGTGCGCACACAGCTCCTCTTTGACTTCCTGGTCCTGCAGGTAACAGTGTGCTGGAGCTGATGGGGGACGAAAAGGACACCTGGAAAGTAAAGACGCTGGACGAAATCCTTCAAGAAAAGAAACGCAGGAAAGAGCAGGAAGAGAAGTCAGACGGCAAGCGGCAGAAGAACGTGAGATTTCTTTCGTTGGTTTGCAGAGGCAGTGTCTGCAGCAGCCAGCTCCTCACCGCTGTGTTTGAGCGGGCTGACACTGCAGTGCCCTCTCCTGGGCTTTTCAGGTTGAAGTATTTACAACTTAGCAAATTAAGTCAGGTCGTTGTGGACGTTTTTCTTTAACTGTTGCTTGCGGTGTTCTGTCTTCCCAGGCGGATGAACGTGATTCCAAGCGGGACTCTTTGGAGGAAGGTGAGCTGCGGGATCACAGAATGGAAATAACGATCCGGAACTCCCCATACAGGCGGGAAGACTCCACTGAAGACAGGTGCGTTCTCCGTATCCGGCTTCCGGGAATGGTGTTTGCAGGGGCTGCCTCCTGCCTAAATCTGCGCTGTGTCAGTCTTGCCTCTTATGGTTCTTTTTCTTCGTGCTTTGCGGGACGATAAGAATGATCACATTGATCTTCGTAATCGCTTAAAAAGGTCCCTTTCATTCCTTATTTTCTACTTTGTGTTTTACAGTTCCCTGCAAGTAGCCTGGGATAAATTCTCAGTTAAATATGAAGAATAGTTTCTGATGTTTTGACAGTTTACACAATTTATACTGGTATTTTTTTTTCCCATGCTTTCTGTCAATTTCAAGAGGGGAGGAAGATGAATCCCTGGCCATCAAACCACCACAGCAAGTAGCCAGGAAGGAGAAATCGCACCACAGGAAGGAGGAGAAGAGGAAGGACAAGAGACGGCATCGCAGCCATTCAGCCGACGGAGGTGAGCTAGTTAGCCAGTGACGACTCGATCGCACCCGACTAGGCCCGCGGTTTCCCAGCTGCGCGGGCCTCTCGGGCCTGCCTCCTGAACCCCCCCCCCCCTCTGGTTGTCTTGGCAGCCGGCAAACACATGAGGGTGAAGGAGAAGGAGAAGGAGAGGGAGAACGAGCGGCGGAAGAGGCAGCAGAGGGAGGAGCAGGACAAGGCTCGGCGGGAGTGGGAGAGGCAGAAGCGCAGGGAGATGGCCAGGGCTCACTCCCGGCGGGAGAGGTGCGCCTCTTACTTTGAGTAATGATGCTTTTCTTTTTTTGGGGGGGGGGTATTTTTATTAAAAAAAAACAATGCAAAAAGGACCACTGAGCTTATCCTAATGGAATGGAAATGACCTTCTCGTTGGCCTACAGTCCGATACGTTGCAGGTCTTAGGGGATCCACGGCTCGTAAGACCTGGAGTGGCTCGCACCGCCGTGCAGTGGGGGGGGTGCTCTTATCTCGTCTCCTGGCTTTTGAAAAGCAAAAAGCAGCGCGTCAGGCACGGGGAGGGTCGGGGCCGGTGGGAGTGGACAGGTCCTGACGGGTAAACCCCCCCCCCCCAATGTGCAGGGACAGGCTGGAGCAGCTGGAGCGCCAGCGGGAGAGGGAGAGGAAGATGAGGGAGCAGCAGCAGAAGGAACAGAGGGAGCAGAAGGAACGGGAGAGGAGGGCGGAGGAGCGGCGCAAGGAACGCGAGGTCCGGAGAGAAGGTGAGCTCAGCGAGCCGACACGGCGCGGCCCCACCGCCTGAAATCACGGCAGAGTTATTTACACATTGTCACACACATCTTCCGGGTGAGAAACACATGCTCTGACATTCTGGAAAGTAACTACGAACAAAAAAGAAACAAGAAGAATGGGTTGGGTCAGTGTACCGAGGAGTACTTTCTCGGCAAAAAGATGTTTCACTTGAATTCCAGCCATCAGTCTGTTCAGATAGGTCTGCTCCAGTTTAGCACACCTAGATTGGGCAGTATTTACCCGTGTGACTTTGAAAACGAGTGTAGACTTTCTGTAGGCACGATGTGTGATCAGCTTGCACCGCATTTGCCCCTGATTTGTGAAGGTTAAACGGCGCGACGTGAATATAATCTTTAAAAAGAGGGTCTTATATAATGAAAACAGTCACAATCACAAGGCAGCAGCACAAAAAAAAAAGAAACATTTGCTGCTGGTCTGATCCGTATTTCCTCTCGAGCTGTTTTAACCCCTTAACCTGCGGGTGGTGGCCCTGATCGTACCTCTTTTTGCTCGGGCAGTTGCGTCCCATCACCGCGGGGTGAAGGAGGAGTACGGAGAGAAGCCGAAACAGAGCCACCGCAGCCGCAGCCCCGCCCGGCCCCAGCGGGACAGACTGGAGCAGGCCGAGACCCGCAGGATCGGTGAGACACCCCCTCTGATGCTCTGCCTGCTTTCCGGTGTGCCGTTTCTCTCCTTGAGGTGTCTTAAGAGCCCGGCTCTTGAGGACAGTCTGGCAGGGTCCCCATGTCTCTGTATTGGGAGACTGCTCAGGAGACATCCTGAAAGTGCTGATCTCTTAATACAGGGCCCATCATTTTACCACGTTCACTGTGCATTCGATTCAAGGTCACCTAACGCGTGTGATCAGCTTTGATTGGATCTGCAGCTTAAGTCCTGTGTTCTGTGAAGCCCAAAGTGGACCCATTTAAGCCACCCCCTCAGGCCTTAACATGTTGAATTTTGAAAAAGATCTAGAAAACCTGCAGTGCTGCATTGCTTTAAGCCCTTAACGTACCTACTGTGACATGAAGAGTCAGTGGCAGTTCCTTGAACAGAATTCTGCTCCAGTCTGATTGTTGGGATGTAAATAAAACCACTCTAGAGTACACTCTAAACTTAGGTCAAGGTGATGGTCTGCACAACCTTGTGTAAACCAAAATTTAGGAATGTTGGAATGCACTCTTATATAGTATTTTCATTATCATCATTACAGTATTGCATTATTGCAGTAGTAGGATTAAAGTATACTCACAAATGGTACTTCACACTACTTTAGTAATAAAACTGTACTTTTGCAGAGAAATGTACAGTTTTTTTCACAGCCCCTGTGTATTTCACATCACTAAAACACTTTTTAGCCATGACTAAAAGAGCAACAGTGTGAGCACCCAGTAGAAATTATTCCTACCAGCACTCATGGAAAAGGTATGAGACAACACGGAGCAAAACTGATGCCACTTTTTTTTTTACGCAAGTCAGGGATTATCTGTAAATACTTGCCTTCTAACGTTGGCCAAAGAAGTTCCTCTCTGGCTAAAAGCAAAGGCTGTGTTTTGATCTGCTGCATGCGATCCTCTGCTTTAGAGCTGTGTGTTGTTCCCAGCAGTGAGAGAGCAGCGGCAGGAGAACAGGGACCTGCTGTCTGACCTGCAGGACGTCAGTGACAGTGAGAGGAAGACCAGCACAGCAGAGTCCTCCTCAGGTAGGACGCGTGTATGTGCTTGGCTGGGGAGGGAATGGTTGACATCTACCATCTGTGGGATTATGAATGAATTCCCAATTTTCAAGTCCTAATCCCCCCTAAAAGGTAACTTTAGTGCCTTTTAAGATAGCTTCAAAAAAAAAAAAACAAAGCAGCAAAATTTGATTGTAGGTCTTGAGAACTCGATAAGAGTTCCCAGCTGTTGTCGTCTTGCCCTGCCATTGGCTTTTCTCTCCAGAAACTTTGGCTACAACATTGTTTTCAAATAACTCTAAAACAAATTCTCCCTCCCAAGCAAATCTTGCATGTTTTCTAGTGTTTAACTCTTAATTGTTAGTCATTGGTGAAACTAAAATAAACATGCCGACATTTTTTCACCCTACAAGGTCATATACTAGTGGAGAAAACACTCATCTGGTTTGGCAGGAAGATTGAAGTTGAAGAAGAAAAATCCATTATCTGCTCTGACTCATGCTGAATTTGAATTTGAAATCTTTACACATACTTTTAAAAACATAATAGCATAGTTCTGCTTTGGACAGGGAAAAAAATCCCCTATTTGTAAGTTTGATTTTTTGTACAATTTGCTGCAGGTTCTGGGACAGGGTCTGAGGAAGAAGAGGAAGAAGAGACGAGCAGTGAGACTGAAGTGGAGGAGGAAGAGTCGGGGACTAACACAGAGGGATCTGAGCAGAGTGCAGGTTAAGAACGTTTTTCCAAATCAAATTTGAAACACTCTGGTGTGGAATTAAGATGTAGTTAGGACTTAATTTCAGTAAATTTTCTAACTTCTTACCTTCAAACAGTGATCATCAGTCACAGTCTCCAGTCGTTTCCAGTCTCGTGAAAAGCATTGTTCAGGATGACTTATTAACTGTAATCATTTAAAACTTCTTATAATTATTATGCACTATGCCCTCCTCTCGTTTGTAACCTTTCTTATGATTTTGCATACATCTCCATGCATATTTGTCCGTATGTCTGACTAAAAGAAATCCTCAACCATAAAACATGCGCTCTACATTAATTTGAGAAACTGTAGGACTCGGATGCAAATTAAAATCGGGGTGGAGTGATCAGTGTCGTCTTAAGAGTCTGATGAAACAAAACACCCAGATTTGAGTAAAGAGGAGCTTGTTTTGGAATGATCCGAGCTGTGGTGTTTTTAACCAGGAAAGAGAATCATCTTAAATTACATATGAAGGGATGTCGCGGAAATCAACATTTCAAATCAACCGGACAGAGCCCTGGAAAACCTAAACCGCTTTTTGTCAAGTGTCTCGATATTTAATAAGAAGTCAGATCTGCGTGTTTTTTCTGCTGCTGAGGCACTTCCCCCCCTCTCCTTTCAGATGAGGTGAGCGAAGAAGAGCAGTCGGAGGAGGAGTATGAGGAGGAGAGAGAGAATGGAAACCATGTCCCTGCAGGTATTGAAGAAAAATCGCTGCAGTTTCAAGCTCAGGGCAAGTCTTCGGTCGGGGGACTGTGCTGTTTTAAGTGTGCAGCAGTGAGCAGTGCTGTTCTGAGTCCGTGTCTCTTTGTCATCTAATAATCCTAAAATTTGTAAGAAAGTTAAAAAGACAATGATGCCTTGGATTAAGATGGTATTTCTGGAAAATTTTCTGATAAATGTCATTATCAATTTTCCGCCTTGGAGGTCCTGGCGGGGTTAAAATTCACTCTGTTGCTTCTCTTCCCCGCGCTGCGCAGTGCCGGAGTCGCGATTCGACCACGACACGGAGGAGAGCGTGGAGGAGGAGGAAGAGGAGGAGGTGGAGGAGGCGGAGCCCAGCCCGCACTCCCATTCCCACTCCTCCACCCCGGAGGAGAACTACATCCCCGACTCCCCGCCCATGTCCCCCGTGGAGCTGAAGAAGGAGCTGCCCAAGTACCTGCCTGCGCTCCAGGTCAGGGCTCGGGAGGTGGCGCTGTCGTGTCGGGGGGAGGGAGGGGAGCGATGGTCCCGCTGAGCGGTTCCAGCAAGGGGTGGCTCGCTGTCATCTGTCACGTCATCGGTCACATCCTGCTCTTTCCTCCACACAGGCTCTTCTTGGCACGGCAACACAGTGCTCTCTGTCATTAGCAAGGGGAGGTTATATTGTTCCAGCGCATTAACTCACTACAGCTAATTTTAACTCACTCAACTTTTGTGGTTGCTGGTAGTAACTGATTTGAGGAGTTCATTTAACCTGGAAACAAAATCAGGATACAGGCATCAAAAATCTGGGTAATGCATTCCAGACTCACACAACTTTTTTGGGGGGGTAAAATGTGCCTCTAGTTTTCAATTTTAAATTCACTTCTCTGTATTGAATTAACTACAACTGTAACTACAACGAATTAACTTAGCCATTTCTATTACACTATCAATCATGGTACATCTGAAACCATCTGAAGTGCAATATGGGAAGTTCTCACTCTTGAAAGGTCCTAGTTTAATTTTGGAGGGGTTGTGGCACTCGGGAAGAAGATCTGGCTTCCTTCATGATAGATCAATGATCCTTGGATCAATGCACTATTAAAACAGCTAAATAGGTTGAGTGGCCACCTGTCGTTTGTAACCCTTTTTAGTCTTCTTAGTTCTAAAAGCATAACGGTCATTAAGTGTAATGAGAAGCCCAGTACCCAGGAACTTGTACCCTTTCCCTTTCACCTCAAATTTTCTTGATTATGTGCAGATTTGCCACGTTCATTCTTTTTTTTTTATGAACCTTGCTGTGAATTTTATATCATGAAAGGGAAATCTCTCTTGATTTGAAGGGGTGCCGCAGTGTAGAAGAATTCCAGTGTTTAAACAGAATTGAAGAGGGGACCTATGGAGTGGTGTACAGAGCCAAGGATAAAAAGACAGGTATTTCACATTCCCATTTTCCGAGCTCATACTGCACGTTCAGCAGACATGATGCTATTGTACAGCATTCCACAGGAGAACAGTACATCATAATGAAGGAACAGGTAAAGACTCTTGGTGAAAGGTAAAGAAAAAAAAACATCTCTTCGGCAGTGCAGCACCTGAAGAAGCCTCCACAGCCAAAATATTATGTTTCTTTTGGTTTCTTTACCTTTCAGCATGGAACGACCCTTAACCTGTTCCTTTGCTGTCTGCACATGCTGACGCAGCTCCCTACTCGAATGTCATAATGAAGTTAAGCATCTCCCTGCGGGACTTAGTTGTAGCTTGGTGAAGTTTCTCGGAGGATGTGATTTGTATCTTTATTTCATTTTTTTTCCTCAGATGAGATCGTGGCTCTGAAGAGGCTGAAAATGGAGAAGGAAAAGGAAGGGTTTCCCATCACCTCTCTCCGAGAGATCAACACGATCCTCAAGGCTCAGCACCCCAATATTGTCACCGTCAGAGTGAGTAGCACAGTTCTCGGATGAAGTCTACTTGCATTGCCGGTTGACTTTTTTCACATTTTGCTTAGCAGAAAGAGAAAATGAGCCCAGCTTTTACAAAACCTCTTGGCAATGGAGCGGACAGGAAGTAAATACATGTTACTTTCTCCCCCTAACAGGAGATTGTGGTCGGAAGTAACATGGATAAGATTTACATCGTCATGAATTATGTAGAGCATGACCTGAAGAGCCTGATGGAGACCATGAAGCAGCCTTTCTTACCAGGTAGCCTGAAATATTTGGAACATGTCCTTTCTTTCTGAGCAGCTTTCTAGAGTGGAATCCCGTGTTTCGTGAGTGTGACGACACTGTAATGTGTCCTCCCCACAGGTGAAGTGAAAACCTTGATGATTCAGCTCCTGCGAGGGGTCCGGCATCTCCATGACAACTGGATCCTGCACCGTGACCTCAAGACCTCCAACCTGTTGCTAAGCCACAAAGGAATCCTGAAGGTACCACACTCCTCTTTGCTCCTGATAGGTTGGCCCTGCACTGTAGCAACACTTAAGATACGATAAGATCACTTTATTGCCCATATACAATTTCTTGTATTAGAAATTTGCCTTTTCAAGGAAAAGGATCAAAGAAAACCAAGTGCTTATTGAAGAAGAACACAGAATGCGTCTTTAACACAAAATATGAGACTGAGCATGGTTTTGTTTCCTAGTTCCAGTTTTTCAGGCTTTCCTGCTGGGGCACAAGTCTGCGTGGGAGTGCGTGTGTTGAACGCGAATGACTCACCTCTGTGCTTGTTGCGTGCAGGTGGGGGATTTCGGGCTGGCACGCGAGTACGGCTCGCCCCTCAAGCCCTACACCCCCGTGGTGGTGACCCTGTGGTACCGAGCGCCAGAGCTGCTGCTGGGAGCCAAGGTGTGTGTTGACAGCCGTCCTCCTCCTTCACACACGGACACCTCTTTCTGTTCGAGCACCGGAGGGGCACTTAATCTGTGCGACTCTGCAGGTTGAGTCGTCCTTTTTCAGATCAAAACAGTTGGCACCAGTACTTTCATGTGGCCCTCATACTCCATTATATTTTCAGTTTATTTCTCCGGGAGATAAGCATCCAGGATTTATTTTCAGTGCTTACTGTAGCAAGTTGTTTCAAAGGCAGGAAAATTCAATTTTAACATGTAATTTGAATTGCTGTTTCAGATTTTTGTGATCTTCTCAAATTCCGTGATCTTCCGTTCAAACGGAAAGCTTATTGTGCCATTTTTTCTTTGCTCATTTCTCCACAGGAATATTCCACGACGATTGACATGTGGTCAGTGGGCTGTATATTCGGTGAGCTGCTGACCCAGAAGCCACTTTTCCCTGGAAAATCTGAAATTGACCAGATCAACAAGGTTTTTAAGGTAAAGAGCTAAATGGAGAGCCCCTTGCTTGTAATGCCCGGGTTTATACATCTAACACTTTGAATTCTTGAGCCAATTTTCTGACAACAGAAATAGACCTGTTGGCTATTCTGGTTTTACATTTAACATTGCGCTTTAGCTGAGGTCACCCATCGAAGTGAGCAAGACCTTTGACATCTGTAAGTACAGAGTTTATAACTAGGAGGTCTGACAGTGGTATCCCTGTAGAAGCAATTGCAGAATTATAAGGTAATTGGATGCAGGAAGATGGACTTCCACCAGAGGTCAGTGTTTGGTGAGACATTCCTTTTAGCACAGAGGCCATCTCCTCTGGTCCTGCATAGTTAGGCTTAGAGGCAGTGTGTTTCTAAAGCTTGGGATTAGTCACATAACCACGTTCAGTTAAAGGTAAAGGCTGCCGAGCTTTATTTCATAAATTATTTTTTTTGTGGGTCAAATTACCCCCCCAATTGATCATGATTAAATTATCTCTTACAGGCTGTCTGCTTTCTGAGTGCTGACAGCTTGTGTGTTTCTGTAAGTGCTGCTGTGCATGCATGTCCAGAGTAGTTGCAAGTTTCAATGAGGCCCGTTGCTTATAACTTGCGCTCAATTTGTATGTGTATTTTGTAATTGGAGAGATATATTTTCCTGTCTTTAGGATCTGGGTACACCAAGTGAAAAGATCTGGCCAGGGTACAACGAGCTACCAGCAGTAAAGAAAATGTCATTTACCGAATATCCCTACAACAATCTACGCAAGAGGTTCGGGGCTCTGCTGTCCGACCAGGGCTTCGACCTCATGAACAAGTAAGTATCCCCGTTGCGTTTTTCTGTCTGATCAGAGAAATGAATCATCAAGCTCCCTTTTTGTAGTCTTGATATTGATAATGAATGCCATTTCACAGGCGGGTTATTTGGCATTATGAACATACATTATCAGATTTCTCTACACTCCTCATTTTTCACATGACAACTGGATTATTATGAAATATATTTTGTGTTAAAGTGACACTGCCAAAGGGATAATGGCTACAACTTATAAGATAAATATGACAGATGGGTTCAGGGAAATTCTTTGGAAAACAAGTTAGGGGATCTTTAGAGTAGTGGGTTACATTTCTTGAACAAGGCAAAGATACTCGTAACAAATGCTCAAGTTGAATATAAAAAAACTTGATTTGAAAAGAAATAAAGTAAATGATTGGAATTTGTGTAATACTTAAACATTGCTTGTTAACTGCTTGTAGTCTTGAAAGTCTATGAACTCTGAATCTGTGCTTCTGGCAGAGTCTGGCTGCATGTCAATATTGTGGAAGAACGATGATGTTTTTTGGAGTTGGTTTTTCTATCAAAGGCAGCATTCCTACAGTGTTTCAACACATTTTACCCTTTTCACACAAAACACAAATTCTGGCTACACAAAGTTAATGGTGCAATGTTAAGTCTAAAGCAGGTTTATTTATCATATAATTCCAAGCCATGAAGTTTTTTGCACCTTAGTGTGATGTAGTTTTGTTTGCAAGGAAAATATGAAAATTCCATCCACCTGTCCCGTACCCAGTTGTGACCCCACTGGAAAACCTTTTCTTTAGTTCCAGTGAGCTCCTGAGATCTTGCCATAGGGCTGAGGTCTCTCACTGTGGAGTTGGCCTGACTGGGGGTTATAGCGTCAGAGCTATGAATATCACACTCTGGTGTGCTTCCCGTGTTGTAAAGAGAGGAATCAAACCTCGTTATTCATGGATTCAGCCTCCGAGGAGCTGGGAACGACGTGGAGCCCTGCCGTTCTCATGCTCTTCCCTGTTGAAGGGAATAAATCTTAGCTGTGGGTAAATAGAAGGTCTGGTGGGACGCTGCTTGTTGTGGGGATTTCAGTCGAGCCTCTGGAATGCGTCAGAAGGGGAGGCCTGTCTCGGGATCTGTAGCAGGGTTGCTTGTTGTGGTTGGAGGAGCGGCGTGTGGTTTGGCAGCTTTATTGAGCTTTTGTTGAAATGTCTGTGGAACTGGGAGAGTAAAGGCAGACCTACACGTTCTCAAAACAGCGCGCGCACGTGGCTCGGTCTGGTTTCTCATGCAGATCCCGTTTTCCATCTTGAGAAACCCAGTTCCATATTTGAACGTCGCATCCGGAGCTGTGGGGGTCTTGCCGAGTCGATTTCCGGGGGGAAGTGGCGCCTCCACCGGGCTGCGTTCGCACATGTAGGATGCTGAGCGAGCCTCAGCTCCACTTTTCACCGCGGTTTCTTTCCGACTCCCCCAGGTTCCTCACCTACTGTCCGAGCAAGAGGATCACGGCCGAGGAGGCGCTGAAGCACGAATATTTCCGGGAGACACCCCTGCCCATCGAGCCCTCCATGTTCCCCACGTGGCCCGCGAAGAGCGAGCAGCAGAGGGTGAAGAGGGGCACCAGCCCCCGGCCCCCAGAGGGGGGGCTGGGCTACAGCCAGCTGGTGAGTAGGTGGTGACAGCACGGCGCCCACCCTCCTGTGTCAGTAGGACAGGTTTCAATGGGAAGGTCGTTCGGCGCATCTAGTCCTTTCAGTAGGTATTTGCTCATCGTGTCTTGAAAGCTGGAGGAGTATAGGCCTCGACAGCATGGCTGGGTAGCTGTTTTCAGCGCAGTACCACATAGTTTCCCCTTGCGTCCCCTGGCTCGCGTTTCACTGTTGAGTCTAAAGAAGACCGAGGGCTTGGCTGCGTCGCTGCCTTTGAGGGTTTGGAACAGTCGAATCCCATCCCATCATGGTGTTCTCTGTTCAAGATCAAAAAGAATCGCAGTTTTCTTTCAGCCTGCCAGCATTCATTAAATCCCCAGTATGCATCTGGTTGCTTTTCTGTGAACCGATTCCAGGGCAACAATCTTTATTATATCTTGGTAACCAAAAGTGTGCATTTTACACTAGTAAGAACTCATTTAAAGTATTGTACAATTTTAACATAACTTGATTTGAACTCTACACTTTTAAGTACATATCCAGAGATTCTTAGCATTTTTTTTCCTCCACATTAAGTCCTTCACTTGGAGTGTGTCCCTCTCTTTCCTGGTTTTTGCACCAGCTGAGTTCTTCATCACAGACTAATGTATTTCGACTTTACCTTTTGAGGACTTTTTTAAGTTTAAATGTAAATTCTTAAAAAGCTGAATGACATTTACAATTGGTATGAAAAACGCTGTGCTAATGAGCAAATTGTGGGACTGCTCTTATTCAGGTAAACAAGCTTGAATATAACCAATTGAACTATTGCAGAAGGCAAAACACTGAAGTATGAGGTGTACAATACAGTGCTGTGTCTGGTCATCGTCACTTGATCATCTATTAAAAGCTGTTTAGTCAGCAACAAGTGAGCAAATTCTTAACTAGCAAGTTGAGGGGAGAGTGAATAAAGCTGTGTTAAAGTTGGAAATAATGCACTTTTTAACTAGGGTTAAAAAGCAGACCTGTTACCCAACACCAGTTATAACACTGGTGATTAAGAGCTCATTTTGAACAAATACCAGCAGTGACGGGGGTACTCCAGACCTGTATTAAGAACCAATGGTCTAGAAGAATAAACAGTGTGTCCACATAAACACCTAACTCTTCAGTAGCCTAGCTTCCCGTTTGCTATTTTAATTTTTCCTTTGCTACCTGCATGCAGCACCCTGCACTTGACTACATTAGACTTTTATCTCAGTCTTTCTTTGCGTTTATTATTTCTACAGTGTTTGCAAATCCTCCTATTTTGGAATCTTCTGCAGATTTTGACTTGTTTATATCGAGTGATTTAAGTTCTCGTATTGCTAGTAAATTAGGAACAGTAATGGTTCTGGTACGGACTCCTGTGGTACGCCACTAATTACATCATCCCAGTTTGAGCATTAACCACTCATCTATACTCTCTGCCAATCTAAGTACACTGTACTGTATGCTGTGTGTGTCAGTTAGTTTTGTGATTGGTACACTGGCAATGGAGCTGGACACTGCTGATTTTAAATCCACCTAAATACAAATAAGTACATCTTAAATACATCTTTTCCCTGGGCACAGATTAATATATGGTCTCAGTGCGATTGTGACTGTATGTTTCAGATTGTTCAACCTACAACTTAAGATCTCCAGGTAATTCTGAGAAACTAAAATACTTCAGGTGAAGAGCAGAGCTAATATCTGTTTGTTTTAAATTGGCATGTGTCGAAAATATATTTTAAAGGTGATGCTTGAAAAAAGATCCCCAGAGACATATATTTTTTTGCTACGCGAACGTATTTTTACCTCTTCATTTACATCAGTTTTTTTTGTTCTGTTTGTCTGTTTCGCGCTGCGCCAGGGCGATGACGACTTGAAAGACACGGGTTTCCACCTGACCACCACCAACCAGGGAGCCTCTGCTGCCGGGCCTGGCTTCAGCCTCAAGTTCTGACCCCCCATTTGGCCCCAGGGCCAACCTGCAGGCCCCGGAGAAGTCAGGGACCCTGGGGTTCATGTGGGCTCTCGCAGCAGCACGCGGCTGGGACTCTTGTTTGCGAGAGACAGCTGAGGACAGAGCTGGAGCTGTGCGGGCGAGAACCCTGTACTGTATCGCCGTACTGTGGCAGCTGACAGACGACGCGGTCCGGGAGAGCGCTGCTGTTTCAGGAAACGCCCCTCTGTGGCGAACTGGATTTCTGGGCAAGGAAAGGAGGAAAGTGCGGACCAGAGACAACTTGCAGAAGCATTCGTGGTGATAACGTATAGGAGGGAACTCATTTGTTTTACTTTTTTTTTTAACCGAGTTGTTGTCCCACGCAGTAGATGACGCTGATGGAAAAAATATATTTTTTCACAAGTCATTTTTTTTTTTCCCTCTCCAATCTCCGAAGATCAAGCTCGGATGGCGTTTTATCGAAGGAGAAAAAAAGCTTAGTGGACCGTAACCTGCTTGGGGCTGCTCCTTGAAGTTTTATTCCAGCCTTCCAGAAGCGTTCTGCTACCGTGTTCATTTCTTTCTGGCACTGGGCAAAATGCTCAGTAAGGGAGGTTGTTGCTTTCATATGTCACTCTCCAGGCTCGTACTGTGACATGTAATAGACTGTCAAACTGGGTGACTGTCTCAGCTCCCAGAGACTGATGTATGGAACTTTTTTTTTAACTGAAACTATTAAAAGAATTTTAGAAACTCGTTACTTCACCTTTTTTCTCTTGATCGGATGTCAGGTGACAATGCAGGATTGGCTTCATTAGGCACTTACTGTGTAGATCGCTACACAGCGTGTTCGGTTTTTATTGTGCAAACAGCCACATCATGTCACTTAAGGTCATTGCAATGATTTTCACTGGTGTCATACTTTGCTTTGCAAGAGGCTTAAAAAGTCGATGAGGTGCTGTTATTTCTTTGCAGCTTGGACACATTGATTTGAAATCTTTATTGTTCTGGAGTTTTTAATTTGGCAGTTTGCATCCTGTTCCTGTGTATGGCTTTGCTTTAAATTCCCCTTAGATACACTTGACCATTTTAAAACCTGACCTTGGTAGATCCATGTATCCCTGGAGTCAAAACTGCTATTTGCAGCAAAAAATTACTAGCAACTTAAAGCCAGTAAACCTCCCGATTCATCAGTTTGTAGCAATTGCACTGGGCCCTCTGATTTACATCTTTTCATCACAGATGAAAACTGCTAAAAGATCATTGCAGCTGATGGAAAAAGATGATATTCTTTCTAATCGAGAAGGATCTTTAGCTCTTGGTAATTCATAAATTGTATCAGTTTAAAGACACAATTCTACTCATTAATTAAAAAGGTATGAACAACGTTTGGTCCTGACTGGACAAATAATGTGGTAATGAATACTTATGATTTGGATATGATGGGTAGGGAAAAACTGATGAATATCTCCAAGGAGAGAGGGGCTTTTTTGACAGTGGTTAGCAGTTTGATAGAGAGCTCCTTTGATGCTTACACTTTCCACTCTTCTGACCAAGAGCATATAAATCAGAATCTTTTAATGGCAGGCTATGCAGACACAGCACTTTTAATTAAAAGTGGGAAATATCTCACAGTGTAGCCTCTGATGAGTCAACTGTTGCTGTGAAACAGTCACCTCCTAATGCAGAACAGAGTAGCAAATGAAAAACTAGCTTGAACCAAAAAGACTTCTCAACAGATGGATCTATCTGCCATTTACCAGCAAAGACCTTCATTAAAGTCCACTGCCAGGATGAATGTTGCTAAGAGGGTCAATTCTTTATTAGCTCATCACTGGGACGTCCCTGTTTGTATTGAAAACAGTTTCACCTCTAATGGCCATGATAATACTGATCTGTCCGTCTGGGTTCTCACAGAGGGGGTAGCGCGACTCCTATTGCAGAAAAACAGCCAAAACCGAAATTATCCTGAAACTAGGATCACATGTTCCCCCTTCTCTTGTTTCCTTCTAATCCTCTCTGTTCATCTGCAGGTTTTGACTTCACACGTCTCTTGACTTCACACCACCTGTCCACTCTGCCTCTCTCCAACTCCCACCTCCTCTCCACTCCCGGCTTTTGCTCTCTCCTGCTTTATCAACTGCTGGTTTTCCTCTCTCCCCCACACCTGAAGAAGGCCTCACAGCCCGAAATGTTGTCTCTTCTCTTTTCAGCATGGAATAAAACTTTACTTGTATTGAAAACAATATCCATGATACACAAGCTTCTTGTGTGGTGTGGTGACAATATATCTGGAGTCCTATCCCTTCTATCAATGACAGGTTGTTCACAATAGAAATATATTTGTTTCATATGTGTAAAATGTAGTAGTCTGTGAGTGTAAGACACCATTGCTGAATTATTCAATTACAAAACCTTATTCATTTAGCCCTGTAAACAGGTGATGTCAGAGGATTTTGCATAATTCTTAATGGTACATTTGAAAAATAGTAGTGCTGTTGTTTCTGTTCACTGGGTTTTGTGCAATGCTCAGACATTTTTACAAATGATTAAATGCACTGCGGTGCCCGTCAGCACTGAACGTTTGCATCATGCTCTATAAACATCTTGGCTTGTGCATCATGAGTTTGGCATTTCTTAGGTGATCCCATCAAGCCCCTCACACTAACGCTGATTGTGCTGGATCTTAACAGCACCCTGAAACAAATAAAAGCAACCAACTTATTTGAATACTTTTCCTGATTTCGTTGCTTTTGGAAGACTTGACAGTGAGAGTCTGGATATGTTTTCTTGCCTTCTTTCAGGTTTTTTTAAAATGCTGTTTTGCAAAGATATTTTACAGAAATATTCTTTTAAGTTGTTGCTCATTTTTCAGCTTAGTTTATTTCTACTTGGACATGAGCTTTGAGTGATTTTTTTTTTTACGGGAGACATGCTTAAAACATCCCTTTCCTGAAAAATGGTGTGATCTGCATGGAGAATTGAGTGGCTTTTCCTCTGCATATGTGAAGACAAAATTAACAGTAAGTGGCCTGAAACACTTGGCTTCGTTGGAATGCTGATTCACACAATAAGATCCCTTCCTGTCCTTCTCTTCCAGAACTGAAGAATGAATAGTTCATCCAGCTCTTCTAACATCACTCCCACACGGCCTGACTTAGACATAAATCACAGAAGTAAACACTTTGGCATTGTGGTTCCAGAATTAAACCTTTTAAGATATTTGGTCAGAGTTCAGAATGTTTTTTTTTTTAATCCATTTGTTTTCAGCCTTTGTTTCTCATTAAATGGACAAGTCAGAAAATGCTGAACACCAAACCAAACCACATAACAAATATTCTGCGTTGACAAGTACTGGGAAAAGAAGGCTCTGTGTGGGGGAGGGGGGCGGGTTTTGTTAGCTCATCTTGCCCAGTGTGTTGGAGGTATGGCATAGGGTGACAGCAGTCCAGTTAGAATCGAACCCGGACCCGCCAGGAGAAGCTGGTAAGGACCTTGTTGTTCTTCCGTACAATGCAAGTGTAGGTGCCCTCATTTATGGCATTGGCAACGATGCTGATGTGGTCATCTTTGAGGGAGATGTACCCAGGGTAGGAATATTCCAGGAGCTCCCCATCCTTGTACCAGCTGTGGAGGAAAGCCAGGAATAGTATCTTTGCCTCACCTTCATCTTGCTCAGGGAAAAAATAATTCAATTGTACAGAAAGGAAAGTGTGGTTGATTTCCAAGTAGTGCCTATGGCATTTGTGATGGCAGCACTGCCAACTTCCAGCCAGGTCTCAGAAAGTGAGCAAGGGGCTGGGTCTGGTGAGTACTGGGTTCTAAGGGACAAAAGACTGACGCTGCAGATGCTGTTGCAGACCACCTGGGGTGAACTCTGCTCTCGACAAGAAATCAGTGCCCCAGAATGCCTACTGTGGCTACTGTACTGTAAGAGGTTGTTGTTGTTATTTAAAGACCCCATAGCACTGTGTTAGTAAGACTAGGGCTGTAAACCGCCATTCTTGGATTGAACTATCTAACCCATCTCAAGATCCCCCCTTACTTCAGCAGGCAAAGCAATTGCTTCTCTACCTGATCTGCTGAGTTCTGGGGCTGCTGGAGCACAGGGGCTGCTGCACTTCAGAAGGGGGTGAAGGGACTCCCCTGGTGTACATACAGGGCTTTGGGATGAAAGTGCTACATAAATGCAAATTCTTTTTTGGAATTTTTTGGAATTTTGTCTTCTGAGTGTATTTTATTGTGCCCAGATAAGAAAAAAAAACACAAAAGATGGAATTCAAATTATAAGTAGTAGCACATTTTAAACAGTGTATTATCCTCAGAATTCATGAGGGGATTTTACTAACACAGAATGACGTGAGAGAGAGCAGGATTATTTAGAGAACCACTTCAGCCTCCCCGCAGTGAGACCCTTCAGTTAATAAAAAAGATTGACTTACTAGACTTTGCCTTTCTTTGCAGCAACTTTCTTCCCACAGCGGAAGGTGAGCTTCCTGCCCTCTGGGACCAGCTTGTTCTTAGTCCTGGGAGGAACTGGAGTAGGAGCCAGCGTGGGAAAGGGGAATTCTGGGAAAGGAGTGAAATAAAATGAGCGTTTCGTAAAGAACACTAGCCAGGTAAGCAGGAAGGTACCCACACCCCCTCTGCTTTGCTCTTTGGCTGACCTGTAGGCAACCTTCTTTTATAGAGGAGTAAATGTTTTCTTCTCCAAATGATATTTCAAATATGAAAAACGTTCTTGGCTCTCGCAGATCTCTTTTAGATCTAGTATTGCCAACTTTAGCAGCTTTTAAAATCCCTCAGGAAAACAAAAAACGCTCTGCTCCTTGCTAGAGGCTTAACTGATGAATAAACTCATAATGAACCCTAAACTGAAACCTTTCAAAATCTATTTTTGCAGACAGATCATTTACTGTTTCAATCTTTGTCTTCCTTCACATTTGCACACAAGACATGTGAAGAAGGATTCACATTTAGAAAAGGTTTGAACTTGGCACACCAAGTTTGGATTCATGTGTTTTTATCTGTATTATTATTTTTAGGAATTTATAAAAAACAATGACTGACCTGATGCAGGTTATATAACAATTTAAAAGCCGTAGTTCATCTGGATTTCAGTGTTGGATATTTTCCGCCTGTCACTGTCAATAGTTAATCAGAATTCAGTGAGCACTGCACTATTATTTTATTTTATTCAAAAGTATAGTATTTTTTTCTGAAGCCAAAGCAAATCTAGAGCTGACCCCTCTGTGCTGAAATAACTAGAGCCCACAAGCCACAGCCTCAAATTCCAATTGTTTGTAGTCACTGGAATTTTCCAGAGCAACATGGACTCTCCTAATCAACAATGACAAACAGATTACAGACTCTGTTTTTTCTTGATTCAGATTTTCCCATTTGTTTTGCCCCTGATGAAAACAAAATGGCACCTACTGTACCCACAACAATTAGGTAAAAATAAAATTTGTCTCCAGAGGGAAACTCTCAGGAGAGGTATTCTGCTCCATCTTACTTTCCCCGATAGAAAAGGCCTAACTTGGAGGCATTGATACAGCATCTGCCAGAGGAGTGTGAAAGGGGAGCAGCAGGACTCTCTCACTGCAGTGCAACCACAGGAACCAGATATTCTGTTTGCACTATAACAGACACTGCTGCCCGTACCATAGCAGAAATCACAGCTGGACGGACACTGTCTCTGCATCAGTTTTCTCTTGCTGTCGCAGTATCCCTTCCGAGCCCAGGACGGGCAGATGAATAACCTGTCCAAACAACCTGATTGAGTCCAAAAAGAGAACAAAAACAGTTTTGTTATTTAAAACAGAAAAACCGTCAGATTCGTGTTTACTGGTGCTATTCTCAAACTGCAATATACAGTATTAATAGGTAATGAACAGTGTCAGTAAGCTGTAGTAATTTACTGTATCTTGGTTAATCATTTGTTTTATGTTTATTAACAAAAGTCAGATTGTTATAATGCAGGAATATTAGTACATAACAGAATATTAAGAGCTTGTTGTGTACAGTACTTCTAAACATTATTTGCAATACTTAGTGTGGCTGTTCAGAGCTGGAAGAAACAATGATCTCTGACATTTATGTGATTCATTTTAACATTTTAAATATTCCATTTGACCTACAAATATCTTAATTTTGACCCAACACTTGAGATTAGGGAACTACCTAATGAGCTACAAAAAACATGGTGTCTCATCCGAAGAAGGTTCCACAGCCGAAACATTGTGTTTGTTTTCTTCTCTTTTCAGCATGGAATAAACCTTAGCTTGTTCCATTACCACAGGATATTTACGATGCTGCTTGTTCATGTGTCACTTTAATAAACATCAGACAGACATGAAATGGTTATCAGATTCACGTCCATTCCATCAATTGTAGCACTGCTTCTCCCTGTAGCCTCACAGGTGTGGACGTAGGTCTTTTTAACGTCTTCCCTTTAACGGACTGGAATGTCCCAGTCACCGCGAAGCTGGTCCTATGAGAGCCCACACTCTTACTTCAGCCTGCTCTGAAGCCAGCGGATTCGATTTGGAAGGGAACTCCACCCCAGGGAGTGCTCTCGACTGGATGTGAGCCAGGACAGGATACTTGCAAGTAACTGGAGGAGCCTTTTCTTTCCTGAGTCAAATACCATATACACATTCTTCAAAAAGAGCACGCTCCTTGTCATACTTAACATAGGGACACCCTTCCCCCCAGTAAAACACAGAAAGAACGGGTACCTCTGTGCTGTGACTGGTAAAGCAGTGTTCAAGCTGACAATGGAGCAACGCGAGATTCACCTGCTCCTTCCTGCCTGTGCTGGAACTCACCGTACAGCCGGTGGAGGCCCCAGACGTCATCTTGGGTGATGAACTTCTTCCCCGTGAGCGTGGCGTTGAGGTGCATGATGGCCTTGGGGTTGAGGGAGTGCATCAGGCCCAGGGCGTGGCCGATCTCGTGGGCCGCTACGTGCACCAGGTCCGTCAGCCACACCCCTGCCGGCGGAAACGCAGGCCAATCACGCTTTGAGCAGCCCCGGGTTAGACCCGCCCCCCTGCCCCGCCCCCACCTGCCCCAGGTATAAAAAATGCTAAAAGCACAGCTGAGTGCCCTGCGGCAGAATAAGAAACTGCTGCAGTTCTACTGAGAACAGATGCATGCAACACTTTACAGACTAGACAGCAGAATGTATTAGTGGAACGAAGAGTGATGCACATTGCCGTTGTGTCCATCTACACTTTCATCTCCTCACGGTTCAGCTTTAATCACCTCCCAGCTTTGGATGAACCTGGACTCTTCACTGACTCCCTTCTATTTACCCAACAAAAATACCAATTATTTTATGATGTTTCCGTTAAGGTTTACTTGAAGGTAGTGTAGCATGTCACCCCCCCCCGAACAGTGCCCATTAGGCGCAGTACAGCGGCCCGGTTATTTCTCCTGCTCCCTGCAGGCTGCTGGCAGTGACAGGTACTTTTCTTCCAGCTGAAGCGCATGTTCCCCAGGACCCAGTACTCGTGGTCGTCGAAGTGGATCTCCCCCGTGGGGGGGAAGAAGGCGTGGGCCAGCTCCCCTGTTATGCCGTCGAAGCAGTGGTGCAGGTAGGACCGCAGGCAGTCCGTGTGGTTGATGGGGTAAAATCCTGCGGGATTGTGGGAGGAAAAAGACGCGTCGCTGATAAAACTCTGGAGGAAATAAATGCACGGCCCTCAGTCGCCTCAGTCTCGTTCTGACATAAAAACCGAGTAACACTCAAGGGGCTGTCTAAACCTGCATACGTGGACATTCAGGGTGCAGGATGGGCTTGAACTGGCTGACTGGGGTCCAGTTTCCACAAAGCACTGGCCAGGCAGGACTGTCCTCTGCTTTAGCAGTGAGACAGCCTGAAACTCCGAATGGGTGGGCATAAAATACAACTGTTCATTCTAAGATTTTAAAACAAAACAAGCTGTGGATGCTGAAATTGACACTAAATGTGGCAGAATATTCTCATTTTTGACAGTTTTAAGCGACTTGTAAAAGCTGCAAGGACAGTGCTCGGTTTGCCACTTGAGAAGGGTTTGTGCTTTAGGTGCTACGCCATCACAGGGCTGGAAGGCTTCAGTAGCGCAGTGGTGTGACAGCGTCGGGCGGCTCACGGCACACTCCCACACACCCCACCTATCTTAATGTCAGCCTCCTGGTCAGCGGGCACCTCTCTGAAGCTGAAGGGCGAGACGTCGCCCCACATGCTGAAGGCCTTGGCCATCGCCTTGTGGGTGTCGCTGGCATTTATCAGGTTTCTGGGGAAAGACAGCAACCTGCCCAGAGAGGATTACAGGAAGATGCACACTTACAGTTTTCTCTGCAGGTCCTCTATCATTCAAAAACAAAAAACTGTTATCTTTGGGGTTTTTGTAAAGAAAAGGACCTCGACAGGTTTCCTGATAATGATTTCAAAACTATTCCATAGTTGTTATGCCTCTGCTGTTGAATTTAAGAGACTGCTGCTTAGAATTTATAAACTACAGCCCTTTGTAAACCAGATATTAAATGTTTCTCATTTGATTCTCAGCATAAAAGATGTTTGATAAAACATAAATTCCTTGAGATAATTAACCATGTAGGGAGTTGCATTTCTGGAGAACATTTCCGATTAATAACGTTTATACCCCCAGTTTATCAATCACAACGTTAGTGAGTGCTTTTGGAAAACCCAGCAGGACGCACAGAGAAACAGGTCGTGCGCTTCTTACTTGTAAGTGAGCTTGAATTTGTCCCATTTCAGCTTCTCTGGAGTGAGCGTGTAGCGTTTGTTCCGGGAGAGACGGAGCAATCGTGAATGGGCTTCCTTTCCAATTCCAATTACTAAGATACTGGAGGGTTGAGCTTCTTCCTTGGACAAAAAAAACCAAGGTGAACCAAACAGAAATTCCTAGATATACAAGAAATTGTATATGGCCAATAATGTGATCTTATCTTACTACAGTATAAGAGAGCAACTGGATCTTTAGTGCCAGTTAAGGGGTTAACCCAGCAGCGGGCGCTGGTGAGACACTCCAGATACACGCAGGAATGCGTGAATATCGCACAGGCAGGAGGTCATTGGACAGCTGGACCTGCCGGCCTCGACGTCAACTGCCCCTACGCAAGGTTTAGGCAGATAGCAGTCCAGGTCGATCCTCGCTGGCCGGGGTGGCACTGAGCAACGGCGTCTCACGCTGCGGCTCAGTCTCTTAGTTCAGGGAGTTTAGTTTAGGAGTGAACGGCTTAGGAGGGGGGAGAGACTCGTAGATCCAGCTGGCTTTAGGTTACCGTGGTGCAGGTGGAGCTCTCGGCAGAGTAGCAGCCTCGGTCGCTTTCCGTGTCGGGACGCCGGTAAAAAGGGAAACGGTTAAGGAACGGAATCGGCCGGGTGAGGAGATTACCACTGCTCCTCTACATCACCGTACAGGAAGGTAATGAATAAGGTGGCAATGTGACACGTTTTCCCCCATGCTCGGCTGTCATGCAGGATCTCTTACAGCCTGCTAGACTCGAAACCGACGCACATAAAGCCTGTAAACTTGCTAAATCGAAGAAGAACTCAAAAGCAAAGCTTATGCGCCGAAACAAAACTTGGTTTTCAGTGTGTTAAAAGGCAGGCTAGAGTACAGAGTAAACACTTTCTTTCATCTGAGCTAGGGATGATTTGGGGTGACAGATTTGCTTGTACTGTTTTGTTTAGCTATTTTTTTGGAAGATTAAAACGGGCATTGAAAGACCACAAAGAATTTTTTTGGCGCTGTTTCTTTTTTTTTTTTGTTTGTTTTTGCCAGGGACCATGTTGTACATTTTGTCTTTAAAAAAAAACCCCAAACATTCTTATTCTTGCTTCATCTCTGAGTATAATTCCTTCTGAAATAGCTGTTAGGTGGGTGGAGGAGGGGAAGGAAGGGTGAACATTTTTTCTCAGTTTTGCAATAAAAATAAAAAGAGACATACTGACAATGGGAGCTCACAGACTAACATAAAGGGTTAACTCTGCGCTTGAAGGGAAGAGAAATTGTCAGCCCATAGGGTCAGTGATGGTGCTAGCAAGGTTTACCTTCGAGACTGGTTCTGCGAAACCAGTGCTTGTGTCGGCTCAGGACTTTCACTCTCCTTTCGAAACTAGATTTGAGCCCTCCTCAACCTCACATATTATTGCCATAGAAACGAATCAGCAGCTCTGGGCTGTTTCAAAAGCTGCAGGTCATGCTTTAGATACATCAGCCTTGCAGGCATCCCAGTCATCTTCAGTTTTCATTTTCTTGGCTGTATCTTGTCTCTTTTCACCTCCCCTTGTCCTCTTGCTTAATCGTCCAAAGCCTTACAACACCTTGTTTTTTCCTTCAGAACAGACGACTCCATGGGCATTGCTTCAAAAATAAAAGCAAAGCTCGGGAGTCAAACTCAACAGTTCCAACGCAGAGTAGCATCTATCTGTGACCATTTTTTTATTACTTTTCAGTCATGTAGCACTAGATCCCCCCCAAAGGTGCCCCTGTTTGAAAGCTAAGAAGGCCTCTCTTCCAGGAAGTGTCTGGGGGTGTATTCATTTCTACTTTTTGACTTTACTTCACATTATCATCAAGGTTCACAAACCAGGTCCCACACAAAGCATTCACAGCACCCGAAACTGCATAAATATTGCATCTGAGAGAAGCTTATTTTTATTTTGGGAGCAGAGGAGGGTGTTTTGTGTGAGGAGGGGTGGAATTTGGCAGTGGTGAAAATAAAAGCAAACTTTATCAATGCAGGAAAAGAGATTTTCCTGGGACACCCTCTCCCGTATTTCCTGTTCCTTTCTCTACCACTGGTAGTCCTCAGTCCTCTGGAAGTTTTCCAGATCCTCACAGTCATAGTGTAACTTGATCAGGCTGTTCTCTTTCCTCCATGGCTATTGTTGAAAGAGAAAAGTGTATAAAGAGTAAGTCTTCAGACTAAATAATCAGGTTTTTTATTAAAATATTAAGTTTGAGAAAATGCGTATTTAAATCTCAAAATCATTTTTAAATTTCATAAAAAGGGACACTATAGGAATGGTCTAAATACTGTACCTTTCTACTTACAACATCATGCAAAACCACACTCACTGAAAAGCTTTGTTAGAACATCTTGATTTTATAAGAGAAAGTGGTGAATTAATAATGGCAGAAACAGTTTTTTCAGAAACCTCAAGATCTGCAAGAGCCAGAGAGAGCTATGTCTATAGCCGGACTTGAAATTAATAAACAAATGAATAAAAATTATTAAAAATGTATTAAACAAACCATACATCCTTCAAATCTATCCCCTATTAACCCATACTGAAAACAAAACTGCCCGGCTTTGTAGTTCAGAGCTCTCTCCTCTGTGTGGACTGAAACACAATAGCTTCTCTCTCTGACACCAGTGAAGCTTCATTTGAATATCAATATGCAATGAGTCTCCTTCTTTTATGGATTTTTCTTGTCAACCTACTAGAACTAATGGAATCTGTCACTTGTTTTCTTTTAGATTAGAAACAAACTTGACAGGTATCAGTTTTTTGTTCCCTTTTCTACCATCACAGCTCTCAATGACTTTATTTGCTAAGCTGTAGAAAATGATCCTTAACAGCTAGTGATTTAGATGTTTAAAACCTGTTTTAAAAAGCCCCTTATGGGGCTTCCATTGTATTAAGACAATACCCGTTCCTAGTACAGCTGATGATTATAAGGCCTGATTTCAGACGGTTAAAATATCTCCAGTACTGTAAGAAAAAGAAATCCGTGTATATAATTTGCATTCCTGTAATGCTTCCAGATTTGTTCTCCAAGAATACTTAAGAGCAATGCCAAGAACTGAGGCCCAGACACATTCTCTGGCTAGCAGAGAAGGACCTGTAGGGAAGTCAGGAGTCCTCCAATACTGTTAGGCTGATAGCAGAGATCGGGGAACAGAGCAACAGGCGACCGCAGCTCTCCCCTTCAATACTACACACGTTCTGTACAAATACAGGCTCAGGACACGCTGGGGGCTCTGCACCAGGGCCTCGTCCGTGCTGTGCTCCGTTTTGCAATCCCGCCCCGCGGCCTGGTGGAGCTCTCTCCAGTGCTTCCCTGGGAAAAGGGGCTGAGATGGAAAAGGTGTTTGAATTCCAAGATGAGCTGAGCAGAGGCTGCTATCCGAAACTGTATTTCCTGTTCTCCTTCTGGGATCCGCCACCGCCGTATGGTTTAGTTCCCAGCCAGTGCACTCCCAGTCACAGGCTTTTTTTTTATCGAGAGCTATTGTTCGATTGTGTTTTAACCCTGTGAATGATTTTAATCCGCGGCTCGAGACGCAGCCTAGACCACACAGAGCCAGGCAACTGTGGCTTCAGATTGGAGCTCCCAAGCCACAGTGTTTGCACACGATGTGTGATACTCTGCTAAATCACCGTGGTGTACTTGTGAAGGAGCCTCTTCCTCTGTTTTCATTTACAGGTTCAAGACCTTCTGTTCTTGAGAAGAGGTGGGAGTGAAGCTAGCTCTGCTAAGCTCTACCCGTGCCACAGCACAATCTTCCCATTTCGAATAATTACAGCCACAGTTTTAAATCCAATCCTGTCTTGGGATGTTGAATAAGCTATGGATTTCCTCATACATCATTCACTATTGTCCTGAAACAAATAAACCTTTTTTAAAAAAAAAAACTGCTACTTTTAAAAAAACTCCAGTACACCTGCATACTCTGCTACAGAAGGTAGCACTAGCATTAACAACAAAACAGCCCCCTTCGTTTTTTTAATTCCCAAGCTCTTGTTAATTGTATATTTTACAAAATATACAAACATGTTATCAACATAACAAGGCAGGCAAAACAATATTTTGTAAATAAAATGTTCAAAATAAAACAATATGAGGTTCACCTACTACAGCGTGGATGCATGTGTTTGAAAGGCTATGGGTTTCTTAGACTTCATCTGTTATTGTTCACGTTTGCGCAAGACACTTCTCAAAGCGCTCTGATGTGAATCTCCGGATTCAAAAAACTGCTCAGAAGTCAGCTTTCCCGACCAAAGGATTAAGAAAAGAAGCCTGCAATGGAAATTTGCCAAAGCGCCGTAACTGAGAGCGTATTCAAGTTTTTCCGTAGGCTATGACATTTCCCGAGCTGAGAGATAGTAAAAACTGTTTCTGTCTTTGTGGGTCCAATTGAAGGAACGTTTTGTATTCGGCGCAGGCTTGTAAGACTTCAAATACGTTGTGCTTCTATCACATGGATGGCTGAAAAACGATTCTGCTCAGATGGGTGTCCCTAATCTAACCCAGTATTTTACTCTTGAAGCCGAAATAAGAGCTCCCGAGCCATCAGCTGACTTAATACATGCTCAGGCTATGTGGTATTTAGAAGTGCAGTCGGGTTACACACGTGTGTGCCTTGTATCACTCCATCTCCTTTACAGGGGAAGTGCTGTACATACAGTAGATCTGATCCTTCCTACTGCTTGCTAAGGAGAAGCAGCCTCGAGGTTGAAGGGGAATTAACTTGATCCCGAAAAGACACACCGTCCTAAATTTCCAAGCGAGTGTTAGTACGGTAACTTGCGCAATTGCGAAAATTAGATGACACAACCTTTACACAGAATCGGCTGCCGCAGGGATAAATGGCGAATTTGAGACACCCCAGGCTACAAAATACCACAAGACACCGCTCTCGGGGTCTTCCTCAAAGACACTGCCAAACTATCGGGTGACAATTTACTGCATAGTGACTAAACCATCTCTCGCTCTTTGGAGCAAAGACGTTGACCATTTTCTGTTTTATTTTAAGTCTCCCAGTTCTCATCGCCTTGCAGTAGAGAAAAGACTGCTTTGTCAGCAAGGTAACTTACAAGGCTTTGAACTCGGTCTCCGCTCAAGCGTGGCAACTTTGGAGCAAGATGAGAGAAGTACGGAAACGTGCAAGGGACACACCCTACCTCATTCCTCCAGGTAGGCAAAGCTGTGGTTTCCTGCATCACTGCAAACATGACCGCGACACTCAACAACGGCACCACGAAGTGCAGAACACTGCGGTCGCCTTTCAGACTGTGTTTGAACAGACCACACTCCATCGTGGCAGTGCTACTACCTCCACAGGCTTTTCCTTTAAAGAAAGCAGTTTATCCAGCATTTACCATGACTCTCTCAGCATTTTCTTTGGCAACTTGACAGGTGCTTTTATTGCATTCAAACCGTGCTGGTCTGGGACGGTCCGAAAAGCACAGCTTCACTGCCTAAATATCCCGCGAGTCCTCGATAATTCTGCAGCCTGCCGTTCTCTGCATTGACTGCTGCTGCTGCCGCCTGGCTACCTCGCAGTCAGCCCAGTGGTATCACATTACTGTAAATTGAGGTCAGAGCTTGTCAAAATGCACTCAAACGGAAACCAGCTGGGCCCTTCCTCGTCTCAGCTCAGTTTTTGAAACTTTTTTCTTCTTCTTCAGATTTCAGATTGAAACCTCCGGCTTTCAGGATGATGACGACCACCGGAGTGGAACATGGGGAATATCGGTTAAGCTTTGTAAAATACAGTATATATATACACACATACCATAGGTTAAAATACATTTTGCATCCCACTGTTGGTTCCTTTAAGATAGACAAAGCTTTAAACAATTACATGTCGAAATTAAATCGTTAAGAATTGTACTACTGGCACACTCCTTGATTTGAGTAAAATGTAAGGTTCAGATGGAAAATAAAAGGGACTTTCTTTGGGAACTGCATATATATTATGAAAGACAAACCATATGCTCTTTTCATGCAGAGAAATTAGCAGGGCCATCAGGTGACATTTTTAAGTAAATAGTGTGCGGGTAGCAGGAGAAGAGCAGCCAGCAAAAACAGTTGCCACGGCAACACAGCGGCTGTGGGTCTCCAGTCTCAGCTGAGCGATTTTTTCTATCCGTCCTCAGAGCTCCACAGCAGAAATTAGCTCTGAAATACAATTACTCCATTTGTCCAGTACGGAGGCGGCAGAGACAATGCCATGCCGCACTCTTACTGGCTCACTTGAATAGCAAATTAAGTTTGGGAGTTCGATTAGTTACATTTTCTGCAGATTTTTAATCGCTTTTCTGGTATTGTGCATGTAATTAGTCCAGGGTGGCTGTACCGAGTACGGAGGAGGAAATGCAGTGATGGCTAGATTAGCGCTCAGCGTCCAGGCTGAGCACAAAACCTTACTTCCACGAGCAAGTGAATCTAGTAGGTAGTGAAATGGGCGGACGGAGGCGAAAAACTGGCCTAAGACATTTTCACCTATTTACTCCACCCCCCACACACCCACCCAAAAAAGATTTCGTGGTCAAACCTTTTCTTTATTTTTGCATTTCATTCTGTAGCTCTATGACTAAGACTATGGAATGGCTTGTTGTATTAAAAATTCGTGGCGTCATAGGAAGCTCTTATGCTCATGTTATTTCATTCTAAGAACTACAATTCATTTCTGATCCATTATTAACCGATTCATGAAAGTAAGGACGATTAGAAGCGAGGAGAGTTCGCTTGGTCTCTAGAAGCTGATTGTTCCGAGAATCCGGGTATTCAACAACAACAACAACAACAACAACAACAACAACAACAACAACAACAAGACACCCACGACTCTTTGTGTAAAGTCGCCCCTCCCGTCCTCCGTTTTACGATGCACTTCCCGTCTTAATGGAGGTTGTTTGGTAAGGATGACAACGAACAAGTTCAATCAGACCCGGCTGTGAGTAATTAACAATCACCCCTGACGCAATTTCCTTCCCCGAAACACGACAATGTACTTCTCTCCCTCGCATACAGTACATCTTTTTGCATCCCACCTCTGCAGCTGGCCCCTTGGTCACCCCCACTCTCCTCGTTCTGTGGCCAGGAGGTCAGCCCTCAGGTAAGCAGGTTAAGCCAAATTTTGACTAAGCACTCGATAATCCTTCAGCACACTTAATTCTGGAGTGGTGTTAGTTCTAGTGGCCTGGGAGATAAAACATATCGACTGACGACGTCGTCTACGTTATCGTACAGGCTCTTGGACGAGTAAGGTTTTTTTAGTAAGTAAATAAGAAACATTCGCCGTGGGATTCAGGAGAAGAAAATTTTCCAGCTCCATTACGAATAAAGACTCATCCATTCCAGCCGGGTGATCCTGGGGTGAAACTCTCAAATTTATAGATATTAGTAAGTGACACATTTGGCTTTTTTACTGAATAATAACAGTAATGTTATGAAACAGTGTGTTCCTGCTATTAATTAACTAGGCTGGAAGCCTAATAGTATTGGAATCCTGTCAGTATTGAGTCAAATGGGCTGCATTCATATCAGTGATTTCTGTTTTTACAAGCTAAACGAGAGGGGAAAAAACTTATCATTCTGAATTTTTTTGAGCTACTTGAGTTAAATCATGTTTGTGTTTCGGAGTGAGATTTTAAAATAACTAAAAAAACATCAACACTGTCATCAACTATGTTCATTCAACTCTTTAAAAGAAAAAAAACGATCAATATTTTTTGTTTACAGTTAAGGCCTGAATGCATAAATAAACACTATACGTTAAAATTAATTTTAGATTACTTTGTCACTCTGGAGAATAATTAACGTTGGGTTTTGAGCTGTGTGGATCTTTGTAATATTAAATTAATAATAATAATAAAACGTAGACATGTTACTTAACATAATATATATATATTATAATATAAACTAAATACGAAGGGGTTCAAATAACCACCTGCGTCAGCAGGCGTAGGATGCAAAGGAGCAAGTAAAGGTTTATTCCTGCTGAAAAGAAAAACCCAACGTTTCGGCTGTGGAGCCCTTTTCGCGTTAATGTTCCGTAAGCATTTCATGTGCTTGTCTCGTTGTAATACACAGACATGACCACTAGATGGCCGCAAAATATGGCAGAATGCATGAATGTACAGTTCTGTGGTTGCTGAACCTTTATAATACAGTTAGGTTTCTCTATCTATATTATCTATTTCTTAATCTTAAAACGCTTCGGTGTTATTTATTAAAATGTAGAGTATTGACATCTTCACTGTCTTTGCTTTAATAATTAAAAAAAAAGATGCTGATAAGGAGCTACTTTAGGACCGATGGTTATTCCAAACTGGTCAGTGTTACTAGCCTGTGGAGTTATCATTGATTTCTTATTTACAGATCATTTTAATTAATTGCTTTTATCAATCTTTTCAAACATGGAATCAAAGCTCATCTGCTGCATGCTGAATTGCTTACACTTGAAATTGAAATTAAAGTTTGTAAATAGAAAAAAAATATTTATAATTAAGGTTTACACAGCTGTAAAAAGTAAGTTGCTTTGGATGAAAGTGTCAACCAATTAAACAAGCTATAGTCACCAGGCTCTTGACTTATTTTCTCAATAACGTTCGCTCATGGAAGTGTCAGGCAAAGCCTTCTGCTGTTTCTCTAAATCTGTGCCCACGAGTGACATTTAAAGGATTAAACCTGGGTCACACAAACTCCGCCCTCTGAGCCAAACAGCTACACTGTTCAATCCTTGTTCAGAAAAAGCAGAGCAACAATCCCCCTTCACACTCCCATCATCGCCATGTCATGATGTCCTCATCAGTGTGTTATTGCATTTGCACGTCCTGTGCAGGAGCCTGCGGGCAGCTCCTGTTGCCTCTTCGCCCAGGCGAAATAATTGACCCATTAAAAAAAGGAAAAGCAAGGACAGAAGGCTGTGTCTGAATTTCTGAATTTTTCTTCATTAAGCTGGATCTTCCAGCTCCACTGGGCCTCACAGCCTCACACAGCAGGGTGTGAAATCACTCCTGCCTTCACAACAGGCAGCTAAGATCGTGTGAAACGTCAAAGAGTTTCCACTTCGTAACATGCTCGTCTTGTTTCCCATCAACTAAACTGTGGAATGAAATGCCAACTCCTCCTTGATTGGCATGGTCATCGCCTAAAAAAAGCATCTGTTCTGAAAATTGTCAGGTTAAGGGCGTTGTCAAAACAATGTCATGATCCCAGCTCATAATCCTCATTTTGTGGTAAGAGTCTTATTTTTTATTTCCTTTTGAAAGGAGAGGCAATCTATCGGTAGCTCAATAGTTAAGTTATTTACCTCACTTCCGAGAGAAATGAATGACATATCACTGTTCAGAAAATTCTGACGCAAACATCAGCCTCTTTTTTCAGATTCTTGTTATAGTTTTGATAAAACATGAATTTGCAAAGGCTGTGCTGTACCCTGCGAAGCCAAACGTCTATCACCGCCTCCAGCGGAGGAAGAAAACACTCGGGGATTTATTATAGCTCTCCACAACGTCAGTCTGCAACAGCTCTGAGTAATATGCAAAACCCTGTGTAAGTCAATTTACGCTTGCAGTGTACGCGGGCACAATGGGAATAATGTCATCGTCTCCCTGCTTCATGGATGTTGTTTTCTTCTAACAATAGCATGCCCTGGTATGTCGTCTTCATAAATTGGAGTTCTTTCCAGTAATTAAGTCAATAACATGACACTTGAGGTAATTAAGCAATAAAACATACTGAATGGAGTACTGTTGCTTACTGCACATTATTGTGATGATGTTTCTGTCATGTTTGAGTGTGGTGGAGGCATTTTGACAACACCAGAGGACTCTGCACCCCTGACAGCTACAACTGCACGTCTCGAAGAGAAACAGAAAGTGAGGACACACTGAGAGGAAACTTAACTGGGACCGTACCAGTTTTTCCGTCTGGTGAAGTTGTGCGTCACTGTACGGTGATTGCCCTAACAACCCCACTTACTATCGGCCCACCCTGATGTTTGGTGTTGTAAAGGGGAAAGTGTACAGGTGAACTTTAAAAAGGTATAACAACCCAATCAAAGGTGGAAAAGGAAGATTTCTAAGCTACTGTGACACTATTCATTTTTGCAAGACCCTCACAAACAATGATGTGAGCACCCAATAACCATCCACCAAGTCTCAACATCCGTAGTAGTTCATAGTTCAGAATTAGCAGTGGCTCAGCAACTTGCACCCAAAAAAAACCAATTGATTTGAACAGCCAATAAATTATTACAACTAAGAAGCACTGCTTTAAACAGAGTGGTCTGTGGGTTTCTGCGTATTTGGGGAAAAAGATGCCCAACTTTTTGGTTGAAGTTGATGCTTTGTAGTCCTTCAAGAAAGGCTTAATGAGGTACACTAGGTTACAAAATCTACAAGCAGCCAAGCAAGACTCGACTGAATCTTCCTGATCTTTTTCTTAGCATTTAATGAAATCTACCTTCACATACTGTACCTGCAGACAATAACACTGTGATTCTGGCTCCACTACACAATATCTCCAGCACTGAAGAGTCACAAGAAATAGACAATACTTACAAAACATTTCAATATTTATTGCAAAATAGTTTTTTACAGAATACAACAGAAAAAAAACAGGAATGAACAGTAAGGCCAACAGCATAACTTGAAGTGCTGTATAGACAGTAACATTACCTTAATTTTACACATTTTTCTCAAGACAATTCTCATATTCGGATCAAACTTTCCTTTCTTCATCTAGCACACAAACCTATGGATTTGTATGCTATACGCGTAACAAGATAACCACTGCATTTCAAACTAGGAACATCAGATAGTTTGAAACTCTATGGGGTTTCAAACACAGAAAAGAGAAACCAAAACCTTCAAAACTTTTTTTTTCAAAATTAAAACCTATTTTTTTTTGTCAGTTAGTCCTATTTCAAAAATGTTTGGCTCCAGAGGAAACAAAAAACAGTAAGATGCTAATTCAAAAACTCTAAAATAAAATCGCTACGATACAATCAGTTGTTTTTAAGCCTTTTTTAAGAAACAATATCTGCAATACTGTGATTCCTGACTTCGTAAGTTTACAGACCCAGTGTTGTTCAAACTTAGCTGTGGCACAGCAATTCACATGTTCCTCAGACAGAGAACCCAGAAATGAGCACAACTGTAAACTGTTCACCTTAATGGTTTATCCTTGCAGGCGGTTTTCAGAACCTCAGGGCTCCTCTCCCCATTTCTTGGGGCTAGATTTGGGTTAAAAAGCAAATAAAAGCAAGCAAAGACACTGCATAAATACTAAAGATACAATGAGCTGTATCTTATCCGAAATGCAACTCCAACTGCAACTTCACAAAGTGCATTTGCAAATAAATGTAACTTTTACGTTTAAGTGTAAAACATTTATGATGTCAGGGTTGCATTTTCTACTTTATGTTCCTTTTAATCCCTGAGCTCTGAATTGCTTCATTAAGCAGGTTTCTTGAGGAATTTAGGTTCAGTACAACACCTTCGAGACAAGGGCCCCTTCTCCTTCCTACTGTAGCATACTCGATGCCTGCATGAAATGCAATAATCGCATCTCGTCAAAACCAAATACTGATGCTTTGTCTGGGATACCATTTCTCATCTTCCACACTGAGCAAATGAAAACTCGCAGTGCTCAACCTACAGTATCAGTCAGGATTACAAGATTGTTTTAAAAAAGAAATTCCAATACAAGCCAAGAGTTGGAGGCTGCAGTGCTTTAAGGACCTGAGCCCTAAAACAAACTCGACTGTTGCTTCGTGTACATTCCTGTTTCTGTCAGCAGGGGGCGCCAATCTGCTCCCTGCTCATTTGGCACAGGTGTAGTATGATTTCTCCAAGTAAACCTTCATTTATTTGCGTCTTTGAAACTTCATTGCAAGGCAGTGTAAAACGTTTTTACTTTCTCACATTCAGAGTTTCACCCAATCATGGCCGAGTTCTGAAAGAAAGGACTTCCAGAGCTCTAGCCACATTAAGCCATGGGTGAAAATCAAAAGCGAGCCACCTTTTTCCTTCTGTTTTTGTTAAATGCAGAAGCCCTTTAGAACATAACAAGAGAGAGCATATTTAGGGGTCCTATTTGTTAATGTAATATTACGCAAACCTGATATTGAACTAAGCTGGTCAAGATAAAGGCCTACACTAGTGTGTCTTTTTTTAAGCTGGGCCTCAACTCTTACCTATGGATTCACCTTTCACCCTTGAAATTTTATATTTACAAAAACAGTTAGAAATGTGTCCAAACATGACTTTTTCTGTCTGTGTAGATATCCTTAAAAAACTAAGATTTACTGTAACAAGTTAATGTATTTTGGTGCATTTCTAAATTTTATTTTTCAAATTTTAGATGCTTGTGCAGGATTTATTTTCCCATCCCATCAAAGTGGAGGATCTTGCGAACGTCCATGGACAAGTTTTATCCAGAACAGCGTTGAGGAGAAATACGGATGAGAAAACGGCTTGCTTGCAAAACCGGTACTGACTTCCCAGAACAGACAACTGATCAGTGCTCATCTGTCACACAGTATCCCAACCATCTCTGGCCTTACTTAGGACAACAAGCCCTTTGGCTCGCACTGCCTGGCAACACCTGCATGCTCAGAACCTCTTTTGTTTTTTGTCAGCACACAGGTATCATTCCTGTTTCCCTTTGCAAGCAACTGTTAAATCACTGCTGTGGGCTATTTAGTACCTAAACAGTATACCGCGCTGCCAATGAGCTGCTGTGGTAGAAAAAAAGATCAGTATGTCTTTCTGTTCATGAGATTAGGTGGGATATCTCGAGGTTTGGTCAGGTGATTTTACAGGTTACATGAAAGACCCTTGGTCTCATTCAAGTGAGAGATACCTTTACGTTTTAAAAGGGAATAAAGTCTACATTACACAGAAGCCTCTTATCTTCCTGTGGCTTTAACATTTTCTTCTAAACTGATCACCTCTGATTACAAGCAAGCACACAGAATCCAATACACCTCCTGATGTTCAGTCCAAACACTGTCCGCAATGCCTGTTTTCCCGAACACAAGAAAAACAGAGGACATCTGTCAGCTCTGGAAGCATGATCCTTTACACAAAAAAAAATCTTTTGTTTTTCACCAATCTGGAAATCCAAGTTGAAAACGATCCGCGTTTTATCGCTACTGCAAGGCCTTTTTGAGATGCGTGACAACTTACAAGATGTAGGTTTGAGTTAGGACCCTGAGTAAGTTGGTTTGGAATCAGATGTTTTTTGGGTGTTCAAGAGTTTTCACTGAGTGATGGCAAAAATAATTTCTTGTAGATAAATAAGGGGCAGAGGATTTCAGTAGATAAATAAACAGCACTTGTTACAGCTAGGCTAATCACAAATAATACATACTCAGTATCTTACAATATACATATATATATTTATATATAGCTCTTTTACATACCAATGGGAAAAGGTAAATAATTCCTATACTCTGTTAACATTCATCTACTGCTTTGCAAGTGCTGCTACAGCCCAGTGCAAAAGGCTACACTATTGAAGCAGCAAAGCATATGTTTGATTCATCTGAAAACTTGAAGAAAAAAAAACAACACAAAATGTCATGTCATCCTGACACTGATAAAAAAAGGTCAGGGGAGAGGCAGCTCGGGGAGGGGGGGCACAGGAGACGGGCAAGAGGACTGAATCATAATCACCCCTTCACCCTCCGTTTTCAGAACCGGGCTGGGAGCTGGGAGGGTTCGCTGCACGTCGGAAAAAGCGCACATGGAAAAGGCCCAGATGGAAAAATAATAATCCACCTGTCTGGCAGCCGTGGAAAAAAGTCATGGCCAGCCCCCGGCGGTCTCCTCGCATCCGCCGCGGCGTGTCCGGCCTCGGGGTTCGCCTCCAGAGGAGCAGGGGTGCGCCAGCGCCCCCGGAGCCACGGGCTTCCGTTCAGACGGGTCGGCACCAGGGGGGGGTCACACGAACAGCTGGATCCTCTCGCGGATGGCCTGCCGGCAGATGGGGCAGGTCTTGAGCGCGGCGCTGCACTCGACGCACGAGGCGTGGCCGCACTGGAACACCAGCTTGATCTGGTTGTCGATGCAGATGGGGCAGGTGATCCGCTCCTCCATCTGCCGGAAGCGGAACTGCAGCTGCTCCAGCAGGTTGTGCTGATCCGAGTTCTCCGAGCTGGGGCTGCACTCCACCTCTGTGTTGTCTGGACGGGACACAGGCACGTGAACGGCAGATCAGAGACGTGCAGATGCCCGATTTAACTGTTTCTATCTGTAGCTGTCTACATTCTACATGAATACTTAAACGTCTTTAAATGAACTGTCCTGTCTGATAACAGCAGACTAAACTATATACTTATCATTTATATAAATGCATATATAAAATGCACTTAGAAGGATGTGTGACACGTATTTAGGAATGCCAATCAGTTTTGATCATTTGCAATTAAATACAGTTTTGCAACTCTGTGCACATATACAAACTTAGAATGAATTAAAGTATTTTTTGAGCGACTGCGTTTTGGATGCTTGTCTAGTAATTGTTAAGGAAACGGCAGGGCCTGTCCTGTCCGTTCTTGTAATTTTACTGGCTGGTGGAAAAGGAAAGCTATTTCTGGGAAGGATTGGGCTGGTCATACAGGTAAAAAATACAGATTTTACCTTGCCGGATTTTCTTTGTGATTGTAACCTGGCATTTGATGCATTTTTTCATCCGATGAGCACATTCTGCATTGGGGAGAAGAATCAAAAACAGAAGAGTTAACTACAGCTCTTCGGACCCGCCTGACGCTGAAGCATGTGGGTCACATGGCACCTCAGCAGACAAAAAGCGAGAGCAAAACAACGATTGTCTTTGATTTTGTTTCAATGATAAAACTCCAGGATAAATATTTAAACCCCCGGAGCCCTGTCAGGTATGATTGCTCCTGTCCTCTCCCCAGAACGGGCCCACTTTCTCTTCAGAGCTTGCAATCATCAGCCTTCAGAGTGATCATCTGCACCTGGCCCTGCATGCTCATTCCATGAGATCAAGGTCCCACAATTCTTTGGGAGGCAGCAGTGCATTCAGGACTAAGCTTAAAGTAGGTAAAGTCCACTCTCACAGACTAGATTTAGGCCAAAGACTCCTGTTCAAGGAGTTAAAGGCAAAAGGGAGGCTAGTTGGTTTCAATGCTCTCGTGAGAAAGTCTGCAGGAAAAAAAAAGCAGGACTCGCCAGAATTGCATCAGGATGGGAGAGAGGTCTGCAAAAAGGAATGCAAATGAAGGAGAAAGGTGAAATGAACGAGAACGGGGGGCAGCCTCACCTTCGCAGGCGACGCTGTGCTGGCAGGGGCAGAAGAGGACGAGCAGAGCCAGCTCGGAGCAGATGAGGCACTCGCTGGGCCCAGCGGCGCTGGGCATGGCCAGGTTGGTCATGGTGTTGGGCGTGGTGTGGACGCGCCGCAGGCTGCTGCTGCCCACGGCAGTCCCACAGCTGTGGCTCTGGAGCTGCTGATCCCTGCGGGGGGCGTTGTGCCAAAGAGAGAGGCACATCACTGAGGCACCCAGCTCCTCTGATCATGATCACTGCCCTGCCTGTCACCCTCTTTCTCTCGGGGAGATTGGCCACATGGGAGCACTGATGACCCCTTTTCACACACTTAAGGAAGGACTAACGATGGCCACAACTGCCTCCATTATAAAAAAACATGTAAGAACACCCTGAATTTTAACACTACATAAAGAGACTTCAAATAATCAGGGAAAAATAAACGTTAAAATTTTATCTAAGATCTAAAAGTAAATGTCAAACAGGAAATTAAACATTTTCAACAGACTCTATTAAAAACACAGCTGTTGTTCTATGTTTTTGGTTATTTTACAATGACATACCTCCTGCATGCCACCTTCAGTAGATCCCATTAAAGCAAAATGTATTCAATGCCATCAGAAAACAGGATTTATCAGTTTTTACCGAATTATTTAAAATACAATGGTTGTGAAAACTGAACACCATTTCTCAGTTGAAAGGAATACCAATTGGACACCTCATCAGACAAGCACTGTGACCTGTTAACTGTGCTTGAGAAACAACCGTCAGCAGCAGTGAGTGAAAAGCACCTCCTGCCCCGTTTCGTAATTAGCAGGGTTTTAGCGTTTTCATCTGGGAAACGGAACCCGCCAAAGTCAAGTGATGTTATGTTATGCGAAATTAAGTCCCCAATAATGCAGAACGCTCTAAATGGCACCACAGTAGAGGGAACGGCAAAAACTGAGACACAAAACATTAATGGTTTAATACTCAAAATGAACAATTGTAAGAGTCCTTTTGGAGCATCACGTAAGACATTAATGTTCATACAGTTCCCAGCAGAGATTCGCAGAGACAAAATCCATAATGTGCACAACTGCTCCCAGATTAGGGATCAGATTAAATCAAATCTGTTTTAATCTGATCGAAGTCCCAAAACCTTGGAACCCCCAGCCAGCTGCAAGTTTCAAGTGCAGTGGCTAAAGACAGGTCTCTGTTGGCCAGAGTCACCCCGCTTCTTCCTGGTGGGACTGCTGGGACTGCGCTGGCAGCGGGCAGCAGGCTCAAAGACACGCCTTGAGCTGCCGGAGCAGCGGGAACGAGCTCCCATTCCTCAGTGTGGAAGGGGGGAGGGGGGGCGGAGTGGGTACCTGTGTTTCTCGGAGAAGTTCTTAATGAGCTGGACGACCATGCCGTCGGTCACCAGGTCCAGGGGGTGCTTGCCCTTGTGGTTGGCGTAGTTGATGTCCGCGCCCTCCTGTGCCAAGAAGCAGGCCATGGCAGCCCCCACGTTCAGTTCCAAGTTCCCCAGTAAACCGGAGCTGTGCAGCTGAAGACCGAAACACATGCAGGATTCGAGTAGGCAAAACAACGAAGCCTTCTGGAGACAGGGCGGGGGCTCACTGGACCAGAGCTCATCCTGCTTTCTGTAGAGCTCAGACTAGGGAGCATGGGACTACCCCCCCCCCCCAGCAATGCTACTCCCCACCTCAACAGCTGGGGGGGCTGACTTCACTGGAATAAGAACCTTGCTGAAGGAGCAGCAGCAGTGCCTCTAGCTGGGAATCCAACCCACAACCATGAGTCAGTCTCGAATCCCAAGGATCACCCACTACGCTAAGATGCTCCCAGAGTTAAATACTCTCACGCCAGTCTTTACTATCCACAGTAGCTCAAGTCAGACCGCAAGATAGTCTAGCTATCTCTGTTGCGCTGGTACAATCAGGTACCTCTGATGCAGGAGAAAATACTGTTTAGAGACTGGAGGTACTCAGGATTTCTGTTTGTATACACTGTATCATTACACACATACTATAACCAAAACAAGGAGACAAAAAATATACTGAACGACAAAAACACTCTAAGTTTATATTATCTCAGATGAGATCTACATTTCATCTATTTTAATGACCGGCAGAGGAAGAACTTCATGAGCTATAATAAGATACTGGAATAGGATTCAACACTGCCATGCCAGTAATCTATAATAACCTTACATCATGGCATTCTTGCAGGAATACACAGTACCATGAGTAAGGGAATCGGAGAACAAGCGATTCAGCCAAATATACATTAATCACGCCAACAGCAGTGTGTGCTCAGTAAGCTCTGGCAACCATAGCGCAATCCAATTTCTTAAAGTTCCTGTCAAAAAGAGGTACTTTACTTTAATGGGATTTCACACAGCTTAGCACAAGTACAGTACCTGTGTGCCTCTAATCAAAAAGGCGATGGATGACTCACAGATCTGTCCTGGGCACATGAGCCCAACAGCTCAACGGTTGCATGTCACACCCTTAATAGCGCACAACCCTTCCTTCTGGTGCAAAATGGTGTGTGATTTGGGATAAGAACATAAAACATACCTAAATCGTACAAATGAGAGGAGGCTACTTAACCTGTCTGTCTTGTTTAAGTACTACTAATAAACTGATACGAGGACCTCATCCAAAAACCAGAAACCTTTTAACATGACATTTTTAAATTAAATGTTATTCCTTAGCTATATATCTTAACATTTTGTTAACGGTTTTATTGCTTTCCCACACGAAAAGAACGCATCAGCATAAACTCTTGAGACCTTTTCTGAAATGGCTTCCTCAATTCTCCTGTTTATTTTGTACCTCCAGTCTGCTCTCTGTACGTCTGGAATCGACACAGTGGAACGGTATCGTTCAGAATGAAATCCGCTCTATAGTGAGGGGTGCAGACGCTGACTTATTTCAACAACAAGCACTTCTAGAGGTCACCGTGCAAACATGCATCTCCTCCAGCTCACAGGGGCTGGCGATAAAAGAATGCAATTTCCATCCCCGTGCAGCTAATCTGTGATCCTCTGCGTTGGGCTGATCTTATTTCAATGCTACAGGGTCATTTTCAAGCCAGGCAAGTGCGTCCTGGCAAGACTGCTGGCCCTTACATCAGGGCCCTGGAAGCTCATGGCTGCAGTGATCTTGAAAGACAGTCACTTAAGTGTCTCCGACTGGCATCTCGAGGGCGGCTGCAGAGAGCCGCGGGGGCCGGTGCCCAGGTACCTACCCTGGCGTAGAGAGAGGAGCCCTCGCCCTCAGAGGCGGCCACGGTGGCGGCGAGCTGCTGCCGGCTGAGGGCGATGTGCATGGCCGTGTCCCCGTCCTCGTCCTCCGCGTTGACGTCCGCCCCCTCCGTCACCAGCAGCTGCACCATCTCGGCGTGGCCCTGCGTCACCGCCAGCTGCAGCGGCGTCTGGTTCCTGTTGTTCCGGATATTGACGTCGCAGCGGCCCTGCAGGGGGCGGCGGGAGAGGAATCACCCCGCCTCCCGCAGAACGGGCACCCCCGCCGCAGAGGTGCACACGGCGCAGCCCCCCGGCTACAAACTCTCAAGGCAAACGTGCCAGTTTCTAGGCTTGTGAAGTCATTTCAGTCAATCAAATCAGTCCGTTTTGTTTGCTTTCCCACAGAGAGCTTTACAGAATTATGTATCCGTTAGCAATACAGTGTAGACCATGTGCTCTGTACAGTAACAGAGGGAAAAAAACCTCCCAGTGGGGAAAATAAAGCTCTGGGGATCCCAGGTCAGTGGAAGCCATTTGCCTGATGATGTCATAATGCTAATTATTTAAGTTTTATTCTTCATTCTGCCATCTAGTGATTTACTGCTTCAGAAAGGTAGGTGCCAGACAAAAAGGTCATTTTAAACTTGCTCAGGGACAGAATGATTCAAGTGGCACCCCCTGACATGACAGAATGTTTTCTGAAGTAACAATGAGTTCACTTTTTGTTCTGGATGTTCAGAAGTTTTGACGTTATGCGACTCCAGTAAAAAAATAAAAGATCACTGAATAAAGATAATCAAGAAGGACAGAGCCCAGGAAACAAACTCTGCCTGCTGATCCTAAGAGTTTCAAACAAACGGACCTCAAGTTCACTAGGCAATATGTTAGTACTGTATCACACAGCACTGACGTACAATCTTTAAAAATAACGATGATGAACGTATCTAGGGTTTTAGAGATCGCAAAATGTCCAACAGACGGGTATTGGAACAATTCTGCCTTTGTAAGGTCCCAGCCTATCTGATGGCACAGTCACATGCTCTCTCTCAAGCTGGAGTTTCCACTGTTGCGCAATCCGGGGCTCAGAGATCAGAGGCAGCACAGTGGAAACTGTTATGTCACAAGAAGGAGGGGGGACTCTTCCAAAACTGAAAAAAGCAAATCTGTTAATTCCAAACAGGTGCAAACTTTCTGGCCTTTAACTGTGCTGTTACTGATAATGCTGGTTTAGCTATTTCGCAGACAGGAGCCCTGTTTTGCTGACGATTTTCTCACAGGATAGAAAAAAACACAAGAGTACAAGGAGCTGCACGGGCCCTTAGCTCAGCCTCAAGCCCTCTGTGGCTGTGCTCCCACCTACACAAAGCTCCTTTCCAAAATCCTCCCTCTGTGTTTGGTTCCTGCTGGCTTCTGAGAAGCAGTAAGAGTTTTATAAGAGTTATTGGGTCCTGTTTTGCGTCTCTTGAGTAAAACACAATCTCAGGACAGATGTTTTAAGATTTCACTGATCATCATAACTTGAAATGAGGTTACATCATGTATTCCTTTTTGTTTCCACGGCAACCCATTGAACCCTAGTGGGGAAAGTGAAGACAGCAGGAATCCATATTGTTAGTGTGCTGTATTTTAGGTTTGTGGGATTTGAGCAGTTTCGAACACGTCGGTGTGTTTTCCTCATCCCTCTCTCGAAATTTCAAACGGCTTCGTCTGAATTGCGCGCTGCTGCTGTGCCGATGGCGAGAGGGCGACATTTCTGCACTCACCTCCTTGAGCAGGATCTCCGCCACGTCCCTGTGGTTGTTGAGGGCAGCGAGGTGGAGCGCAGAGAAGCCATCGTCCTTCTTCACGTCCACTAACTGTCGGGCGCGGGCCAGGATCTTCTCTGTCGCCCTGCGCAGGACACGGGCACAGACAAGGCACAGTCAGACAGAGCGGGGAAGAACCAGGGCCGGACCTCGGTGTCCTTGGGCCTGGCCCTTTCACTCCGAAATGTGCAAAAAGAGGGGTTAAACGCCAACTGAATTACGTCGATTGATATGATGCACTTTAAACTATTAAAATAAGATAAGATCACTTTATCAGCCCTGTACAATTCCCCGCATTAGGAATTTGTCTTTTCGCAGACTCCGGCTTGCTCTCCATGAGACACACAGACAGGGAGAGAAGCTGGGGGTCAGAGTGCAGGGTCAGCCATTGTACAGCGCCCCTGGAGCAGTTGGGGTTAAGGGCCCAACGGAGTAGGATTTGCCGGCCGCGGGATTTGAACCGGCAACCTTCCAGCCACAGGCGCAGATCCTTAGCCACGGTGCCACCTCAGCATAGCTCAGGGGAGGCGCAGGTATCGCACTATTCTAATGCTGAACCACATGATTGATGGAGCGAGTCGAGCGCTCGAGTTTCTTAAACAGCTGCTAGAGAGTGTAGGATTATTGTTTTGGAGCACCTATTTGCATTTGATCGCAAGCACGTTGGTTTCAGTTCGTTTTTCCCTAGTCACTAGGGTTTCCCTCCATTGTAGGCCCAAAAAATTTAGAAATTTAGAAATCCAGCACTGGGAAGAACGTGAGACAGCTGGCCAGTGGAAGGCAGTTTAAATTCCAGTTCAGGTTTTATCACAGATTGCTGGTCTTAGTGAGGACCTGAGAAAAGTGGGAGTCTATCCTAGAAGGGTAGACTACAAGCATTACAGGACTGACATCAGGACAGGGCACTGGTTTACTGCAGACAGGAGAAAAAAGCAGCAAGTTCAGACTAGCCATTGCAACCTTGTTTCAGAGAGGTGGGATGTAATGGGGAAAAACCTACACAAAAAAGATCTACACACTAAAGATCAAGGCTTAACCTGACCCCAGAAACCTGGGATGGTGAGACAGAAGGGCTGAGCACCATAACATTAGAATGTCCTTGGACCCAATCACAATTTAAATCCAGTACTGTACATCACGGCAGGCTTGTACAGGCAGAAACAAGGACCCCCTGGTCTCTCTGAAGTGCTGGGCTTGTTATTTTTGACTGTGAAGTGGGGGCAAAGGTTTAATTTAATTTAGGCTTTCCTTTTAATTTCCACTAGGCCTCTTCCAGCATACAGCCATCAGCAGAATTAAAAATGACGTCCGGTGGAGGAAATTAAATAAAACTAAAAAAAGCAACACACACATCGTATGGGAACAAATTTTATTAGGCGGGCTCAGTGTGATTAAAGACTGTACACTGCCAAACAGCTGAATCATGAATTGACCTAGACACAGTGTTGAAATGGTATTAAAGGATCTTACACACGTCAATCTGCCTAAATATAAAAGACAGAACCTCCCAGGATCATGAAAGAAAAAGCTTTACCATTCTCCACTGGTTATAATCCACATCAATCTGCACCACCTTTGTGGTCTCTTTCCTCTTGACCTGCTGCAGCACTCAATGTCCTTTTACGGAGATTAGCTGGGTTAAGAAGCTGGAGAAAGTGAACTCTGCAACAGGTGTGAACAATTACAAGAGGCTTTTATAATAATCTAGCCTAATTCATTTTCTGTTCGCAGCATTCCCTCATTAATATTTTAACCAAGATGACCATAAAACAAGGCCGACTTGCACACTGTGAGCTTAATGTGCTGTGAAATTAAATTTAGCCAGCCGACGAGAAGTGGGAAAAGGTCTCTTTTGTAGCAGGGTTGTTTACTGGGTTTCGGCTTTGAGCGAGACACCAGCCCTGCGCCGGGCTCAAGGGATACTTCTGCAGCACATCCAGTAGGTTTCTCTGAGAAAATGGATTCACGACAGTCTTAGCATGCAGCTCTTGGGGTCAAGGATTGTATACTGTAGCTAACAGGAAAGAGACAAATAACAAACAGCTCAAGCAGGCCAATCCAGATACTCCTATGTTTTCTCCTCTCTGTTTTGAAATGCGGGGAAGAATTCAATATCTCACCTTTTCCTATTTTTTGTTGCCCACCACTATGTAACTCCCTGAGCTTGTCAACAAGCAGACCCATCGAGGCACACACTGTGCTATGCTTTTTAAAAAACACATTGCGTCCTTGGGGGCAGGTCCTTTGCACTGTTTTTATCTCGACAAAAAACAACCTTTGGCCAGCTCAGAGTTTCAAAGCCTGTTTCATCATATAAGATCGTCTATCTTGAGCAAACGAAGAAACAAAAACGAAGACAAATGTACTTATGCATTTAAGGGGCAGTTGAAAAAATCTAAAAGGTTCCTATTCCAAACCCCACCAGGTGTTGACAACTTTAGAGCCTCGAGTCCAGTATTCAATAAGTAAAGATGCGTGGAGAGGGGGTGATATAGACTATTATATTCATAATTACTAAAATCAAGTGACCCATTGAATCAAAACACTGCAGCAGTGGTTAGGGCTCTGGATTTGAAAGTAGAAGGCTGTGAGGTCAGATCCCACTGCTGTCGTTCCCCTGAGCACGGTACTTCACCTGAATTGCTCCAGGAAAACACCCAGATGTATAAATGGGTACAAATGTAAATGTAATGTGCTTTGTTCAAATATGGCAAATAAATTAACAGTAATGAGACACTCCCCTCTGTGCATTTTATACGTTTAAAAATGGATCACTGCAGGTAAATGATTTGCATCTATTTAACACTGATATTTAAAAAAAAGCAACAATCTCACCTTCACAATACATGGCTTCACATCACTCCAGCCTGACGGCAACAGCAAGTACCAATAGCGATACAGGTGTTTGTTTCAGCTGTATAAAGACCTGTTGTGTTTGCAACACTGCCATAAAACTGCAGGACCTGGTAAAGCACTGTTTCTTGTTTTTAAATAGGGAGGTTTTGCACAAGCTGTAAGCAGCACTGAATGAATGTGGAAATTCAACTCTACTCAACATTTAACCTACTGGGGATCCCATACTGTTCAACTTGCAGTGCACTACGTTGTGACAATTTAAAGGGTTAACGGCATAAAGGCAGGGGGTGATGAAGCCTTTCACATTCACCTTGCCAGCTGACAGATTCTCAATGCCCTTTCTGCTCCCACTCCTCTCCCCTCTCTCCCCAAGAGGGACTTGGAAAGAACGCCTCTAACCCGCATGAGCTCTGTTGGACATGATCCGCGACAAACCGACACGGATTCAGCTCTCTCTCCCGGCCACCTGGGAAATAACTCGCCTTCTCACTTCCATTTCTCATTGCGGGAAATCCCGGTTATAAATCCAGCAGTGCGGCTCGCAGGAAAGCCAGACTGCACTGTGAGATCCTTCCAGTTCAGAAAGGAAGCACGCTTGTTCAGCTCAGCATTGACTTTGAAAAACCTGAATGGATTTGATCAAGCCTGGCCAGTAACAGTGCACTGACAGTTTAATTTGATGTATCAGAACAGTGATTTATTTATCTGTCTCACCCTATTCTTAATTCTAACCTGAGTTCTAAATCTTGCTTCAAAGCTACCCCTAATCCTATCACCCATCCTAATCCTATAACTTTTACTACTATTTTTTTGGATTCTACTGACCAGTACTGGCAATTCAGAGTACTTGGGTCTTTCGCACTTCCTAGACATCGACATAGGGAAACACGGGAAACAGAAAGGCCCATGACTGATAGGTTAAGAGAAGCATGCCAAAGGAATCAGAAATAAAAGAGGATTATTTGCGAAGAGAAAAATTTCAGAATGGAACAAAAATGTTAGAAACCAAAAAGTTGAAAGTGTGGAACAAGTAAATATTAAAAAATAACATCTTTTCAGTTACTGTCAGCTATGATGCCTATACGCTGCTTAAATGCAGAACATAAGACATGTACTCGGGGACACTGTGAATTTGGGTAAGAACTGCATGCACAATCAAATGCATTCTTCCGGGCACAAGGATGAAAGCAACTGCAGCGAAAACGCAGATTTAAAGCCTCTTGTTAAACAGATGGGGCTCCTGGCTCATTCAACTGACCCTCTGTGCCAATCTCTTCCCCTGTCTCAGACCCTTGCCTTTTTGTGGCAGATACTGTGATTGACATTAAAAACCCTTCAGAAGCAGATTTTTACATTTAGGGTAAAACTTCTGGGAAGTAGACATGGGCTGTAACTTGACTCTGCTCAGACCTTTGCTAAACTTCAAAAAGGAAAGAGACCAACAATTCATTTTATCATCCTAAAATGTAATCAACAACATGCAGTCGACAGTCATAGCGCAAAAGTCTTCTTAAGTTTTTAGAAGCCTATATTTTAGGTAATGACTTGATCAGTGACTCTGATGGGGTTAAGCAGGAACTTCCACTGATCTCCTCAGCAGTCACTGCCTAATTGTGTCTGAGAATCAAAATTATTATCAGACACCCACAGGCTCGGGGTGTTATTGGTTTAAATTAAAAACAGTAGCTTTACACCGCTTCCCACAGCTTTCTGCTCATTCCCCTGAAAGCACAAATGTGCTTCTCATTTACAATTCAGTGACAAGTCTGAGGCTTATTACAGAACTAACAAAAACGTAATGGTTTACAGGTGGAATATTTTAATGTACAGAAGAAATTGGTGACACATAGATAGGTCTTAAGGCCTCCGGGTCACCAAAGAGTTTAATCAACAGCTTGTTTTTATAGAACTGACACAACACATCTCTTATTATTACAAAGAAAAGGGGGTAAATTCAGTCCAACTAGTGCTTTTGGTAAAAGCTCCTTGATCCAATAATTTTGTCCAGCTGTTTCTTGCAAAGACAGGGTATGTTTGGGCTTCTACAAAAAAGGCTGGGTAGTTTGTTCCAGCCTCAACACAACCCACTGAGTGACTCTAGTTATCAGTTTTAAAAGCACCTACCCTTACATATACATCTGTGCCCACTGGCTTGTGCTTTCCTGTTGATTCTGAAGAGGTCCAATGAACTGACTTGATCTATGCCTTTGAGGATCATCAGAAGGCACCTCACTATCAGTCATATACTACAGTTATTGTGCTTCTCCATAACATACCCTAGCTGTTTTCTCAGCATCATTCTGAGAAGGTGCTCAGCTGGGAGAAGCCTGATTTCAGTGAATTAAAGAACCTTACATTTACTCTGCCTGAAAATATGATAATGGAGATTAAAGTTATCGCTGTTAGTAAGTGAATGGGCCATTACCACAGCAATGCCTACTACAATGTAAATAATCTCGCACTTAGATCACTGCTACCGTAAATACGATTATGTATTTGGGTGTGCATGTCTTTAACCAGAAATAGCTGCTTCAGCCCCATTAGCGGCTGAGCATGCTTTCAAACACACTTTGCAGAAGAAGCGAGTCGTCAGCGAGTCGGACTACAATTACAGCCGGGGAGACGGGGACAAAAACTGCAACAGCCTTACTTGTAGCGATCTTAATTGTAATGGAGACATTCTTCACGGTCATTTCCTGTTGATTCTTACCATCTATAACTTCAAAAGAAGTTCGTGATCATCGGTGTTTCTTAAGAAAAACAACCGAGCGTCGGACCTGATGCCCTGCACTGGGAGTGGCGGGTGTCCAGTTGGCACGTGCTGACCAGGCCTGTGGCACTCTGCCCCCCCTGGACACAGGAGACGTGCCGACCCCGGCGATCACAGGCCAGCTGCAGGTACTTACAGCTTGTTGCCCTTCAGAGCCGCGTGGTGCAGCAGGTTGAAGCCGCGGGTGTTCTGCTGGGTGAAGTCGATGGTGGGCACCTCCGTCAGGATCTCGATGATGTTCCTGAAGTCCTTGGCGATGGCGTCGTGCAGGGGGGTGTCCCCGTACGAGTCCTGCATGCAGGGGCAGAAGAGCAGAGCGGATCTTGACCATTTGTCACTCCTTGACAAGGATCCCCAGATTAAACGTTACAGCACAAGGAAGACTGTTATCATCGCAGAGAATGCCACTGTTAATTTTTAAAATGAAAACAAACAACCAGCAACTCCGCTTTCACCTACAGTACGGGAAAGTAAGAGTCAGAGCAGAGGCACTGTGGAAAAGGGTTAGAAGTTGCCTTCTGTTTCTGGGCAACCTCCAATGTTCAGTTTACACAATTCGGTTTCAATTCTTGTTGACAAAGCACACAGCACTATTAATTCAACTGTTTATTTCCCATTTCTTTCTTCTTATACATTGTTTTGACTATTCCTAATGGCATTGCAAGGTTCCCCGAAGTGCATTTAAAAACCGGAACAGAAACCAAAGCATTTTATTATTAGTCAGGCAGAAAGGGGGTAGAGATTACAGATGGTTGCGTAACTGGATCTTTGTCCCAGCTTTTCCATTAAAACTAGTGACAAAAATAAGGTCATTACAGCCCAAGAATGAAAAGGGATATGTTGTGCACCCCATTGTCAAGAGTTTATTTGCATCAATGAACCTTTCTTTAAAAAACAATTGGCAGTCTTTATGTCTCCACTATATCCCAATTTAGAAAAGTTATCCATTGGCCAGGGATGTTTCTTTAATCACTACTAACAATGATTATTTGCAATACAACTGTTGTGATTATACACACACATATAGCACATCTCTGTCCTGTTGAAAAGAATATTGTCGGAAATCTCATCCGAGGACTGGTGAAAAGACACAACCACGGGCACATACAGAAGTCCAGTTACACAGGAAAGCCCAGTCCAGTTACATAACTGAAGGAAGAGAAGGAAAAAATGTAGAATGTTCCAAAGCGGTGAAAAACAGGAGGATAGAAATCCCTCAATTAGAAAGCTTTAGACTCTTCTGGGCAAGGGTGCTGTTAGCTGAAAATCACACAGGGTGTTTTCACTTGGCAGTGGAGGCATGTTGCCCGCTCGGGCTCAGTGCTCAATGGGAAGCCCTCACCTGCAGGTTGACATCCGCATTGTGCTCCGACAGCACCCTCACCACCTCCGTGAAGCCCTTGTTGACCGCGATGTGCAGGGCTGTGCACATGGAGTTGTTCAGCAGGTTCACGCTGGCACCTTTGCTCAGCAGTAGCCGCGCAGTCTCTGCTTGGTTCCTGAGAAAGAAGGGAGGCAGTCACAACAAAAAACAAATCTGATAAAACACAGGAGGGGGAGAGCGGTTTATGAAAAAACACTGCAGAAATAGCCTGCCTGGTTTCAACGGGTACTGCAGCAGGGAAGGGGGAGAGAGAACTATCTCTGCTCACATGCTGAGAAAAGAGACAAGAATAGAGACCACACCTGACAATTTCGACACCTGTCACATGCAACACTATAATTGATAAGACAGCTAGTCCTGGTTGATCGGTTTGGCTGAAGGCACTATCAATAATTAAAAAGACAATGGATTGCTAAGTGGATTGCCCATAAATTAACAGGTATGTGTAGCATGTGAAACACCAGCCACAGACTCTACACACAGCCCTGTCCGAACGCCAGCCTCACCCAAAGGCTGTGTAGTGCAGTGCTGTGTCCCCATCCTCGTCCTTGACCTCAATGCTGCTGTTGGCCTGAAGCAGGACTTTCACCACCTCCACGTGCCCCTGATGGGCAGCCACCTGCAGAGCCGTCTTGCCCTGATTCTTGATGTCCACCTGTGCAGGACACAGAAACGCACAGGACAGGGTTATGCACAGCTCCAGTCTCTGGTGTGCCTTGCATTGCGATGAGGTCCTAGATCTGGGGACTAGATCCAACTGTAGTCCTCAGTGTTTTGAATCCAGCAGATCACATAACATTAAGACATCATAAGAAAAAAACATGTTGGAGAATACATTATTATCCTGAAAGATGTACATGATAAGAGTCCCTACACTTATCATGCAAACCAAGCCCCGTGACCAAAAGGCGAAAAAAAAAAAAGGCGGCGCTCACTTTGTCTGGGTACTTCTGCACCAGGTCTCGGACTTTGCTGGCGCTGCCATGCGCCGCCTCGATGACCAGCCGCCCGGGGTGGTCCAGCTCGGTGGACTGGGACAGCAGCTTCTCCAGCACAGAGATGACGGTGCCTGCAGTGGGGGTGGGGGAGTGGGCGGGAGACCGAGCACAGGACAGTGAGAGACCCTTCGCAGGGGCTCTGAGGGTAGGCACAGCGCTAAAAGGTATTAATTGAAGAAGCTCCGGAGGCTAAAAAAAAATACAGCAGAGAAATTGACAGCATTCTTTTGCAAACCTTCTTTCTATCTACTCCATGATTAGGTACAGTTTAACACAAAAGCAGAGCATTTGCAATGTCTGTGCCACACCCAAAAAGCACAATAGAGGAATTAATCACAATTCCCCTTGCTGGCACGCCATAAGTCCCCCCGGCAACGAACGCTGTGTGTACAGAGAAGGCAAAAGCAGCATGAAGTTAGAGAATTTCACTCAGGCAACACATAGAATGAACAGCAATAGTGAATTGAATACCAGCCCCAAAATGCATAGGTTTATGGTCAACACACACACTTGGAAGCACACGTTTCTGCGATACAACCTAAAAACACAGCCAGCTCTTTTGAAAACATGAAGGCAGTGACATGGTGCAGCACGGAGGACTGTGGTTACATGACAAATGACAACAGTTGCAGGAAAGATCTTGACTTCATGCAGGAAAAACAAAAAATTCACAAGAGTTGTGTTCCTATTTACCCCGTTTTACAATGCATTTCCAACATGCGGCAGAACGGTATAAAACTTTTGAACGCAGAAACGGAAAAGGCTTTTTTTAGAAACCCAGTGCAGGCTAGAAGCTCAGAGCCATCCTTCTGCGAGCGTGTTTCCAAGGATGGCGTCATCCTTAACGTGAGCCTGAATGGAAAAGCGTGACGAGAGAGAGAGAGGAGAAACGGGAAGGCAGGAGACGCATGCAGGAGGCCGGCTGGACAAGGAGAGACAGCAACGCCTGGAGGCTGTCTGCCCGAGAGCCGTCCCCACGTCCTTACTTCCGGATTCGTTGGGGTTCTCGGTGGTCATGAGGTTGGCGTCCACCTCCGCGGGCTGGGAGGTGAGGCACGCAGGGTTGAAGGTCCAGGTCTGCCCTCCGAAAGCCACCCTCAGGTCACCGTCCGCGTACACCTTCAGCACTTTGCCCATCTGCCCCAGCGCCTGCGAAGGAGGCACAGGAAGTCAACACCTGGCGGCGCAACGCAACTAGCAAATCCGCTTTAAAACCAGCTCCCACCTCATTCCTCAAATCAACACCTACAACTCTCATAAAGCTGGGATAGTCAGAATGAAAAACTAAGGAAGCTGGAGAATTAACTCAGAAGGTCTTGGGTTCGAGGAGGACGGGTAACGATCTGTCACTGGGGATTTGTGTCCTCGGAAGCACGGGGTCCACTCACAGGCGCCATGCTGTCCGTCCACTCGCCGTGGCCAGCCTGGAGCCGCTTGACGTTGTCCATGTCGTCCAGCACGCGCACCAGGTCTCCCACCCCGAAAGTGTGCACCTGGGCAGAAGCAGAGGTTTTAGCACAGCCTTTACGTACAAAAGGAGGCAGAGAACAGTCCAGTTTGCCACCGCAAGCCATGGGTTCCCACCCCAACCCATCCATCCATCTTCTAATGGCCTCTTCCAATTCAGGGTGGGGAGGAGACGGAGCCTAGCAAGCAACAGGAGCAAGGCAGGCTACACCCTGGAGGGGACGCCTGACATCACAGGGCAGACTGCCACAAACACAGACACACACCACACCCACACACACACAAACAGGCCTTTTTAAACAGGAGGTCCTTTTAATTCTCAGATCACTGCAGAGAATGAAAATAAATAACACTGTGGTAGTGGAATACACAGCACTAACCCATAACCTGTTTATGTGGTAATATTATTGACATGATTAAGTGGAAAACTGCAAATGACAACAACACGGAAAAAGACACTATTAGTTCCACTGATGTCGAATTTTTTGCAAATTCCTAAAATAAAAGTTCTTTAAAATGTCTGTCTGGCTTCTGTGCAATACCAGCATAGGCGGATTAGTCTTTTAGGCTCCAAACAGTCTTGCTATTAATATCTCTTTCTTGGCTGACTTGATGGAGAATTAAATTTTTTATATATTTTATATATGTATTGTAAGCAGGAAAGGCTACTTTAAAAGTTTCATGTTACTCTCTTTTAAAGAAGTCGGACTCTTTAAGTCAAGTTTAACCACCAGACAGCCTGTTATTTTGAAATGTGTAATTTGGGCAAGAATTCTTCCAGCTGTAACCAACATCTGCTTCTATAAAGCATAATTTTCTTCTGTGGATGTCCTACCTATGTATCATCCATGTATATGAAGGAGATGGACAAAATAATGGAAACACCAAGCAAAATATGAATATTTATTAACTAATAGGGAGTTGGGTTGCTAAACAGCCTCAATCATTCTTGGAATACTGTTATACAAGTTTTAAACTGTTTCCATTGGGATACTGGACCATTCCTCAAGAAGGAAAGCCTCTAGTTCCCGGAGAGACGAAGGAGGTGGAAATCTACTCCACACTCATCGTTCCAAACCTTTCCATAAAGGTTCAATGGCGTTTAGATCTGGTGACTGGGGGAGGCCATGTTTGACTTTGTTCTCGTGTTCACGAAACCAGAAGAAGTGTTGAGAACTGTATGTGGGGGTGTTACTGCCTTGGAATACGGGAACATCTTGTGGAAACAATGTTTGTGTCATAGGAGTGCACCTCGCTGGCTGAATTATTGGCTGTAATTCTACCACGCAGGGCAATAATCAGACCCAGTGACTCCTGGCTTACTTTGGCTTTGTCCAAACATAAACCTGTCCAGATGTACAGTAGAAAAAGAGTAAAAGGCCAGACCGTATTACTTTTTTTCCCCACTGCTAAGAAATATAGGAGTTGTGCTCATGAACCTAGGTTAGGCAATGCCGTGCACTGGCCTTGGTTACAAGCAGTTTCCGAATGGCAACCCTACCATACAGTAAATACCAGCTTTGTGAATCTCACAGCGTACAGGTTGTGTTGAGACTGGGTCGGGGTGTAGGTGTAGATTCGCGTAGAGGTCATTTTTGAGGGCAGCCTTGAGGAAACACCATGTGAAATCAGAGCGGGGGACGCCATCCTCCCTTGGTTGGCTCTGGGGAACCACGCGCACCCCCCAGGGGCCTGTCAGGGTCGGGGGCCCCGCAGACAGACCCTCCCTCTCAGCCCACCGTCGCCAGGGGCCTGGCTGCCAAAGCCCCTCTCATTTCCACCTCGTCACCACGGGCCTCCTGCTCCTAATTACACTTAATGGCACCACTTCATTTGAAGTAGCTGCCTTTATAAGCGCGTCTGGGTGCTGCTTTGTTGCTGTGCTTCTGGGTACTTTTTTAAAACGCTTAACTATACGAGAACAATTAAGGCAGCATCACTTTACCACGTTAAACGCGCCCAGGAGGACCAGACATCTTTACCCTTTTTCATCCTCTAAACGAATTCCCCGTTAGGGACGGAGGTACACATTAACTTCAAATTTTAAAAAACGAAGCACATTCTCGGCACTACAGAGTCTTTTCTTTGCATCTCCTAGGGACATCCATGACACTGGAAAAAAAAAACACTTATACAACATCGACCACCTCGATGGTAAAGATTTTTTAACTCTCCAAAGCAAGCAAAACACAACCCCATAAGCAAACAAGACCAACAAATCAAAATTCAGCCACTACTTCGACTTGATCGCATGAATACAAGAGAAATTAAAAGCAAAATAAAGTAGTCGCTTAGGGTGAAATTCGCCTCTGGCATCCTAATGCATGATTGATGCACTTTCCCAGTTCATGTCACCAAGTTCCAGGAATGCTGGAACTTCACAAATGCTACATCTCCATGGGCAAGGACTGCTTTGAACTTGGGAGCTTAACCTCCCCTGAACTGAAGCTTCTCTTTCCTGCTTATCTCCCTACCTTGGTGAGCGCCCCTGGGTGAAAAGTCCAGCGGATGTTATTGCTGTACTGGACTCTGACATCCCCCCGGTCAGTGATCCTGTGCACAGTTCCTATTCGGCTAATGTACTGTAACATAGAACAGGAGAGGCCGTTTAGTCATTGATTCACAGCAAGCTTTGAGCGTCAGGTGTGCAGATCTGGAATAACAGATACCAATTTCACTGTACGGATGTCTACTTTTATGCATCCAGCCTGGCTATTGTCAGCCAGAATGAAGCAAAAAGCATGCTTTGAGACCTTTTCATAAATACACAGGTTTATGTAGCAGTGTATTTGCATGCACCTTTATTTGGATCGTCAGCTGTGTGTGTATGTGTGTGTGTCACCCAGTTCTGGGAACTGAAAGCTGAACTCCCGAGTAGGCTCTGTGCTTTCTAACCCAGTCTATGGTAAGGCAGCATTCAACATACACACTTCATTTGTTTGCATTTAGTGCAACCCGCACCTTCATTGCAATCCTGCTCTTGCAATTAATCAATTTACTAATTAAAAGGATGATTACAGTAGTATGCTGTATGACATACAGTAAAGGCAGTGTGCTCATCAGCCCTGACCGGAGTGATACACTCACAAACTGTAAAGCTGTCTTGATGCATGTTTTGGTGGAATAAGAAAAATAGACACAAAAGCATCCACTGCATTTAGAAAGCAAAAATAACTCAATTTTCTTCAAGAGGCAAACCACCTTCTCTGCACTGAAACCAAAGACCCCAGACAGGTTCAAATCCCTGACTCATGCTCAGTGCTCTTCCACAGCAGAACAGGTGAAAACTCTCCAGGTTTTTCTAGAGACGACGTTCTAGGGACGTCTTATCGCCCACATGTCCAGATGTGGACACAGTAAAACAAAAAGCATAGTCTCTTACCTCTGACACCAGAATTCACAAGGCTTTTAAATGAAACATCCCCATACCAAAAAATACATAAATACGTGTCTTAATGAAATATTGGTGTAACATAAATTCTGAAACCGTTTGGAAAAGGCAGCTGCATACCACTGTGGTGCCTGCATTTGAACAAAGACTGTTACTGAATACTGATGCAATGGCAGCTCTAGTGTAGGTGAGCACAGGTGCTATCCTACACTTTGCAAGAGAAACACGGTGCAGTGGAGGAGTTTCATACACGCAGCTGCTGGAAACCACCTGAGCAGGCACAGAAGGTGCCGAGAGACGGAGAGCTAGCGGAAGCCGTACCTCCGCCATCTTGGGGTTCCAGCCTCCGTGACCCTCCTGCATCTGCCGCAGGATGTCGACCTCCAGCAGGCACTTCACCTTGTCCCCCTGCTGGAAGGCGTGTCCGTCGGCGCTCTCCTGCCTCTGGAGCTCCGCGTGCTCCCCTGCGCGAACAGCCAGTATGGCGGAAAGGAGGAGAAGCGTCAGGAGCTCGTTCCAGCCGGTCTCCCCCGGGCCTCTGACCGGGCTGGACCGCCGTCCCGGAGACGAGTCCTGGACGCTGAGCTCAAGTCCAGCGATCAAGGTGCACGCGTAATCGCTCTGCTGCCTCAGCATGCCATAAACGTCTCAGCACACACACACACAAATAAAGCAGTGTGACTGCACTGTAAAAATAATAAAACACTGCGTTACAGTAACTTATGGCTAAGCTTTCATAGCATGTTAAACGCCATGTGAAATTTTAGGGGGTTGATTTAATTTTACGGTCTTTTTTATAAAAGCGTTTTACTTGACAAATGCATTTAGTTAAATGTTTTCAAATGTCACTTGTTCACAAATTCAAGCACGTCATTTGACGCAAACAATGCCAGAGTCACAAAGTTAAGACCGAACTTGACTGTGTTGCTTTGAGTCGCTGTTGGGATGAGCTGTATGTCCTGAGTGAGATTATATTCCCGTGCTTCTCTGCCCTGGGTATACAGTCAGAAGAAGGGGGAGCGGGATGTTTGTGGATCTGCACCTCATGGCAAGGATAAGACAATGGTGATGATGGTAATGATAAAGAAGAAGCTGAAAAAGAGTGAAGGAACAGACAAGTATCCCTTAAACAGCATTCCTACCTACCTAACTTGGGGAGGTGATCTTTGTAGTAATAGCCCCCTGCAACGTCAGAGATGTACTTGAGGTCCACCTTGCCCTTGTGACCCATTCGGTAGACGTTCGTGGTGCCATTGGACCACGTCACACTGGCCACGCTGCGCCCCGACTCAGTGTCCCATCCACGGATATCCACCACCTTCCCAATTTTCCCTTCTCCCCCTGGCCACACAGACAGGAGGAAGATGATTATGCATCCGCCCTGAAGGAAGAGACCTCAGAACAGAAAGTGTGCAATCTCTCTTTGCCGAGAGCCATTACGAAAGAGGCTGTGGTTGTTGTGCAAAAAGACAAAAAAAACAAGAGCCAAGTCTGTTTTCACACATACGCACTGCATCAAAGGACACAAACAAGCAGCGGTTGTTTTATCCTCCGGTATCTCCACAATTCTGCAAAACAAGATGTTAAGACAGAAGCTCGGGTTATTAAAAGCCTCACCAGAGCATAATGGAAAGTGAAGAGAGAAAAGTATTACAGTCAACAATTTAGTTCTGAATCATTAGAGGATGCAATGGGAACACAACTCCTTTAAAGATTTTAATAGCGAGCACACAGCAGCAAACATGTCATCCAGCCCTCCAGAATTCACTCTGCAAAATCCCTTCTGTAAATTATTCAAAAGTTGTCAAACACCCTCCAACAGAACTGGTGGCCAGTATGCAGGCTCTGGGTGAAGTGAATGGTTCTCCCAAATTAAAATACAGCTTCTTAGGGGAAACAGGCATTACTGACTGAGAAATTAATTTTCTGTGGTCAGATCCCAGAGATCACAACAGGTCCTTTGGAGTTAGCAAGGCTGCTGATAATATTCTTCGGCTTCTGCTAGAGCAGTGAGTGGAAGCGTGGGATTTCACTGTGCAGTTTGCTGTTGAGTAAGGCTCATGGCTCCCTACCCACTCACTGCTTTGAAGGCTGCTTATGTACTGCAGCAACTCTGCAAATTGTAGAAGCGCCTCAGGAGCACTGACAGCATTGCTTCTTACTGTAACACTGGGAGGTGGACAGCAGAGGGAAATAACTCTGTGGGCTGATGCAAGTGTCACAACATGTCTAAAAAAATCATGTAAATACAGCATATGCACAGCTCGGAAAAATTTGAAAGGTTGACTGGGAAGATGGATGTCATTCAAAACACATTTCATTGATAAATACACATCAAAACCAAAGAAAAATCAAGGTGTTTGACAAACATTTAAAGACAATATATACTTGATGGTGATATTCTGCTTAATATTATTGTTTAAAGTTAACTTATAATATATATCTAATATCCTTTTTGAGTGCAATTTCAAAACTCAGTAGAGTTCTCATGACACAATAAAAGACTTCAGTCTTTCTGCTGTACCTGCTTTAGACTTTTTATGAAAGTGAAAAGATTGAGATAGGTATTAAAGACTTTCTCTGCACAGATATTCTCAGAATGGTTTGTTAAAATCTGCTGACCTGGAGATCTGTCATGGGATGACTGGGAAAACATCATCTCGCACTGCAACACTACGCACGTATTTCCCGACCTATGTGGCTGGAGAAACTGACAATCCCTGACAGTCACTTTCCAAAACCCAAGCTCAATCTCTCAGATTTTCCACAATGTATCAAAAGCTTTTGAAAGAAGTCTCACCAGCAAGTCAGAAATTCTGAGTCACTCAATGTGATTCTGTGTAACACCTGACGTTTTTTTTTAAAACAACATGATGAAGACCAGAGCTCCCATCTTCTCCAAACATTTAATCTCTGACTACAAGCTAAAGAGAGAGACCAGGCCCCTTACAAAGCTGTCTGTATCTGGTAACTTAAAACAAATTCATAAGACAGAGTCAAGTTTTCGTTTGTGCCTAAGCAGTGGAACTAAAAACCAGAACCTAATTTCCAAGTTCAAAACCTAAGAAGTTGTGAGACTTGTGCTTTTTGCAGTGTCCTTCTCAAGTGTGACTACAAAATTTACATTTCTATTACATAACAGAAATAGGGAAGAATTTCTTCAGAAATTAACTCAGATATTCCAGCAAAACAACTGCGAATGAAATGCCTCTTGCCTATTTCTCTGCAGGCCTGTCTACGCTCTTATAGAGGAACAGAGACCTAAAGGTTCCGCTTGTTTTCGATGGTTCTTATATTTCACGGACTGGTAATGAGGAAAAAACACAATTTGCAGTTCTGCTTCTTGAGACTTACTCATTACGTACAAAAACACAGATGACAGGCTTAATGGTTCATTCCAAAACCAGCGAGCAGACATTTCGACTCGTTCTTTCACCCAGGGAATTTTGGTCGTAGCACAAATGATTTTGTGGTTCCTGCTTTTACCTTTAACCCAGTCCTCAACAACTCCTCACAAGCACCGCCCACACACACCAAAATACCCAAACAGTGCAACACCTCTTACAGATGTTAACCCACCCCAAATTGTATTTTTTTTAATCCCTGACGTTTTCTAGTTCACATTTACTGGGCTGGTATCAAAGTACGTCTTATTCACTTGCATAGGCTTGAGGAAAGATATGGCACCAGTGTTGGGGGAAAAAGGTCACATCACACATCAACAGAAAAAACACCAAGCGACAGTTAACATTACCCCAAAACAGTTTGAATTTCAGGTCCTCTCTCTGGGTAAAGGAGGCAGGACATAATCAGGAATAAGAGGGACTGAAGATGGGCTCCTATACCACTGTCACATTGTTAATTCACCACCTTCAGTGCTCCTCATACCAGATTGTACGTGTACAATAAACACAATTTGTGCTCCCTTACATCTGAATTTACGGCAAAAAGTTTGTTTTACAACCACAACACAGCTGTAGCGTTATTTATCTGTATTTAATTTTCCGTACAGATACAGTACCACCAGTGTACAATTATATTCATTCTGCTCACCACCGATTTATCAGCTCTTCACGTAATTTCAATGAGAAATTACTTCTCAATGTCTGCGTTTTTGGTTTGCACAGCGTTTTTCAGGAACGCATCTGGTCAGCAAACCAAGAGCTGCCTGTGCAGTGTTTTTCACTCATCTGGGCTGTAAGGTGCCGAAGTGGAAAAAATGATGTTTCGATGGCATAAAGAGAAGGAATTAGATTAAGGAGTTATCACCAGTTTGCTGTTAAAATCGAACTCCTGCACTCCCTCAGTGCTTGTTTTTGATGCAAAATACAGATATGTTCTGTCATGCCAAGGAAAACAGTGTGTTTTACAGTAAATAAACGCTCAAAGCTTTACTTTTCTGAAAATCCTTCTTTCTGGAAACATCTGTTTGCCAGACTAAAAGACCCACTTCAAAGAACAATTAGCAACTTTAACGCAGAGACAATGATTCATGCCTCGAAACAAACTCATTTTGTGAAGCAGATTCAAAAAGCTGCCCGGCACTCAGGCAGCTGCATTTTCCTTCCAGAAAAGCAATTAGGGTACAATGAAGGATTGGGGGTGGCTCAAAAAGAGGTTCAAAAACCACCTGCAGCACATGTTTACCTTGAAAGCAATAAGAAGAGCAATAATGTTCACCTCTCTGCGCCCACAGCTCACGTTTTGCCCCCACAGGACAGAACAGACACTCGGCCCTTCCCTGCTGACTCACCGTCCTGGTTGCCCCAGTCCCAGTCCGGTCCTCGCACCACTCTCACCCCCTGGAAGATCCCCTTCAAAATTATCCGGGAGAGGTTCTGCCGCGGCGTCAGGGCGACTCTGCGAAAAATAGGGCACCGGTTAGGAAATCAGAACATCGCCGGCACGCTGGACACGGAAGAAACATTTCTGTACAGATCCCGCTCTGCTCGGAGCTGCAGAAGAGCAAATGGCACTTCTTGTCAGCACTGAGCTTCCTGCTTCTTCGTGTGCGATAAATGGCCCAAGCCATCTCTTTGTCATCAAACGGAGGACAAACGGCTTCATTTCACTCCCTCGTTTCGCACTGCGTGGTGTAGGCAAACTTGTTTCTTTATGCAGCAGCGCAGGAGTAATGTGCGACTTCTAAACCGATGGTTGCAATAGCAAAGGAAGGCCCAGCGAAGTAAAAGTATCTCACAGTGTGAATGTCTTTTTCGCTACTGCCTCAAGCACAGCAATCAGCTAGTCTTGGCGGTACCCTGCGGGAGTCTGTACAGCAGACATGGAGGCAGTCAAAGCTGGTCCAGCTGGTACTACAGTACCAACAGGATAAAGCATAAAAACCACAGGACTCTCCCGACTGTGCAGCTCTGAGACGGCAGTCTTATCAAAGCGATCCTGGAACACAATGGGGTGCTCTGAACCATAGCAGCACTACAAAATCAATTGGAAGGCCAGGGGGGTACGAAAAAAAGAGTATTCCACAAAAGCTCAGTCATATCACTGTCCTGTGGAATCGCTTTTCCAGAAAAATGGTTTACATGCACTTGGTTGCTTTTCAGAATTAAAGAGTTGTGCCCGCTATTGAAATGGCTGTAGCATGAGGTTCCAGAGCAAGCTTTGACTGGCCTCAGCAAAACTGAGCATTTAAACTAATAACACATTTGAACACAGCAGTCTATTATATTCTGTCCTTCCTGTCAGCAATTCAATCATCCTTAAAATGGGATCTAGAGTGCACCTACAGACCGCAGAGAGAGAACTGAAGGCTTCCGGGGAAGACCTACCTGATGGTGAAAATCTGGTCTGAGCTCTGTGCAAAAGAGCTCCCTATTCCCATACTTTCTGAAAAAGCTCAGCGCCCAGCTTGCATTTTACTGCAGGACTTTCCGAGACCAGGTTTCCTGTTGCTTGCTAAGTTTTGTCCAATGATGAAATGGTTCTCTTCTTCTCTTGCTAGCAGGATTAAGTTTTTTTTTTTACTTTTTGGCGGTATGGGAATGGGCCGAGATATACATCTGAAAAGAAAGTTGGGAACTGGTGTCCCTCTTTGCCCAAATCTGCTTCTTCTGAAAAAACGCCGACACTCTTCACTGCACTGAGTTTAAATCCTAAGCACAGGCTGCCTGTCTAGGACACACTGACAGGGATGTGTGCGTGTCCGATCTGATCCCCCGCCACCAGACTGCCTTAGCTGAAGCCTGCAGAATCAAGCCAGGCCTGGCCATCCACCCCCAGTCTCACCTCCTACATCCCCTTGGCCTGTCCTGGCCAGCACTGGACCTGCGTCAACAGCCAGACACAACAGATGTCCCCAGGGCTTATAGCTCTAAGCTCTTTCTTGTGAAGAGATTTCTTAACATCTTGGCCTCTTGGCCACCTGCACAGAGAGACCGTGTGCAGCTGGTCTCTGAAGCACTGCAGCCCACTTGTCTAGCTCGGGGACTGCAGTTGTGTCAGCAGGGGTCTCCTGGTGCAGTTCCATCCTCCTTTCTCATATGAATTCACGGGGACACGTTAAGCAAACAAACTCCATTGTGAAATTTTGAATTCATGAACTGCAGGGTCAAATCTGGTAAGGGTTTTGGATGAGAAAACTACTAAGAAAAAAATAGGTAGCTGATGATTTTCATTTTAGTGTTCTGAGAGTGCATTTCATTTTCCCCAGAACACTAACACTTTTAGGAAGAAAAAAATGGTCTACATTAGCTGTTTCTGGTTATCTGCACCTGCGCAGATGTGCTTTTTTTGCACACAAGGTCACAAACTTGTTAACCTGGGAGGCTCACATGCAAACCCTGCTGCTTCAGAAGCAAACTTTTTTAAAGGCTTTGAAGGCCAAGGGGGCGGCCGCCGTGTCATGAAAAGGAAACAGGTTTTACCTCACAAATAACCACAATCAGATTTAAATGAACAGAAAGAAAAGCTTCAATTTGTCCTTTTTTCTGTTATTGAATTTGATCATGCAGCGTTTTAGGAACATTTGTCACGTATTGGCGTAGAAAAGGGACACGAGTTCTCTTTTTCTGTGTGTGTGGTTTTGGTCTGATCAGCATTCCCCAGAGGCACTCCTTCATGGTGTGTGAATTTATGGTGCACTGTGCAAGAATGACCTTCAGAGACTGTGACAACTCCATAATCTGAAGCCACTCTCAGGTCTCTGGGACTCTGGGAATACATTTTCACCGCAGGATGGAGGTAGCTGGGTTTGCAACTAAAATGGAAATGTTGAGCAATATTTGCCCAGGCTGCCCATTTAAACTGACTAAAATCTAAAAACTCCAACTTGAATAATAACGTGAATGACCACAGCTGAAAAAGGCTCCACAGCTGAAACGTTGTGTTTTCTTTTCTCTTTACAGCAAAGAATAAACCTATTACTTGTTCATTTACAGTATGTGTTTTCTCACTAACTGCAGTTATCTCTAATCTTGAATTGCATAATACTAATCCAGGTAAGCAAATTTAGGACTAATGCTCACCATGCAGTTGTCTCCTTTCAGAATAACAAACCAGGACCTGCTCTGTTTTTTCTAGTTGTTCAGTACATGCCCTAAAGTACCTGAAATCTCTGTGCTATTTAGTTGGAAACCTCTGCGCTGAGTAATGAGAGTATGAGTCTGCCACAGAAAACATCTGTCTAATCAAACCAAGTAAAAACAGTACAAAGAAAGAAAATGAGAATCTTTTTTTAGAATTTATCATTTGTGCCCTGCAGTTTTTCCAAATTCTCTATACCCAAAAGAAGTCACGAAAAGACCATTTTCAATCTGAGCCAAGCATTAAAAAAAACATTTTAAAAGATTTCTGTGAAATATTTCTTGTGCAACATTCGAGGACAATGAAAGGGCTTCTATGCACTATGTTCATTTAGCTCATTTCAGAAATTTCAATCAGGGAAATATAAATTGGTAGGCATCATTCAATTTGCGAATAGATCCCCATAACAGTGTTTGTATGAGAGCACAAGTGCGTGAGCCCTGCAAAATCCTTGGAGACAGCAAGCCCACCAAGCCTCAGCTGCTGTAGGACACGTGTGTACCATCTCGGACACTCCCAGTCACAGCTGGCTAAAGACAACCACCCTGAACCACTCAAGACTCCCAGACATGACCACACTCTCGTACAGTGCTCACAGAAGAGTACTTCCCAGAACAAATTGTTCCGGGGATACCAGTATCTGTAAAACACGCACAGGAGCAGCACTGTCTGAACTAACAGCGTAACAGTGTAGTGTAATCTGAGGGATCAAGAGATCAACCTGACCTCCCCACCCCCTTGCATAATCAGTCCAAGGTTACAGAGATTTCTGATACAAAAAAGAGAGACAGATGTAGCGGGACTCAATGAGACTTTATCCTCTAACACAGGCAAGACTCTATTCCAGGGCGTGCTATTTCAACAGCACAGACATCTCGTTTTAGCAACACTATTTTTTCTTGCCGGGGAATGGCACACACAATGCAGCGGAGTGAGCTGCCCCATGCAACACTGTCTGCATGCAAATACGTACCCCCAAGAAAACTGCTCTATGACGCCCCCTGTTGGCAGCTGATGGCACTGGTGTTCCCATAGCCAGATAGCTGATTATGCGGTTTCAAATTAAAAGCCCAGAGGATGATCTTTTCCCTCCTTGCTCCGTCATGCTGTGTCTCTTGATGAAGTAATTCACAAATTAATGCATTTAATTGTCTTAGACAAAGAATCTGAGATAAGTCAGCATGAAAAAAGTCAAAGCAAGACATTTTGCTATAAACTGCACATGAAACCTAAGCGCAATATCAACTGGTATCTAAATTCAACCCAATGGCTACCTGTTGTGTGATTTTCGTTTGACAGAATTCATGCATATAATCATTTACAGTACATCACTGATAAACGTGAAATTGTCCACCTGTTTGCTGTTTTATGTCTTTTGGCTGTTTGCGAATGTTCTGGACCTTCGTGACACAAATCAGTGCTCTTCCAGTTGTTGATTACTTTGTTAAAAAAGTCACATTATAAGAAAGTCAAAGATGATGTTTCTGCTTTATTTGCAGGCAAAAAGGGGTAAATGATATCACATCTGCAGTGATTACATTTCAATGTCATCTAAAAAAAAAGGCAAGAAAGAACAGCCTTTAAAGAAGGTGACACCACTCCTGAATTTACACAGTAAACAAGACGGTGTGGGTGGGAACAGGAGTCCTGTTTGACCAATAACTGCCCTTCCTGCCTCCACCCTCTCCCTCAGGCCCAGCACCAATGGCCCACAAGAAAACAAGAGCTCCGCTGGCGATGTCACTGTGCAGGGAGGGGAGGCTGGTCCAGGCGGTGCCAGGAAGCTCTCGGCAGGGTTAGTGTCTGCGGCTCTCAGGCGGCCAGATGGAAGGCAGTCTGCGTTCAACAGGGGATAACACTGTCCAGAACACTCTCCACAGTACCGAAGAACTAGGGTTCAGGCTGAAGACAATCACTCACTACCACAGCATGCTTAGGCCAATGACGGCCATTTAATTAGCTGCCCATAGTGGATAAAAACAGAGAATCCCCATCCAGTAACATGTCTTGCTCTATTAGCAAGGATGGCATGAGCAGGAAGAGGCATGTATTCTAAAAGGCTTTGAAATACATGAGGCCCGGGCCAATCCCATTGTTCTGGTAGGATCACCTTCAGCTGGGGCTGTGAGGGTAATGCTGTGCAGGCATGACGTTGGTGGTACACAGAATTTCCACCAACTTCACACACCTCAAAAATACTGTGAAACGATTTATAATTGAATCAGAGTCGACTGAAACAGCATGTTCCACCAGTTTTTAAACTGGAGGGGCCAGGGAAGGAGATAGAAGTCTATTGCTTTCCCAGCCAAATCAGTAAT